AGCAAGTACAAGACTTCCTGTTCTACCAGATGCACCTAAAATGAGTAGATGCATTTTTTCGATGGAGATTCTTTCTCTTGCGGTTGTTGATTATTTGAAAGTTGGTTATTTGTGTGACGGGGAAGTAGTGGTTTGTATGTATCGAACACAAGAAGAAGCAGTTGAATATTGCGATTTTCACTTTCTACAATGCGAACTCTCGAATATATGTACTCGCTTCTCACAACAAAACCATGAGTAGAAAGAACGAGGCAGTGAATAAGGAGCCTCTCCTTCCATATTCTTCGGATCCGGAGTCCGGACCGGAGACAACAACTCCATAGAGCGGCCTCTTCGCGAATATCCCGTTTTTGAATTTATGAATCAGCAAATTAATTGTGTGACAGATAAAGAGTGAGAGTTTACTGCAGCTGACAAATGTTCAAAGCTGAGTTGGTCTTTCACAAAAGGTTGGTTGGTATGGATGTTGTGTCCCGAATTTAATGTTTGGGGGCGAGGGAGGTGAGATGACTGTGTTACGATCTCCGGACAAGGCAAATTTATATTTAACACGGTCAAGGCTGGGAAATCTCTCCTTTAATCTCTTTCTTTCACATAGATAAATGATTCTATGACGCTTACGCGGTGCCCCATTCAGTAACCTGTGGAATGCAGGCTATCAGTTTTTGTGTGACTGCAAAAAGGGACATCGGAGAAAGACACCAACATACTCTGGAGATGAAGATCTTAATCTCCGCAACTCTTTTCTCTCTCTTTCAATAGAGTCATCACAAAACACAAACCACCTCGGTATCATTTCGTGTAAGGTCTTGTTGTTTGTGACATTTTAAAAGATAATAGCAATTGCTACGTGGAAAATGACATACGATCTGATGTACACTGCATCTGCCGCCTGCAACTAGCTCTTCGGCTGATTTAAGGAGGAGCCTATGATCAAAACAACACAATCCAAATGCCCACGATCGTCAAATCGCAACAAACCACTATCCATTTCTTCACCTCTATTACACATCGTAAATTTCAACCCAAATCCTAGAATCCTCTCGTATTTGTGAATTCACGAAGTAGGTATCCTCTTTTTCACAGTAGCACTATGATACTCGCTAGTAGAGTCATGACGTAAGTTACGAGCTAGTGTTAGTATTCGTATACTTATCAAGAACGACATTTGGGGCAATGCGCATATACACATGAGTTACTACTCACTAATCACTGATATCTAAATCAACTTCCCTTTTCTCTTTAAGTTGCGTTCGTATCCTCCAAAGCACACCAGACATCCTCACCTCTCCACTCGCCGCCCATCAATTTGCATACCAAAGTGCCAGCAGCAGCTCGTTCAAGTGACTTTTACAACCTCCAAGTTAGCGGGTTATTAATCGAACTTGAGTCTTGAAGCATACATTTTCACCGTTGTCTGAAATATCCTGAGTCTAAGTGTACCTGTTTGGCAAATTTAGGTAAAGCCCTTTAGATTTGGCAATACTTAGTCTATCGTCACATTTTGTGGTTCATCTCATTGGTCTAGTCAGATTTCTCCTTGAGAATATGGCGTATATTAAACATTTCAAGTGACAGCATTATGGTTAAACAAAAGAAAAACCGACAGAGGTAATAGTTTGGAAGCAGAAAGCATTTAAGAAATCTTTAAATTTAGATATAATCTAGAGGATCCATATTTGTATAAATCCTCATCGCTAACGTCAAAATTCCAAATCACACTTCGTTTTTGACCATTCATCCGTCACCTACACCTCAAAATATTGTTACATTTTCCCATTATCACCGGGGGTCTTGAATTTTACTTCAATTTCACCAATTATTTGGCGAAATGAAGGTCATATCCTAGCCATTTTCTTGCGTTGACTTCGGGCACGCTAAGGCCTGGGTAACCGTATGTCAATGGTAGGAAAAAGTACCACCCGAAAAGTACAACAGAAAGAATGACTCCAACTGCAGCCCAGGACATCATCAAGTTCTGTCCAGCGAGCTTTTCACGTGCTGGAAGATGCTTCTTGACGGCACCTGCCTTCTTTGCGACTCCTGATGGAACATCATCCATAATAGGCTCTACGTTGAAAATGAACTCAAGTAGTGCACCGGTGATCAAACATGATGCTAAGTGAGCAGGTAAATAATGATGCAAGAACAGTTGACGGCCCATAAGGTAGAATGGTAGGTAATGTGTTGCCCAAGCAAGGAAAAAGAAACCGGTAGAATTGTAAAGGCGGGATCGGGTACCTAAAATTATCGTTAGTTAAGAAGTCTTGAAGGTAAGCGAGGATAAGACTCACGGTTGTCTAATGCGTCAACTCCGCGGCGTAATGACAATTGATCAGCAGCCCAAATTCCAGCATAAACTGCAAGTAAACTACTTGCCAACCACCAACCAAGAGGGTTTCCTAAAAAGTAGATTTGTTGTCTAGTGTCATTATGAGTCCAGAAACTAACACCTCTTAATAGGAATGGCCAAACAAAAGGTTCACTGGCATATGGATGGCTGCTAGTCAAAGCATTGTTGTGGTAGAACATTGCTCTTTGCAACTCGAACCATTTCTTCAAGAATGGAACGCTCTTAACCTTACGTTCCTCCTTGATCAGGCGAGGGGAGTCCTTTGGAATGGATGGTATCTCATCCACGTACCATATGTTAGAGCTTTGAGCCAAGTTCTTGTTTCCGTTGATTTCTTGTTGTTTGTAGGCCCAATCTGGTAGAGGGGTTGTGTGTGTCCACATAGCAACCTTACTTGGCCAATGAACGAGCTTGAATTGTCCTTGGAGACTCTTGAAATCTTGGCGTGGTTTGCCGTTTTCAATTCGAAGTTCAAAGAGAGTATCATTTAGACGCTCACCCAATGCATCTTCGATGGAAACTGTTGTGAATTCTTGGTTTGTTGGGTAATATGGAGAAGCAACATCGTGGGACAAGAGCATTGTGTTTGTGATAACGTGTCTTAATCTAACAACTTCATTGTTCTTGACAGGGCGACCTTCAACTTCTTCAAATGTGCCTGCAGGAATGATTTGCCAGTGGTTATTGGCATCGGCATAAGGATAACCAGTGACTTGTTGACCTTGACTGGAGACTCTACCATCATCATATCTAAGAGGATATGTATCGGGATGACTGTGAAGGTATCCATGTGTTTCCTTGTGCTTGATTTGAATGTTATCAAAGTAATTGATAGTAACAGCGTTTGCGGTCATGGCGTTGTCGCTAAGAGTCTCTTGGAATTCAGGAGACATGAAATCATCACCTGGACCAGACTTGGTCAAGATTGCGAAATGAACTTGGAACCAAAACAAGTAGAACAGGAAAGGCACAATGATGAGGGCAACGGCGCGAGCGGCGAAATGCTTGCCAAATTCTGGCAAGCTCAAAGCACCCTGACGGCGGTTTATATCCAGCAAACTCCAGAGGTCAATTGCGACTGCAGAACCAATTGTAACAAATGCGAATGTACCAACGTATTTGGTGGAGATGTCGCAACTCAAGGCGAATCCAGTCAAAAGGAGCCACTTCCACCACTTTCTCGAAAATGGAATGTGTCGGAGTTTATAGAATTTGATATAGCAGAGAAGACTGCACGCCATTGCAAGAACGAGGGTGGCATCCAATAAGATCAAACGGGTTTGCCCAATATGCGCATTATCGAATAGTACCAATGAAGCGGAGAGGACACAGGCAGGTAGAGTGTAACCAGATTCCCACATGATGGCGAAGACAGTTGGGACTGTCAAAGCTCCCAGAAGAGCAGGCATAGCGCGGAAAGCCACATATGGCACCTTGTTGTCGATGTATGAATCCCCAATATTTTCGAAATGGAAATGTCCGTCGTATCCCACAAACCAACCCATCAGGGCGAAAAGAAGCTTCCCAAAAGGAGGATGGACATCGAAGAAGTAGGTTCGCTCAAGGTAATATGAAGCAAACTGTTGAACAATGGGTCAGAAAAGCTATAACTCCGAAGGGAGGAACATGGTGTAAATTACCTTGCCAAAATGAACTTCGTCAAACACCACCTCATTGGGATGACTGATTCCCCAGAATCTTGTGACGAATGCCAGAATTGTAATGATTGCCAGGGCGATCCGGTAATCCCATTCTGGTCCAGTTCTGGTTTGTAAATCTTTCACCAGAGCATCGAGCTCAGGATGCGGCGCCGCAACAGTAGAGGCATCTTTTGCTTGAGGTGGAACTGAACCACCTTTCCGTTTTCGAACGGAGCCTTGAGAAGACATATTGAAGTGTAAAGGGTATAAGAGATTCTAAGGGACAAAATAGAGATTAGACATATGCACCTATGCGACGTGTGGTTGCAGGAGCTGTGATAAGACGATGCAACTGTGTCAAAACTGGGAACAACTTACAAGAGTGCTTCACAGCAACTTTTTTCAGAGAGTGTAAGAAGATAGCATTGATCTCAAAAGAGACCAGCAGGAATGAATTGTTGTCTCTCGTGTTGATTGACTTTTTAAAGAAATCGAAGCCCCCTTGACAGAAACGGGTTGAAATTATTACTCCAAGTTTAAGCCGCGTAAGAATAGGACACTTTGTTAAGAATCTCGCCTGTTTAAAGTGAGCTTTAGCTTCATCATCAATTTGTTTGATCAACTCAGGGGTATAAAATAGATTTGCTCTTGAAACGGAACATTTTTGTATTATTTTTGTACGAAGTATATGTAACTATTCAGATTTACAGATCAATATTCGAGATTAACATTTACATTTTTATATTCATACCTAGTAATTGACCAGTACTTATTAACCTTGAGACCAAGTGGGAAGGTACAAAAAGAAATATGTGAGTCTAAAATTAGCATGATCACGTGAAGATAAGCGATTAAGATAAGAGCTCTGACAACTGCTCCAAGCAGAACTCGAGTGTCTCAGTAATCAGTCACAATAGGTAGCTGGAGTAAAAATACTTTGTTGCTGTACAAGACTCCCACGATATCCCGAATCCGAACAAAAGTCATATTGATACCACGGAGAAGATATGTTTTCAAGAATCTTACCTAGATACGGTGCCATCAGATCAACGAGTCGTTCCTCACTGGCCACAACTCTTGTTACAACACCTCAGCGAAGTACGATTTCGACGACACATACTTTGGGAGCTTATAACACAATCTCAGCTAGAGATTGGTCGCGCTTGAGATGTGGTAGACATAACTATGCGAAAAAAGAAGCAAGTCGATGTGGTCAGTCTAAGAGGTCTATTACAACAATCAATAGCGCAAATCTCCCAGCTCGTAAGTTTTTAGATTGAGTTTACAAGACTAGATACTAAGCCTGCTACAGCAATTGGTCCATACGTAAGTCAGCATTGTTCAAACAGCAATTGAAATATTCGTCCGTATTAATCAGTCTCTTGGAATAATAGTCCCATGCTGTGCAGACACCTTTCGGTGTCTTTGTTTCCGGTCAACTCCCTGCAGACTTTGAAGGAAACCTCGTAGAAGGAACAATGCGTGAAAAGACGGAAGCAGTTCTCAAAAACCTACAAGAAGTTCTTATCACCGCCAAGTCCTCTCTCGATAGGATCGTTAAGGTCCAAGTTTTCTTGACAGATATGAAAGATTTCGCTGAAATGAACCAAGAGTATGAAAAGTGGATCACTCACAAACCAGCGAGAAGTTGTGTAGCCGTTAAGGAGTTACCGAAGGGTGTCAATATTGAGATTGAATGCATCGCCATGCCCTTGAATATTGGACCCAAGGAATAAGACTTACTGATTGTATGACGGGATCGTGTTGCTATCGTGTGATACCTATCAAGGTGCAGTGCAAATGCACAGATTTTTGTTCCCTTCTGTGCTGTTTTTCAGTCAGTGACCAGGTTCCGGGATGTATGAAAGATGAAATGCGAGCTAGAGCAAAGACAGACATTCAAATGATAGTAGTACTTTCTGTTTATCTGGCTGGAACAATTGCACAGCCATAAGCCTTTTTACGACTTCGAGACTGGAAGTTGCAGCCATGATAGTCCGGGTCACGGGTATCAACGTCCGGCGAGATTCATTAAAGAATTCGGTATTACGGTCGGCTATTATACGGTTCAGATTATAGATCCGATGAGTGGAGCATAGATAAGACGAAGTATCTACCTCGTATGTACGCCCTGCAGCCTCTCTTTCAATTCACTGCTGGTGTATCCATCAAATCCCGAATAATAGCTTGGGCCCGGCTTCATTCTCTACTTCGGGACTTCAAGAACTAACGTCCTTACACATTCACCCGGTACTTCCGTTAGCCCTCGAACTATACTATATATGGTGGTAGGCATGTGACGATAAGAGTTAAAAGCGTATTAGCAGTCTCCATATTACCTTGAACCTATAAAGTATATAACCCTTCAAGCGAAACCATTTTCTCACTAGTCAATACGTGGCATCCGCGTAAAATCCACTAGCCTCTCAACTCCCGTTCAAGCGAACCGGATAAATTGAGGTAAAATCACGAGTTCATCAACTTCATCATTTCACGGCCCGTCATTTCCTAGTATTAATATCAAATCTCACATATGCACCCCAGACAGTTAAACGATAATATGGGGAATTGTGTAGCCACTTAGGTTAGACGGCATTGATTACTGGAAATGTCTGGGCATACCTGGAGTTTTGCAGGGTATATTGCTAGGGTGGTTTGATAGTTTGTATTCACTATTTTTTAGTATAAATGGGTTGCCCCGAGATTCTTATATTGTCTGTACAATTAATGTGCGTTCTCTTCTTTGCTCAAGTACATTCCAATCCGACTTTCAAAAAGTGCAGGGCTCTCCAGCTTGTGTTGTAAAAAGAACACCGCAACGAACCCACGCAAGCTTATTAACAATGAAGGCCAATCTCGCTCTCTCTGCTCTTTTCTCTTCTCTTCTTCCCACACTCATCAATACTCAAGCATCCGGAAGTGGTACAACAACCCGATATTGGGATTGCTGTAAAGCATCCTGCGGTTGGTCCAAAAAGGCTACTCTAGCCACTGGTTCCAACCCCGTCAGTTCCTGCGACATCTCAAACAACCCACTCACCGACTACAATGCTGTCTCTTACTGTGCTTCTTCTTCTGGTACTTCATTCATGTGTGGCTCACAAACACCTTGGGCAGTCTCAGATACAATGAGTTATGGCTTTGCAGCTACGACGATCTCGGGTGGAACGGAAGCGAGTTGGTGTTGTGCTTGTTATCAATTGACATTCACGAGCGGACCAGTGGCTGGTAAACAGATGATTGTCCAGGCTACTAACACCGGTGGAGATTTAGGAAGTAACCAATTCGATCTTGCTGTACGTCTACATTCTCTCCTCATCCCATCGCTGAAACACGTGAATATCTCACTAATTCTCCCCTAATAGATTCCCGGCGGTGGTTTCGGTATCTTCGACGCCTGCACACATCAATACCCATCGACTCCCGCATCCGCGTGGGGTGCCCAATACGGCGGTCTCTCCAACCGCACCCAATGTGCCTCGCTCCCCGCCGCCCTCCAAGCCGGCTGCTACTGGCGCTTCGACTGGTTCCTCAACGCCGACAATCCCGCCATCACCTTCAAACAAGTCGCATGTCCAGCTGCGCTCACCGCCAAAAGCGGTTGCGTACGCGCCAACGATGCGATCAACGAGACGCCCACAGGTCCAAGTGCAGTCCCTACGTGGGCGAGTTCAACCGGCGCTGCTGGCTCGACATCTTCAACAACTGCGAGCACGAGTAAGAGCACGAGTGTGGGTGCAACGATCAGTACTTCTTCGACCACCAGCAGTGCTGCAAGTGGCGGAACGGGAGCCCCCGTCATGCGTTATGGACAGTGTGGCGGAATTGGTTGGACGGGTTCTACAGCTGTGAGTTGAGAATTGTTTTCTTGAGTCTTGAATTTGTGAATTGTTGATTGTTACTCGTTATCTTGTATTGTTGCTGCGTGTTGGTATTGTATCGACATGACTAATGCTAATTGTTTGAATACAGTGCGCGTTGCCTTACACGTGCTCTGTGTTGAGTCCTTATTACTCGCAATGTGCGTGAAGATTTGCAGAGTCGGAAGGAAAAGTAAAGGGAGAATAGTCATTAGACAAGCGAACGGATGGATGATGGGTGGGTAGGATGTCAACATTGTACATATCGCGATGATTCTCTGTACATAGGGAGGGGCTTTTCAATCATAGTACCATTTTTGATGCTGTGGCTTCTGGAATGAATAATTAGATGTTGGTCTCAGTAGGTATGAACTGGTGCTTTGAAATACTGTGATGGGAAATCTTGTGGTGAAGCTCATGTGATCTTGAAACTACCATCTAGCCCGTGCTCATCAATGGGGATTGATGCGTTGGTTTCCAATGACTTTCCTTGTCAATAATGATCCATTATGGCACTTCTACTTACCAACACAAATGAAATTGTGTACAGCACAATTGAAGCATTGATTCAAGAATTAGGTTAATCGAGTATTTATTACTGGTATGAGTCCAGATTATACAGTGATATTATACATATAGTTGATCCTCCCACGGGCGATCAATCCTATCAATTTACTTCCTAGACAATAATGTTATCCTCATCATCAGACGGGGTAGCCTCATATCCATCAACCTTCGAAACATAAGGCGGCCTACAAAAAACCATCAGCAGGCTCTTTAACCCCCATGCCACCTACAAAATAAGCACACTCACCTAGCCCAATTTCTCAATCCCACCAAGCCCGCCGTACCCACAGCATAAGCCCCCAACAAATTACTCCACCCCGTCTCTCCAATCTGTCTTTGACCAACCGCCAACGCTACCAAATCATACACTAAACATCCACCGAAAATCCAATCACTATTGCTAGCCAACATACCAAATCCCAATCCTGTAACGATCTTGACAGCGGTTGAAGGACCCTCATGGTCAAAATAAGCTACAGAGCCATTGTGCAGAAGATCCAGAACACCAATTCCGGCAAAAGTTTTGGAAACTACATGGGTGAGGATGGAAGAGGTGGATTGTGTGTTCATAGCTGGTTGACGAGCAAATATGTAGTAGAGTTGTGTGAGGGAATTAATAAGGACGAATATATTTGCGGTTTTAAGGGAGGCGGAGTTCCAGAAAACCATCCAGGCTGTTTGGGTTAGCATTGGTATTTATATCATTTCGTCTCATCACCCCTCCCCCCTCCATTGTTCTAGAACACGAAATACTCACTAGCAATACACAAATTCCCTACGCAATAAAACGGTACAAAATCCACCATCTTGTCTACCTCCTCCTTCTCCTTGATACTTTTCTTCGGATCCAATTTCCACAAGCGATATAACCATACCAGTTGGAAGATCTGTTGCGGGAAAAAGAAAAGTGCAATGGCGTACGGTTGAGGAGACCAAAATGAAAGATGCGCATCGTGGATATCTTTCATGTTTGGAGAGGAAAGCATGCCATATTGTTGCGCTGCGAAGTCGATGAGGAAGGAGAGGGGAGCGACATATCGCGCGGTGCTGTGGGAGATGCCCATTTTGAATTGGGGATTGGAGATATTTTGGTAGAGTTGTGAGATTGGGGTTGAGGAATTGGATTTTGTGGTAATATCTTATAGTAACCAAAACGTTGTGAAGAGGCAAAGGGAAGAAGTGAGAAATATGTAAATGGTGGTATTTTATGCTATTTTGTTTTACTGGCGATGACGATGATGATATCGATTTGATAGCTCGCTCCTTCCGGATAATCCGCCCAAAAGTGATGATGTCAACGATCTAAATAAGTTTTTAGGTGCGTCCCGGAGATTTTGTCCCGCGTTCAATAATTTAGGTACTACTCCATGTTTTAGTCAATCGACTAAATATGTGTATGTTTATAAAAACCGTGTACATTAAAATCCAAGGCGAATATTCATTTATATCGATCGACCTCGCGTCTCGTTCCTTCACGAGGGGAAATAAGAGGGGTTAATTTTGTGGAGACCAAGATCTTCGAAATAAATCGGTAGCCCCCCCCGTCGTTCATTTGTCTATCGTACTTGTTGTTTTCTTCAGATAGTTGAGATTGTAATTATGATGGGTATGTGAAAGATCTAAATTCGATATATACGCAGCATTAGATGTTTTATCCATCAGCTTCTGATGTGCTTGATGTCTCTTTGGTCTGGATAGTCCAGATACTGTGGTTTATACTAGGCTCAAATGTCAAAGTCTTCATTAACCTTATGTCATCGTGAGACATTCGATACCTCGTTGAATCTGATCCGACATCACAGCGAATTTAGTATCATCGTGACTTTTTCTTAAACACTACTCAGCTTAATCCTCATCGGCCCTAGACCACTAGCATCGCTTCCGCTTCCTGATGCCACGCCTTCCGTCTGTGTCTCCAATCCTACCAAGATCGGTCCCTTCAGTAGCCTCCTCAACCTCATCTTGCCATTCATCTTTCTGTCAGCATTCTCATCATCATTGTCACTCTTCGTTATAAGTCTTTGGAACCCAGCTTGGATATCCTCTAGAGACCTCAATCGCGTCTCTGGCATCCAGATAGCCATTACAAAAACGGCCAGCAATGAGAAGCCTCCAAACATGAAATAAGCACCATAACTAGAATGCGCCAGAAAGATCGGTGTCAAGAATTCCACCAACCAATTTGCGAACTATACAGCCATTAGTCATTCAGCTTCATGCCCTCATGTGTTCAATACTTACGAAACTCGCCCCCTGAGCCAAACTATTCGCCTCATTTCTAGTCTTCATGGGTTGAATCTCGCTAGCATAAATCTTTCCCATGACCGCCCATGTCGCACAATACGTCAGCGCAAATACAAAAATTAAAACGACGACGACCCAGCGTACAATCCCATAGGAATGGACAGAATCCGAAAGATATAGTGCGCCGATCATGAACATCGACGAAGAAAGTATGATACCGCCAACAAGACCAGATGTACGGCGCCCCCATCGATCAACGTAAAGGGTAGCTGGGATGGTGATGGCGACCATGAGTATGGCACTTACACCCGAAGCGAGAAATGTGGACGTGGTTCCGGGTAAACCTGCAGTTTCGAAGAGAGTTGGTGCAGAATGAATGAACGAAAGCTCCTTTTGAAGACATCATCAAATATAACAGTTTACGATATCCTTTCATTGACGGTGCATTCAAACCGGTGATTGTGTCGACACGCCCTTCGATCGTCAAGCCCTTCACTTGTCAAGGCATGTAAGATCTGACATATACATATGATCGGCAAAGAATATCCAATCCCATCATTTGCCATGATTTCGCTGCTACCTCTATTAACCCAGCGTAATGTATTCTGATAACCTTGTTCCACTTACTATTAGTAAATACACAACCTGATCAGAAGAACGCATGTAGATTAAAGTCAGAAGAGGAAAAGAATGAGAGCATTCTCACAATATAATCATCATCCGAACCTTTGGAAGGAACCAATGATGGACTGCCTTTCCGTGAACTGGACTGCGAATAGTTGATATTGATGAAGGAGACAGAAGATGCACATTCTAGATCCAATGGGCGGATTGAGAATACGACGTATTGCTGAATTTAGTACTTGGAAAAGAGCGCGCGAAACCCCCCTCGCGTAAACTGTACTGAGTACCACTTATTCCTCATTGCTCCCACCTGAATAGAAGTTTTATCATGTGTGTTACAGAGCCAGGATCTAGTTAGACTTGTTAGTAAATTAGGTTGAATAGAATTGCAATCAGGCATCAAGTTTCCAGGGGATTCATTATGAAAATCCAATATCCTTGATTGATGGTTGTTGTCGCTCAACCCACCACGCCGCGTAGGCCACAACCAACATCTTAATGATTCAACTACTCCCCTCAAATCTATATAAGATGATTCACATCCAGATTTCTTTCGACATTGGTGATTTAATTTCATTAATTCATTGTAACATTTGATCATTTACTTTTCTAATCATCAAGCTTACTGTAATTCATTTCCGTGAAAAATGTCTACCAACCTCAAGATTCGTGCCAGTGACCTTCCAGATGGTATAGAGTCCTCGATGGACTTTCTTGATTCTTCATTTTTCCAAAAGTATCGTGACCAGTGTTTACCCACACCAGCAGAAGGGCTCGCATCATCTGGCAATAGGCAAACGAAGCCTCAACCTCCTCCTGTCATTTTCGAGCATTGGAATCTTCTTGTTAAATTTGGTCGTTATCTTACAGTAGCTGAAGCACAATGCCTTTGGGTCATCAGAAAGGATCTTGGGGATGAAGTTCCTGTCCCTGAAATCTATGGTTGGCGAGTTGATGGGGATTATGTTTTTATACATGAAAGTAATACGAGGAGTCACACTGAAACACCAGTGGGATTTTCATGAATGACTCCGACAAAACCAGTGTTTGCGAACAAATTTCGAGATGAGTTCTTTTGCATAATCAATTCATGGCATCCCAAGATTTGTATAGTATTGCCATTTTCTCATGAATTAATCCTACAATTGCTTTTTCCAAGTTGAACGCACATTCTTTCAGCCCAAAAGTCAAGCTTCGGCCGATTCATAACCCCCATTTCTTATTAACCAGCTAGCTGTATTGGCTTTGATAGCAGACATCATAAGCCGGTTGCCATAACTTGAGGGTACCATCTTTTAAAGGGCAAATATGAGGATCTAATATTGTTAGGTGGAAGAGAGAGAAAAAAGAGGACGCAATGAGTATGACTTTTTGATCTTTATTTGCACGTCTTGCGTGCATGTTAATATAGCAAAATTTGATGTCTTTGAATCGACCTTCTGATAAATTAAGTAGTCATGTAAAATGAACCAGTACAAATAAAAGCACCGGAATATTCCTGAAAACTGCAAATGTGAAGAGTTGAAAATCTCATGGCTCGTTACTCAACTTTTGCGAAGTGGATAATTGTTTTAAACGAAGTGATCATGAATATTTGATTCATTAATGCTATCTTATACACCAACGCCAGCTAATATACACCCCTCTAGTCTTTAAAAGACTTCTAGTTGTATTGCATATAAGTGGCAGTGGAGTTAAACTTCAAGTTACCCTTGATGACCTTGTCAACTGCGCTCAAGAAATCCTTTTCTGTCGCGACCTTTCTTCTAGCACGAATGGCAAACATTCCTGCTTCTGTGCAAACACTTCGAAGTTCAGCACCGGTAGAGTTAGGGCAAAGACGTGAAATCAATTCCCATCTAATGTCTCTCTCGACAGACATACTCTTGGCGTGGATTCTAAGAATGTTTGCTCGTCCCTCGAGATCTGGTAGCGAGAACTCAATCTTTCTATCGATACGTCCAGGTCTCATCAACGCGGGATCCAGGGTAGAAGGTCTGTTTGTAGCGAACATGACCTTGATGTTTCCTCTCGCGTCGAATCCATCAAGTTGGGTAATCAATTCCAACATGGTTCTTTGTACTTCGTTGTCTCCACCGGCACCATCATCGAAACGAGCCCCTCCAACTGCATCAATCTCATCGAAGAAAATGATACAAGCTTTCTTCGTCCTCGCCATTTCGAACAATTCACGAACCATTCTAGCACCCTCTCCGACATATTTCTGCACCAACTCACTACCAATAACACGAATAAATGTAGCATCGGTTCTGTTGGCGACAGCTCTAGCGCAAAGTGTTTTTCCAGTTCCTGGAGGACCATAAAGTAAAGCACCTTTGGGTGGGTCGATACCAAGGTTGACAAATCGCTCTGGTGATAACAGTGGCATTTCGACGACTTCTCGTAGCTTTTCGACCTGTTCCTTACAACCTCCAACATCACCATATGTAACATCAGGCTTCTCCTCAACTGTCATCATCGTAACGCTAGCATCGATCTTCGGAGGTAAGGGTAATAAGATTTGGTACTTGTTGCGGTCGACACTATTTGAGATAAGATTAGCTTTGTAAATGATTGAGATCGCATTCCGCATACCCAACTCTCATTCCTTCCTCAATATCTGTAGGACTGACACGGTCGCCAAGGTTTACAACGAATTTCGCGATCTGCTTAACGTTGATGACATATTTGCTCTTTTCTGTATCCTTCTCGTCTTGGATAATCTTCGTACATCTTGCAACTTGTAAAGGTTGCTCTTCTGACATCCGTTGTCTATCTGCTGCTACATCCCACAAATGAGGTGGCGCCAATCCGGTATCTGATTCCTGTTGCAAGTTTAGGCCCTGTTTGTATATGCTATAGATGCTGATCTCCTACCTTTACGCCAATCTTCTCATTCACACTTGTTTGCTTCTCTTTGATCTGTTGTTCGAGTTTCTTTAGCGCGGCACCATATGGAGCTGCGCCATAGGTTTTTAGGACTTGAATATCTCTACGATTCGTTAAATACTGAAAGGATACGATAATGCGATGACCTGGATAACCCTACTCATCTGATAAAGGTGTAATCTTCTTCTCCTCAACCTCGTCGTCGGCGAAGTCCTATGAACTTGTCAGAAGGAGTTCTAGCAGCTTGGATAATAATATATACCTTCTTATAGTTCTCCCAGTTTTGCCCCTTTGCGCTGACCTTCGAGATTGTTAGTCAAATGTATAAACACCAGACAACGTAATACGAACCATGATGAGAGCTGAGTGACGAAAGGTACGATGTTGTAAGGTTGTGTTTTAGCTGAAGATTTGATGGGTGAAGTTTCGTAGAATTGGTCGTTTGCGTAGAGATTAAAAATTCAAGGGCAATGTAATATCCTAACCCAAGTTCCTTTCAATGTGGTGGAGAAAATGTGGTTGTGAGAAGTTTAGTTTGTTGTGTTGATAATCCTCCCATAGCTCTTAGGTATCCAAAGGTACGTCGGCGTTGCTTGATAAGCTAGTCCAAGATAAGGTTAGCCGATTTTTCAAAATTCGAAATCTCAAGACAGACGCGCAGTAGGAGTAGAAACGCGACGACGTCACTTCTAACATATTCTGAGATTAAACGTTCCAGATTTCCTACAGCCAATATCAGATACTTCAAGATGGCTCTTACACAATCAGCAGGAAATTCTACCAACAATGCCTTTAAGGTGGGACATTTAAGTAGCTTAGAGGGTGTTCAATATAGCTAATGTGGTCTATAGGACAAGGAAAAGCCTATGGCTGTTCGAAATGCCAACATTCTGGCTGCCAGAGGTGTGTTTGGAAAAGTAAAATCATGCGGAAGTAAAGCTGACAAAATACAGCTGTCGCAGATGCATGCAGAACCTCTCTCGGTCCCAGGGGAATGGACAAGATGATTCAAGACGGCAAAGGAGGAACACTTATTACAAACGATGGAAGCACCATGATGAAGAGTATGGCAGTTATGCACCCTTCTGCGAAGATGTTGGTCGACCTTTCAGCAGCACAAGATGTAGAGGCTGGAGACGGAACTACCTCAGTTGTGGTTATCTGTGGAAGTCTGTTGGGTGCTGCAGATAAATTACTAGGAAAGGGAATCCATCCTTCAGTTATTGCCGAATCTTTCCAGAGAGCTGCTGCAGCTTCAGTCCAAATTCTCCACGATATGTCGGTCCCAGTTGCTCTCAGCGACACCGCAACTCTTTTACAAGCCGCCAACACATATCTTTCTTCCAAAATCGTTTCACAATACTCAAATCTTCTCGGTCCTATGGCAGTAAATGCTGTCACAAAGACGATCGACATTAAAACTGCAGAAAACGTGGATTTGAAGAACATTAGAATAGTTAAAAAGTCGGGAGGTACCATCGAAGATAGTGAGATGGTTGAGGGAGTTGTTTTGACTCAGGGTGTTTTAAAGAATGGAGGAGGACCTATTAGAATGGAGAAGGCAAAGATTGGACTTATTCAATTTCAACTCAGTCCTCCAAAGCCTGATGTAAGTCATTTGAGGACTATGGATCGAACACTGCTAACGTATTTCAGATGGAAAATCAAATCGTTGTCAACGACTACCGACAAATGGATAAGATTTTGAAAGAAGAGCGAACATATTTGTTGAATTTAGTTAAAAAGATCAAGAAGGCGAAGTGTAACGTTTTGTTGGTATGTTATATTATAGTTCTTTCCTGAGATGTCTTGATGTGCAACCTATTTATCATTGGAATGCTAACAACGACCTCTAGATCCAAAAGTCTATCCTCCGTGATGCTGTTAATGAACTCTCCCTCCACTTCCTCGCCAAACTCAACATCCTCTGTATCAAAGACATCGAGCGTGATGAAGTAGAATTCATCTGCAAATCCACCGGCTGCAAACCTATCGCCGACATTGACTCTTTCACCGAAGATAAACTCGGATCAGCCGACCTCGTTGAAGAAGCCCAAACTTCCGGTTCCAGACTTGTCAAGATCACCGGTACAAAGAGCGCAGGCAAGACCGTTTCCATCGTCTGCCGTGGCGCCAACTCCCTCATTCTCGACGAAGCTGAGCGCAGTCTTCACGATGCTCTTTGCGTCGTTAGATGTTTAGTCAAAAAGAAGGCATTGATTGCCGGTGGAGGAGCTCCAGAGATCGAAATCGCATCCCAATTAGCGCAACAAGCACGAGAATTGACCGGTACCGAAGCTATTTGCTGGAAAGCATTCGCTGACGCCATGGAAGTAATCCCCACCACACTTGCCGAGAACGCAGGTCTCAACAGCATCAAAGTCGTCACCGAACTGCGCCACAAACATGCAAACGGAGAGAAGAATGCAGGTGTCAGTATCAAGAGTGGAGGTGTCAAGGTTGATATTGCGGATGAAAATGTGTTGCAACCACTTTTGGTCAGCACGAGCGCTATTGAATTGGCGGCTGAGACAGTGAAAATGATTTTACGTATTGATGATATCGCTTTATCCAGATAAACTGTCCGTATCTAAAGCAAAAATTTAAGGAAAAGTTGATGGTTATGACATGAGATGTATATTAATGCATGGCGGCGAGTGGGATATCATTACAGAGATGGATATTTCGCTTAACCCCTTATGGCATCAGCTCTAATGAATGAATCATGATTGTCCTCAGGAACCAATCCATGCTTACTGGTGCAGATATGAAGTAATGTGAGCATGTGGCATTCAAGGTGTTTTATTTGCTGTGAATTGTGATGTGAAGACCAACGCCCAAGTCTTTAACAGTGAGCTCTGACATCTGTTTCCGTTATAGTCAAAATACAGTGCAACTTTTATATTCAATATTTACACTAATCGATCCATTCATCCCATCCAGGGAGTATACAACCTTCTCGCATGGTTTCAGAGATTGAAAGGGTCCAAGAGATCTGTCTATAACAATCAAACTCTACCCTTATATAATCCACCCGTTTTTTCATTCCCCTTCCATTCCCACATCTATTTAACACCCACAACTACCAAATTTCTCGACTCATCCCATATTCAAAGACCCCCTCAACCCACGCGTCCCTACACTCTCCCCTCTCAATCGCCTCTCGCAAAAACACGTATCGATCAACTACAATCATTGACTCTATAACCCCAGCACTAAACGCCATCAGTGACCAAATGATACTGAGTTCTTTTTTCCTCGCCAAATATTGAGACTCGTAAGTCTGGATTTCGGCATCGGTGATATCGCCGACTTTTTCCTGGACCATGGATGAGACGTCGGAGCGGGGGACTTGTGGTTCCTCGGAGGAGGAAGCTGGCGTGGCGGTTAGTTTTTGAATCGCGCCTCGCACATAGCTGGTGAAGGACTCGTAGCAAGACTTTCGGAGGGAACCGATTATAATGGGGGTTGTGGTGATGGGCTCCTCTTCTTTGTCGTCGCAGCATTCTGTCGTGTTGCACTTTGTGGAAGTGGGAGTCCGTTTGTCGAGATGGTCGGAGGTGTCTAATGGGATGGCTTGTACAACACCGTAATCTAGGAATAGCTTTTGGAGTAAAGCGCGGTAGAAGTGGCGTGTGAAAAATGAATCACTGTCTTTGGCGGTCCAGTTTGCAGGCGCTTGGACACCCATCATTCGAGAGGTGATGTTGAGTGTGATGCCATGCTCGTTGTATGTTGATAGACGGTTAGACATGGGGAAACCGTGGGGATCTGATGCGGGGCTTGAAGAGGAAGAAGGGTGTGGAAGATTCAGAGCGCGGAGATTGGGACGGAGGAGAGGATGTTTGTAGGAAGGAGTGTTGAGACGTTCGGAGAGGAGATTGTAGCAGCAGCCTACGATGGCTATAGCGTGAACCGAAGGATTGAGGAGGAGAGAGCGGATTCCATGATGTGAGAGGTTGCCGCAGGAGTGGATGGATATAGCCATTAGATTTATTTCCGAGGGTATTACTTCCGAGACACGGGATATGATATCTTCTTTAGCAAGAGCGGTAGAACCGGTCTCCGAAATGATGTTGAGATCACCATCTGGGGCTGAAACTTTCAAATCCTCAATTTGTGATACCACATCTGATAAATCTCCATCTTCAACTCGATGTTCCACGTATTGAATATATCCCTTCCCAACAGCTGGGGTATATATCGTCTGTAAAGCCCTCGCCGGTCGTAATCTGCCTCTTCATCCCTATCCACTTTCCCTTCTGCTCTTTTCGTCTTCCCTACCTCTCCCATAATCTTCTCCCTAAAAACTTTCTTATTTCTCATAACCTTTTCCCTCTCCGCCATCCCCGCCAAAATATCCATGCTCTTCGCCCCCTCAATATTTCCCCCCTTACTCTCCACCGCCACAATCCATCTGTTCCACGGCGGACTCGCCAACGTTCTCCCCAAATAATTCTGCCCACTCCCAAAATCCACAAAATGCGTGATTTCCTTTCCACTTTCCTCCTTCACCTCATCCGCAACCCGCGTCACATAATCCGCAAAATTCGTCACCTCGTGTATTTTCTTCGGAATCATGCCCACCGCCACATGTCTTGGTAACTTTCTAGCACTGAGATTCTTCTTCTCCACGCTTCGGATCAGTGAATGTTTGCGGATATTGAGGATATATGTGATGAGAGATTCTGGCGGCGGATTGGCCGTATCACGTGCCAATGAAAGATCATCCCGCATGAGTAAATCTAGAAAATCCATAGAGGGATATTCGAGTAACCAGGCGCGCCATTCTTCGGGGAGAATCTTATGATAGAGACTTGGCTCTCTGATGAAGAAATCGAGGATATGAACGCCTCCGCATAGGGTTTGGAAAAGGGTAGAGGTGGTTGCGAAGTTTAGGAGTGAGTCGACGTATTCATCTGCGTTGGAAAAATCATCTGGATATGGAAGTGGTTTTTCTGGAGGCATTGTAAGGTTTGTTGGATATTTTTTTATTTGGTTTCTGCTTTTCTGCGATTTTTTAAGAGGAAATTATATCAACCCTTGAATTTTTTCAATATCTTTTTTCACGATGATACAGACACAATGTGCGGCTAGTGTTAAAAATTCACGAGCCTCATCTTCCTTGACTTTTTAAATTTTACAGATACATACCTACATACGTACCTACATACATACAAATAATATAATATCATTTCATCAATACATCAATATATGTATATATCTATCTAGATATCTAGGCCTATATATCCAATCATCTCCGAGATCTTTATAATTATAATTATCATTGTTCCATTCGTCATAGTTATCATTTATAATAAATATTTATCTTATTATTAATCCAAATTTTACCTGACAGCTAACAAGTACCGGTACTCGAGTAAGTGCATCTTGAATCATGATGGTATATACAGCATTATTAATCATCCAAAGAGTTCTGGTATTTAATATCTCGAGGCAAGGTAATGAGGCATGACATCTCAAAAAAGTTTAATTGTGTTAATCCGTACCAGAACTAAGGTTACTCCACATGGAAGTTAGATCCTCGATTTGGTAGTCAATACTTCAAGTTATGAACTCGATCACTCGAATTTGATGCTCATATACGCAGTAATCGCTTAGCTGCCATGAATCAAGATACTGAACCTTCAATAAATGGAATCTCCACCGCTACTCCGACTCCGTCATCTGGCGGCCGTCGACATGCCTGTGATCGTTGTCAGAGGCAAAAACTTAAGGTTTGTTCTAGCCTCGGATTAGTAGTTCGATCATGCTTCATAATGCTGGAAAGTACATGCTAAAGACATCCAGTGTGATATCGAAAAACCATGTCTCTTATGCGTTTCGTTCAGGGGCTTCATGTGTAACAACACCGTCTGGAGCTTCAAGGTATGTGCTACACAAGCTTATGGATGCTATGGAAGCTGACCAGAACGCTCGTCGAAAGAAAACCGAAGCAGGTCCGGAGAAAAGCGGCCCGCAAAAGCAATACTGCCCCTAGTGCTTCGGGGACGCCCTCGGCCGCCCCCAAAGACTGGGACTCTGGACCGTCAAATTCGCGAACTAAAGATTTTCTAGATCATCCTCACCCCCCTAGTCAAGGAGCAAAGGGTATACATTCAAGTCCAGCTTTGTCAAGCTCGCTGCATGATGATGACACAATATCTCAACAAACTACACCGTTCCCCGCGCCAGACAAGTATGCTGAGATGTCCGGATTGGACTTACAAGTAAGGTAAATAAACACCATACCTGATAAGATGACCCTTTTGGTAACCTGTAAGATCTGACTGCTAAACATGGATAGCTTTTTTCACATTCACAAGCAAGGATCAATCAACTCTTTGGTAGAAAGCTATAGTACAAATGCTATTCCAGGCGGAGACTTCGTGAATACCCAAAAACAAAGATCGCCAGACGTCGAGTCAGTTAGCTTAGACTCCGCGTTCCCAGGGTTTACCTTTCCACCGCGGCCAATTTGCGATTTTCTTGTAGAATCCTACAGGAAGTCGGTGCATTGGTTTATGTTGCTCTTCCACGAAGCTTCGTTTAAATGCGAGTACAAGGAGGTCATGGATAGTCAAGCGGCTAGTCCCCGTCAACTTGGAAGCGTTGTACTATTTCTAATGGTATTTACTATGGGAGCGCGGTACACGACCAATGAAGAAGCATTGGAAGCCTGTGGGACGAATCTGGACCTAGAAGCACTCCAGCAGCAAATACTCAAAGAAGTTCAAGCACATCTATTTGATGTTATCGATATAGGTGGAATCGAGTCGGTCCAGATTTGTATTTTGCTAAGTTCATTTTACATGTACAATGGTAGACCAAACCTAGCTCTAGCTATTTTGGGAGCAGGGGTACGAAGCTCACAGGCAATTGGACTTCACAAGGAGTCTTTGTGGGGATCCCTTACCGAGACTGCCAAGGAGGCTCGTCGCCGCACATGGTGGGCACTATATGTTTATGACAGGTAAGCCTAGATTATATACATTATTGATTCTCCGAACATCGAAAGTCTCTTGTTACGTCAGCACTAAATCTCTTCTCAGGTTTTCGTCGATTACATATGGGCGGCCCTTATCCATCAACGATTCTGATTGTGATGTGCGCATCCCCGGTAATCTGGATGATGCCTCCGACGTTCATCCATTGTTAAATTCACTAGAACTTGTGGATGCAGATTCTTCAACCCAAGTTACCTTAAGCTCGTACCATCGATTCAAATTCGCTCTGTATAATATTGCAACCCCTATTATTGGTGACATTTATAATTTGAAAAACTCAAATCCCTCAAACATGGCACAACAGGCTATATCAATCAACACGAATCTTGTGAGGTGGTTTGACCAGCTGCCATCAGAACTAAAGCTAGATTCAAATACAGATCTCGATGTTAGCAATCTTTCAGCTTCTGAGGTCAAGGTCTGCAAGTTATTTCAGCTACAAGCTCTTGTATTACAGCTAGCATATGACAATATTCAGATCATTCTTCATCGGCCATTTCTTCGATATAATCATTGTTTGGCTGTACTTCCTACGTCTGCTACGTCTGATTTACGTCCCACAAGCTTGGAACAATGCAGGCATTGCGCCAGACGAACTTGTAATATTTCATCGCGTTACTCAGATCTTCTCCTGGCTGCTCGAGACACTCATGCTGTTGCATATGTCGCCATTCAAAATTTTACTGCAGGAGTTACATTAGGAATGGTGGCTTTGTCAGATCCAGGTTCGGAACAAGCACAGGATGCAAAAAGAGGGGTCTCGAATTCAATATCTCTTCAGAGAATGCTCGCGGTATCATCTATCGTTCCATTACAAACGGTAAAGGTTTTGGAGCAGCTTTTCCGGCTCATATTCAAAAGAGAAATGGAGATAATGCTTGATGGCCCCCCTTTAAATCTGGAGACTGGCAAAGTCACTTCCAACTTCTCGCAACACGAACAGAAAATCAATGAGCCACCCCGTCATCTTGTGCAAAATAAGGCAACACTGCCTAAATCTCCGCCATTGCAGACTTCACAGACCGTTGTGATGGACCCTGTGCAAGCATCCCGTCAAATCGGAGACAGACGGTCGCAAGCAGAGGAAATGAGGCCAGCGCAAGAGCTTGGTAATTGTATGGACTGGAACAACTGGTCTTTTGATGCAGGAATTGATAATGCCCTAGAATCAATCCAACAAGGTAATTTAAATTCCATTCCAATAGCCTCTGTTATCTGTCCAGTCTCATCTTCCAGCTGCAATTTTACATATTAAGAAAGGAAGTTGTACTCAGCTAATATTTTGACTGACAGTTCTCTGGCAAAATTCACATCCGGTGACAAGTTCAGAAACATTGTCTATGAATACCACTGGTTTATGTGGCAATACATGTGGGCCGCAAAGGCAGGTGGCGGCTGGCGATTCTAAAGATCCAATCACTATCCCACCAGAAGAAGTTCAATCTTTCGACATAAATGAGACTTTAGGGCAGAGTTCCTGCGATCTATATGGGCAATGTTGGATGTGGAATTGGGATCCTTCTGATGGTGATAAGGGACCCAACTTCGGATAAGCAAAGCCTTGGCTACCTGTCGGACGATTGAAAGAAAATTTGAACTCACGGCAAACGAACTATTGTAATCATACATCCTGTTTTCTTTTCGACACTTTCGCATTTGTCATGTTATGATCACTCGCATGGATTTGTTATTTTCGGGGGGTTTTATTGTATCCAGGTATCGAGCCGTTGTATGAAGTACATATAATACAGGTGGGTGAATAGGGGTAATCCGCAGTAACAACAGCGCGCAATGTTCGATGTTCTCTTTGGGAGAAAAATTCTGTACGGCTCACCTCACAAACTGATCGACAAAATCTGCGCCCAACCCAACCTTTTCATAATGAGCTTTTGCGCTCGAAAGCTTCGAGAAAACATCCTCCACCCCCACCGGATTACCAGCAGGATCAACATAAATATAAGCACCCGTAACATGAAACAGCGTAATCATCTCCTCCACTCCTTCCGGCACTTCTAATGTATGGATATCCCCCGGCGGCTCAAAACGCAATGGCTCCTTCGGTAGCCCACCAAATCATGCTCCAGATAATGCCATTTTCCCCGCAGCGTCGTCGCATGTACAGGACCAGAATGACGATGTCGTGAAAGAATACCCGAGCGACGCACTCGTAGGATGTTGACGAAATAGCCCTGGGAAACGCAGAGCACAAGCGGACGAAACCAGACGTTGGGGGCCTGTGGGACCCAGAGCTTCTCGTCGCAGTCGAAGGATAGCACGTTGGGGATTATGAGATCCGAGGCGACGTGTGGGAGGGGCTCGCCTTGGTAGGGGATTGCTTCGGTGTCTGGGCGTGCGTGGGGGGTGGTCATGGTGATTGAGGGGGGGTTGTGGGGTGGTTGGTTGGGTTTTAGGGAATGCTTGATTTTTTTGGTGAAAAGTTTGTTTGATTAAATCTGAATTTGAATTTGTGTCTATTGTCTGAAGTATCAAATGCGTTCTATTCTATATAAATTCCCTTGAAAGAAACCCTGCATCTGATCTCATGTTGAGCAGGTTTTACTCTGTAAAGTGATTTTCTCTACCCGGTGGACACTAGGCACTAGACCTTCCACCGGACTCGATACTGAACTAGCCGAGAAGAATATCGAGGCTCATCATATAAAACCTATTGTTATCCTCTTCTCGATATCGATGTCCTCGACAGATAGAACAGCCATTTATTTTACATATTAATCATGTTTTAAATCGTGTAGTGTTTGAAATTTGAAGCTGGGGACATTGAGTCTGATGTGAGAGATTTTTTTTATCTATGTAGCTGTCTCCTTTGAAGACACCTCGTCGGAAAGTTGGGAAACTAGGTATGCATATCTATTTAGGTATGATGCAGGTGCTTTTCTGCTTATGTATTCGCGATACTGTATTTTTAGTAGCATGCAGAATTTGATGGCTTGTGAATAATGTATGTCACTATGATGCTGTTCTATATACATTTTTATATTTGATATTTTGGGGATGGGTTCAACTAGTTTTCTATAGGTAAGAGACTCGTCAGAATATTCGAGATTTTGGGACGGGAATGCACCTGTGTTAAAGTTGTTGGTTCGGATGTTGTATATCAAGTGCACGAATGAAGAAGTGTTTGATGAATATTCGGCAAAAATATATTTGAGAATACAATCCATCTATCTATTTTAATCTATCCATTGCCCTCCTTTATATAATAGCTACACATTATCTACCACAAAATTCCAAAAAAAAAACTCCTATCTAAACAATTCTATCAACTTTAATAAAACTATTATTCCCTACAACTTACAACGACGCGGCAGTCGTAGTCTCGAAATCTTCCGGCTCCCGTCCCAGCAATTCCCTCAACAAGGCGACACACCGCCGCCTCTCCTCTACGGAATGCTTCAAAAGCCGTCGTCCAAAGCATCGAGAGATCAACTCCATGATATGTGAAATTGATGAATTCTGCAGCTGCTTCGCAAACTCCTCATTAGAAACCTTACGAATGCGCACATCTTTCTTTGCAAGCTTTCCGAGAATCTCCACCGTCTCCTGCAAGGTGAGGATTTTCGCTCCAGAAAGAAGAACCGTTTGGAGACGATACTTGAATCCCGCGGGATCCTTCACAAACCGAGAGAGGAGCTCTGCGGTGCCCTCACCCAGCTCTTCTCGCTTGACCCATGCGATGCCCGGCGCGGCTCCATCATGCGGAATACAGATCTCCTCGACGGGATTCTTGGGGTCAAAAAATGAGGTGTAGAGAGGGTAGGATTCGGAATAGAGTCCCTCGCGCACAATCGTGTATGCGAAACCGGGATGGGTGCGCGTGCAATTGTCGAGGTATTTTTCGGTGTCCAAGTGAGCGCGCATAACGTGGGCGACGGATTCCTGGCTGCTTTCTTGGCCGGCGAAGCCTAGAGAGCCGTAGAAGATGTATTTGACGCCGCTGCGGAGAGCGAAGTCGATGGCGGTACGGTGACGCTGGGATTCGTTAGTGCGGGCTCTGGAGATGGATATAGAGTGGTGGGAATGGATGGCCCACCAAACTCGGAAACTTACCTCTGCTCGATGTTCATATTCTACTGATGCGTAGGAAATGAGGAAGAGAGTATCGATTCCTTGGAATGCATTTTGGAGAGAGTTGTCATCGTCATAGTCTGCTTGACGAACATCCGCGCCGGCAGATTTAGCAGACTCTAATTTTGCAGGATTGCGCGCGATGAAAACTAGATCTTGGGCTGGAAGACGGGGAAGTAGATGCTTGACTGTGCTGCCTCCAATGCCTCCTGAGGCAGGGAAAACACCAACTTTATGACCGGACATCACGAGAATGTTCTTAAGAATAACGATTTGGGATGACAGATAATAGTGGATTTTAGGAATGCAGAAGATCAATGAAATGAGATGGAACTGGTTGATTGATTTCTGTATTTGAAGTTAACAGACGAGCTGTAGTTATATGTGTTTAGCAAAGCAAAGGGGGTTGTTATCTTCTTCTTTCGAATTCGGAGTGCTTTGAAATCAGATATTGAAGGGAAAAATTCGTCTGATGAAGAGAAACTCAAAGAAGCCGCATTGTTTTACTTGACGTCATCTCAATTGATGTGGAGTATCTGATGGAACCAGTCTGTATCGTCTGTAGTATACCTAACTCCTTGAAGACATAGAATTAGTTTTTCCCTACTACGAGTACACGGCCAAGTAAACCCTAGCGTTAACTCTGCAAGAGATTGAAGCAGAAATAAACTTTAAAACGGAAGGAAAACAAACCTACTTGCCACGCTACAGCTAAGAAGCTAGCGGTTTATCCTTTTGGTCGAAGCTTTCTCTAGATATGTGTGAACTTGCATGTTTCTCCAAGCCTTCAATTTTTCATCCAAGTAAGCGAGTGAGGTTTCTGTTGTTTTCCTCTTTCGCTTTTGGCTATTCAAGCGACCTTGAAGATTCCTAGGCTTTGACGTATCTGAAGGCTGAGAACCTACCAATAACGATATAGCTTCACCTCCATGCGTATTGAACGTAAGTATGATATGTTCTGCTCTGCTCTGCACCCATCACACCGTCGGCTAAAAAGCGGGGGAACAAGAGGCAAAAAGGATGAACGATTATTAAGCAAATAATTCGAAACCATCAGTGAGACCTATCCCAGAACCTGCCCTATACAAATCCGTACTAGCGACCAAGCATCCGATCCAGTTATTCGTCCCGTCCCATACCATACCCGTCTTTGTCATCGGAATTGTACATGTTGATAGGTATTGAGATGAATTTTCACACTTCCCACACTATACTTCTTCATGTCGAATCGTCAAAGATCTTCGAGCTATCATCTTAGCCCACCGGAAGGAAATATTGGCACTTGCCCCACATCGTTAGTTGTACATCTAAGTAGCTAAGCAGTCGGAAGTCCGGTGGACCTCCACATTGCAAGAAGAAGCTGTCTATATACCGCAGCAATGTACTGATATCACATAACATAATGAAATTGGAAGAAGGGAGTTTTCGTCCGGCTTATAAATACAATTCCATGCAAGATAACACAAGACAGCACAGCAATTCATGGCCAAGGTATCAAGCTTACTAAGTATGAAGTGTTTATCGTTGACACCGAAGTCTGATACTATCATCGATGGTCTGTCGTTGAGACGATGGTATGATATGATATGATGCTAACTCGCTACTAGTGGTCGTGGCCATCCATCCGTTTCCATTATAATAAGTTACAAGGTATGACGTATCCCTGGATTGGCTTGAGCACCTCCCTTCCGGACAAGAGAATCGATCATGATTGTGGCTACTCGAGTACTCACTCGTAGACGCCATCGTTCCTGCCGTAAAAATTCGTTTGATGATTAATACTATAAGGTTAAGGTTACTACCTTATCGCCTAGTGTCATCGTAGATTTCAAAGCTTCGTGATTCAGCCTCTCTCCTCATATATATAAAAGGTGCTGCACTTCGAGTTGGAGGAGAAATCATTCTAGTATCAGATCAACATCTTAGAACTTCCTTACAAAGTTCTTGTTTCAAGCATCGCGTCATATAACATAGCATAGTATACTATAACATCCGCCGACGATCCCCATACATCAATCACCACAATGGGTGCGACACGCTACTTAAACATCGACGACGAGGCATCTATCATAACCATAGTGAACGAGCCTTCACCAGATGTCAGTGATCCCCCTCTCCAAATCTCCAATTTCTCAAAATATTAACTTCACACAGGTTCCCTATTTCACACCCAAGCAAGACCCAGTTTCAGGCACAGCCATTGCCACAAAGACTGAAGGGAAAGAAATCCCACCTCTTTTCACCCCCTTGAAAATAAGAGGTGTAGAGCTCCAGAACCGTATTCTGGTACGTGTTCCCTGTTCTATTCTCTACAAATCCAAATCCCACTCACCACCTCCTCATATCACCCATAACTAACAACCCAAAAGCTTTCACCCCTCTGCCAGTATTCCGCTGAAGACGGCCACCAAACCAACTGGCATTTTGCGCATCTGGGCGGTATCATATCACGTGGCCCAGGGCTTTCCTTCATCGAAGCCACTGCGGTTGTGCCCGAAGGACGCATTACGCCCGAGGATTGCGGGCTCTGGAAAGATTCTCAGATCGCACCTCTGAGACGCATTGTGCAATTTGCGCATAGTCAGGGCCAGAAGATCGGTATTCAACTTGCTCATGCTGGACGAAAAGCAAGTACCGTGGCCCCGTGGCTGAGTATGTCGCGTGGTCCTGCTGCCCCTATAAAGAATGTATGTCTCAGGTAACTTATTCATGATTTGAGAAGTAATCAATGCTGATTTCCAAAGGTCAATGGATATGAAAATGACGGGTTCACACCGGTAAGAAAATTCGAAGCCCAACGAGCCAGCTCGAATGAATGTGAATAACTGACATGAGATTACCAGGCTCATGGATGGCCAGACAACGTCATGGCACCTAGTGCCATCGCTTACAAGGACAAGAATATCATTCCACACGAGATGAGCCGTGATGATATCAAGTCACTAGTCAACGCATTTGGAGACGCAACCAAGCGAGCCATCGAAGCCGGATTCGACGTAAGTTTCCAATCCTCCTTGTCAATGACTCCGAAGACAGCCAATTAGCATTAACGAATGCATATAGGCCATAGAGATCCACGGAGCACACGGCTACCTTCTCCACCAATTTCTCTCTCCAGCCTCCAACAAGCGCACAGACGATTACGGCGGCAGTTTCGAGAACCGCACCCGTGTCGTCCTCGAAATTGTAGATCTCACACGCCAAATCATGCCCAAGAACATGCCCCTTTTCTTCCGAGTTAGTGGAAGCGAGTGGTTAGAACATCTTGCCCCCGAACCCAGCTGGGATATCCAAGAATCGATCAAACTCGCCAAGATCCTAGCCACCCGCGGCGTCGACGCCCTCGATGTATCCAGCGGTGGAAATGATCCCCGACAAAAGATTAAGGGGGGCCCGGGATACCAGGCTCCGTTTGCCCGCCAGATCAAATTGGCGGTAGGAGATAGTCTTCTGGTGGGAACAGTCGGATCCATCACTTCAGGTGTGCAAGCAAACGATTTGTTGAAGGACAATGGGCTCGATATGATTTTCATCGGGAGAATGTTCCAGAAGAACCCAGGTCTAGTCTGGACGTTTGCGGATGAGTTGGATGTAGATATCAAGGTCGCAAACCAGATCCAATGGGGCTTTGGTGGACATCGCAGAAAGTGATTTATTAAAAGAAGGGAAAGTTAAAAAGGATAGAACGATAGAGACGGGAGGAAAAGTAGATGATAATTGGTAAATTATCAATCCTGTTTATAGAGATAGAAATATTCAACTAAATAATTCCATAACTTCCGATAAATTGTTTCTATTTGTGTTTGTTAATTTTATTGAAGAGCTGGCATGTATGTATCTTCTCCTGGACCCCCCTCCCCTCCCCCCCTTTCTTTTTTCTTTACCCACCTACCTAGTATGTATATATACATACAACTATCAATGATATACTCATAATAGATACAAATTCATACCTATGTATTCCTACCATCTCAGCTATTCTCGCAACTGTATATATGATGATTTTATAGTCAGCATTACTTCGAATTTCAACCAATATGCTTTTAACACACATCCTACTCCTATCAACCTCAATCCTGCAATGGATAAAGTAAATCGTTCACATATTGTCACTTCACATCACCAGACACCCAAACCCAACAACACGCCCAACTTACCGAATGATTCAACATTTCAATTTCTCTTTCTCTTCATCTACTTCAAGCCCAAACAAAAAACTCTCTGAAAACGTCGATAAAATTGCATTCCTTGTCTGTGGTATCCTTCGCTCTAATATCCGCTCTTCAAGCCATTTTCTCTCACTGCATCTATTACAACCGTCCGATCTGAACATCAATCAACTCACAAAAATCCTCCTAGTCTCCCATCCGTCCATCCTGCCTAACACTGATTTTGTCCCAGAACCAAACTCCTCCCCACAGATACCATGCTATCCTTTTCCCGACAAAATCTCTATTCCCAAAACCACTCTACTCAGCAAGTACACCTCTTAGCATACTCAAGAATCCCTCCTTCAACTTATACACCTCGGCCACTTCTGGCTTGGCAGGTTCACCCGCAGTTCTCCTTAAATGATCCTGTTTCCTTGCTCTCCTTTTTCTTTCAGCAGCAATGGGGTCCAACTCATCGTCTTCCTCATCCTCATCACTACTGTCTTCGTCTTCTCCATAGTTGATATCCTCGAGATCCCCTTCGTCCAATCCAAAATCGGTACTCTTGAAGGCTAGTGCGCCAGGTATCTGCTCTGGAGCACCTGTACCTTCTGCCGCCATCTTTTGTCTTGTTTTATCAGAATGCCACTTCTTACGTGCTTCTTGCCAAGTAATCAATTGGTTTATTTCGTTGATAGCAACTTCTTTATTTAGTTGATTTACGCTTACGGCACCTGTAACAAGAGCATTGATGTCAAGTTTTCCACCCTTGGGACCTTGACGGAGGAACTCGAGGATTCCCTCTATCCAACCCATCAATTGAGTAAAGAGTCCATTATCATGAGTATGTACCTCATGAACGAATTTGTAGAAATTGTGCTCGTGTCGCTGGCATAAATCGATGAATGCTTGAACTGTTTGATTAGGGTCTGCTGAGAAATCTTGTTCTCGGCACTTTTCAACAACCTGTTTTGTGTACCGTTAGCTATTTTCGTCTATCGATGGAATAGAAATACACTCACCTTTATCGTATCCTCAATGAACTCGGCAAAATCAGTGACACTGTCGTACACATTTGCTGATTTATATACTCGTACCAAAGGCTCGTAGAAGATTGTGAACAAGTCGCGAAGAAGGCGTAATGTAACCGGTTCCTCAATCATGTTTAGCATCATAGCCTTATCTCGCTGTCTCGTGTACAATTTGAGGAGTTGTTTTAAGTATGAGAACAACTGTGCTCCTTGCTTCATCTCTTCGTCAACGTTCTCCACAGCATTGTTCCAAGCAACATAAGCGTTGTAGATTTTGCCGATTTGAGTCGAGTTCAGGGGCGGTTCGATATCTTCTGACCTTAGGATGGAAACAATCAAGTCCACGCCACTCTCTTCTGCATCAACTCTTATGATATTCTTGAAATCTTCAGGACTGTCAGAGAACTTCTTTAATTTGTCACAAAAGACAGGCTCATTGATCTTATTTTGGAGGCCATCGATAGACTTTTGGAAACTTCGAATCCCATCATTCAAGGTTAAAGAAAAGATCCTCTGCATAAGCGATCTCGTTCCAAAAGGTTGAGCTAGGAAGATGTCTAATATGCTAGACATAACAGCCGCTGGATTAGCTATTCGAATTGCATTCTTGATAATTGTGTATGGAATCATTGAATGAATCTTTTTGGCTTGCGCGAATAATTCCGGGGAGTTGTCTTCTGCTAGGAATAAATGATAAAGAGTTGCTGCTACTTCAATTCGTAACCATTCCGCAAATTTCTGGTATTGAATGCTGAGATCTTGAATGGTTGGCTTATCCTTAATTTCTTTGAATAATTTGGTAAGGCCATTGCTTTCCACGATGTCGCGGCGGAATCTAAATTACTTAGTGAGCGTACAAATAGAGTCTCAAACAGGGATACGTACTCTTCCATGTAGATGTCCAGTTCGGCGGCGCGCTTCCTGGCTATTTCATAAAACTGTTGTTGCTCTACAACCCTCTTTTCGTCCATTAGCCTTCTTCTCTCAACATCCTCTACATCATCATCGGTTAGTTTGATAGGTTGCTGTGACAGGAAATCTTGCATCGCTCGGGTTCCAGCTATTTGAGGATTGGCAAGAAGACCACGGAGGAATGCTCTCAAAGATATGCGTTGATTTTCTCGCCATAGAGTTATGCCCTGAGAAAAATTAGCTCGTGTTATTATAACCTATTAGCAAAACTAACATCTGAGTCTGTAACAGGGGTTGAAGGAGGTTTGAGAAGCCTATCTACTGATGGCCGTGGAGATGATGTTGATGGTCTCGGAGATGACCTTCCGAATGACGCCGCTGATCCAGAGCGACGATGATCTGATAAAATTAGTTGTGATACATCGAAACTTGTAAAAAATTGGCGAACTAACCACGGACAGACAAGTTTTTCATGCCAGATTCGGCGCCCATAGTCCCCATTGTCGAAACCGAGGACATCGAAGACGCATCGGAATCTTTGCCACCCGTAAGACCACTAATCAGGTTTGATGCAGTTGAACTCTCCTTATTTTTCCGAGGCATTGGTGGAAGGACTTTGCCAGGAAGTTCTGTTCGTAGCCTCTTGTGAAGTCTACTGAAGTCACCATATCGGCGTCCGATGAAATATGGGATTTCCCCCTTCTTCTTGACTCTGAGAACGAATTCCTAACGTGGTATAAGTAGTTGTTCCACAATTTACAGCCATGATTAACTCACGGCATGTTTGTGGTATCTGATGTTTCGTTTGATTTTTGTCGTTCTCACGCCCGCCACATTTACATCCCAACCATGCAAATAATGGCCTTCTGGCAAAGTCGAAAGAACTCCGTGCTCGATAGCACCCGCGTCGACAACTTCGAGTTCAGAAAACCTAATTCTCTCCTCATATCCTGAAGCCGTAGGTATACCAGATACCATCATCAACTCCACTAGCTTCTGGCATTTCAATGATAGCTTTCTGCGCTTTGTTTCTTCGAGCCTATCTTCGGATGACGAGATGTGTTTCTCAGCGAACGATTGTAGAAACTTGCATAGTAGATCCGTTAGATACTTGCCCTCAAAGATCCAGACTTTCTTCAACTCACCACTTGTAATTTATCCTGCCAGAACTCCTTCTCCTTCGCCTTATCCAAAAATGGAAATTCGCGAACATGATGTACAAATATGTATCTGAGAATCGGCAGCTCGGAATCTAGAGGAGATACTTCCCCGCGATCGGATTTGAATGGGGCGCCAAATCTCTGTAATGCCGTGGGAGAATTCAACTCGGTGATTTCGAATTTCACTTGTTGCGAAATTAATTCGCGCTTTAGATCTATAGAGAATGAGTCAGTGTCTATGCCAAATAAGAGGGGTGGGGTTGTCGAATACATACAATGTTCTTGCTTTCCAGTAAGTGCTTGTCCTTTATCATCTCCAAAGACGCTTCTTGTGGGCGACAGTATGGCGCCATTTGCTGCCATCTTGGAGGGAGAGGAAGGAGGGATAATGGGATTTCCACCCTCAATCTTATTTTCGTCGTTCATCGAACTTTTGTTGTTATGAGTAATTTGAGGTATATTTAGGAAGAAGATTGCGCGTCTCCTAGGTTATTGCGATGTTGTTGCAAGTTGAGGGATTTCAATGTTCCAAGTTGTTTTAAGTTTTGAGGTCGGATGCGATGGGCTATGCAATGCGTAAAGAAGCTTACGGTGTAGCGGGGTAGCTCGTGAAATGATGCTTTTCTTCTGGTAACCTTGACAGATGCTCTTGCGTCAAGGATTAATAGATTGGTATGTCACCACCATGAACGATTCTAAAAATAACGGATGATCAAATAGAAGTCAAATCACAAACATTGTCTTACTTGATATTCACAGCAGAAGCAGAAGGACATAGTGAGGCATTATATACCATGGATTGGAATTTTGGAATTTTGGAATCTCTTGACAATTGCCATACAATACAGGGATATATGATGGGTGGCTTAGGGAAATGACGACTGATGTCTATTGTGTGCCGGTCCACGGCCCACGGCACCATGTCACCATTCTAGAATCCAAAGTGTGAAATAGATTCCAAGTTCGGTAAATGTAAAGCATTTTGTTATATATATCATTGGACGTGAACCTTGCATAATCGACTCGGCATTCACCCGCGTATCCATCTACCTAGTATCAAAGACGCGAACCCCCAAAACTACCTGTGAATACGCATGAATGTCACTCCTAATGCGTACGTACGGTTAATGTGTATGATATGTAGTGTCATGTTCAACGATGCTAATAAGAAGAAGATGGGTAGGTTTATGGATTGGCATGTAGGTTTCGACCTTTACCAGCATCCGGTTGCTCGGCATGTCAATACTACAAGTCATGGGACCGTCGACCCACTGATTTTTGGGGTCCCGTAAGGCGTAGTATACTTGGAAAAGTGGTACTATTAATAATTAGACTTGGGCTGAGAGGTGTAAGCCCCGTGTGGACATTTTCGTGCCAATAAATTATAACTCGTCGAGTACTTTAAGTCTTGGATCCTCTGCCAACTTCTCTGCTTCCTTGTTGACTTCACTTCCAGGTGTTGAGCTTTCCAATATATCGAGAGTAGGCTTCAGAGTGGTCTTATTTTGGGCCTTTTCCAACTCTCTCAGCGCGGTCGGATTCGAAATGTTGAGTCTTACGGTCCCATGACCTTGCCCTTTCGAGGGAATGTATGCCAGAATGACGATGGATAGTAAAATGGTTGCGCATATCGACATCAAAATCCACATCATCTTGAGTCGTTTTCGTGTTTTGTCTTGCCATTCCTCCTCTGCTTGTTCCCAGCCTTTGACGCGCTTTCTAACAACGTCTACCCGTCCACTCAATGTGGTGACTGTGTTTCGTCCTTCCTTCACACGTTTCTCCAATGCTTTGATCTTTTGTTCCTGTGCTTCGAATTCTTCAAATCCTTCAAGTTGTGCCCGACTTTCTTGGACAAGCTCGTCTCCCTCTGTGCTAAAATCCTCATTCAACTGTCTGGTCATGGATGCCAAGTCTTTGAGGGATCCGATCGTCTTGTGAAGATCCCCTAATTTCTCCAAGACGGAATAGTATGTTGCATCTAAATGTCGGGAAGTGTTGTCCGCTATAACGTTCACATCCGTTAAGGTATTTCGCAGTTCCCTAATCCAGCGCATTAGTATCGGAGAGTAGAGGTGGTAAGTAAGACAAACGTGGCCATCATGGCGCCCTTCTGTTTCTCAGCTTCGAGCTCGCCCTCCCTCAGAGGCCTTCTCTCGTTGTTCTTAAACAAATCGAAGCCATCTACAGTAGAACCCAAGATACTAGGCCTTCGACTTCCATTCCGGCTCCCATCAGGTGAAACTCCTTCACTTTTTGATTCTACAGATGGACTGAAACCCCTCTGCAAAGTAGATTGAGACGATTTCTCGTCTTTGTCTCGACGATGTATATGCGGATGGTGATGATGGTGATGGTGGTGATGAGATCGGTGAGGTTTCACGGGAGGAGATGATACCTCAGATACCGACCGTGTGATTTGATGACGAGTTTTATTTGGAGAAACATATTTGGATCCATCACCGTTGGAAGACATGACTCTTTTGGTTTGTGATCAGATGTTGTTCCGTTTCATATTCAGGTTCCGATGAATGCATGTGCTATGAAGCTTGTATGGTGAAATTTAATGACCATTGATGCAACAATAGGGCGGCCGTTAGCACATCGCTGCACGAATTCGTTCATGAATGGCAAACTAGGTAGGTGTATAGGTAGGTATGTTAAGAGTATGAGTTAATAAATCAATTTAGAAGATAATGGAAGATTGAATCCTTTGGTTATTTCTGATATTATTTATCGTGTATTTTGAAATAGCTAATATACTCAAGGTCCTTACTCCTGATCGAATCTTGTTGAATCGCTGTCGAAGTTTCTGTATCGGCAATATCATAACGTCCTTCAACTTCCAAGAAACTTCGCTCAGTCCGGGTTGACTTCATCCTCGATGATAGGAGACAGTCCTCATTGGTGCTGCTGTGTCCGACTTTTAGTAGGCATATATCGTGCCATCAATAGCTGAATATCGCTCGACGTGCTATATGTGACTTGCGCAAATCAACCACATCACCCATATCTATCGATTGCTTTCAATGTGTTCCAAGTTGTTCCATGCGCCATGCTCCGTCCCAGAAGATTGTCTATCATGACTTCAACATCTTGTTTCTCTTCTCTCTTCTCTTTAATCTGTCAACACGCTTCTGGTGCATCTTTTCGGCCATTTTCTCGTATCGTTCTCTTTCCTCCTTGTTGGCGCGCTTTTCCTTGATTTTTGTAATATGGGCCTGTGATAATGATTAGTCTTGATGCAGATAGAGCTGGAATGGCGCTGACCTGTCTTGCAGCTTCTTTCTCCTCCTTCATCTCCTTTTCTTTAGCCTTGGTGGCTGCTATAGCCTCGTCATTTGCCTTTCTCTTTTCATATGAGGTATTTCCAGCCTTTGGTCGGAAAGCTTTCTTCACGGGATGCCATTGTTTGCCTAGGTATATCGAGTCAGAGACTTGATGCTCGGGAGAGAACGAAAAACTATCAATTGGAGCGCATGCGTACCATTCTTGCGCATTCCTTGGGGAAGGACGGTCGACTCAGCTGCAGGAGCGGGAGGGGCCACTTCTGTTGACATTTTGACAAAATGAATATTGATCAAATATTGGGCAATGATGTGAATATTCGTATGTGAGGAAAGAGGTTGAGGGATTTAATTTTTGGGCGTTATGGATCGTCGTACAGCAAATCAATTGTCGACAGGAATTCCAAATTCCAAGCATATCAATTACGATGCAGGAACTTTTTTTCTCGTTAACCATACTGATAAGCGTGATTGATTGCTTATCAGTAGTATGGATGCATTAATACCTTACTAGGTACTTACTAGGTACGAAGTATATAATTTATTATTCGTACTAAAGTGACTAAAACCCATCTGGACTCTTCTCTTTTTCCCCAAATTCTTTGAGCCATTTTTTTTCATTATTACCAAGGTAGGTAGGTAGGTAGTAGGTAGTCAGTCCACCGGCATCTCTAATCAATTGGTGATTCTTTGATTGTCCGTTATGGTCAATGTTCAATGTTCAATTAATTCTATTAATAATGCGTTCCCTCCTAGTAGGTACATACGTATATAATGTATATAAAACCATATAAAACTATATAATCAACGCAATCCTCTAGACTCGGTTCAAATTTCTTCCATCACATTGTCTTGTCAATCCTTTTCATCACCATGACTGCCAACACCTCCTGATCTTGCCTGATCTATTAAATCCCCAGCTTTCTTGAAGACGCAGGACGGGACCGACTGCCAACCTGGAAGAAAAAGTTGTTTCGATTGTGGAGACTTTCGCAGATTTTCAATCTGATAAAAAAATAGCTCCATCCTCCCCCCCACCTCACTTGGAAGTTGACAGCCCTCCGAAGATGATACTACGATAATCGGACTTCACTTTCCTATCCACGACATTCAAACCTTCGAAATAACTCCACTAGTACCACTCTCGAGCCACTACACATATATCTATTACCTTGGCACACCCAGTCTACGCTGTCTACCATGTTCTTCTAGCAATGTGGTTGGCTTGTTGGGGATCAATTCTTCCTTCTTCGTTTGTGGGTCGCACTCTGATTTTATAATTATTACGAGTTCACGGCAATAAATTACGAGAAAGTAAGAGAGACCTGGGTGTTACCCATTGTTGGAGAGAAAATCTTGCCCGCAGAAGACCGCAGATATCTTGCAAACAATCACGCAAATCAACTGTTTCCTTACCTTGCAACTGTTACTCATTTGCAGCGTGGAACAGCAACCTCATTATCCACACGGCACACAAGGAATCCCAAATCTGCCGTGTCGCCTCAACTTACAAAGAGCTATTCCAATCCCCTTCCTCCTTTCGGGACTCATTTCTCAATTGAAGTGGCAGAAAGTCGAACCCAAAGGATACACACATTGATACAGTCAAATAACAGTTTATAACTCTACTGGAAACATCTTCCTTTACTTTCTCATAAGCAAACTACGACCCAGCCATAATGGCAGCAACTATGACAGCGGAATTCACTCCCGACACACCACAGAAAGTAGTATCCAAGGGAAAAGAGGCTCTAATGAATTCTATTGAGGATTGCCTCTACGGTTCCGTATGTTATATCCACAAAACCTGAGCAAGACAATTATTAACAAATGAGCAGATTGCTGGAGTAGCTGGAAAATATATCGAATATCCTTTTGACACAGTGAAAGTTCGATTACAATCACAACCCTATCATCTTCCTTTACGTTATACTGGACCTCTTGATTGTTTCAAACAATCGATTCGCAGCGATGGGTTCTTAGGATTATACAGGGGCATTAGTGCTCCACTCGTCGGTGCTGCTCTAGAGACTAGCAGTCTTTTTGTTTGGGAACAAGCAAGTAGGGAAGCACTTCTCAAGGCTGGAGTATACAAGAGAGATCAACCACTTCCTCTGGAGGCATTGTGGATGACTGGTGCACTATCCGGCGCCCTTACTTCTTTAATCCTCACTCCTATTGAATTGGTCAAATGCAAAATACAAGTTCCGGCGACCGCGCCAAATGGTTCAGCTCCCGTCGCTGCAAAAACAGTCTCATCAGTCATTCGCGAGGTTTGGCACCACCAAGGCATTCGTGGTTTTTGGAATGGGCAGCTAGGCACTTTGATCCGTGAAACGGGTGGATGCGCCGCGTGGTTCGGTAGCAAAGAGACAGTCACTTCTCTTTTCCGAAAGCTGAACGCTAAAAATAGCCCCCAAAGTTCTTCCTCCGTTCTATCTACTGAACTAGTACCTTTACCTTTCTGGCAACAAGCTCTCGCTGGTGCCTCAGCAGGCATGTCTTATAATTTTCTCTTCTTTCCCGCAGACACCATCAAATCTCGCATGCAAACCGCCTCTACTTCATCTACAGCACCACGTACTACATTCATCCAAGAAGGTGCTCTTCTTTGGAAAAAACATGGTCTGAAAGGCATGTATCGAGGTTGCGGTATCACAGTTATGCGATCGGCACCTAGCTCTGCATTCAGATTCATGATTTATGATGGATTAAAGAGCCGTTTTCATCTTTCTTAGTACTTATTTCCCCATTTGATTACTTACGGCACGACGCGCATGTACATAGAATTGGAATCTTTGCCGCTTTCCACTTTCCATATCATATTATACCATAAAAGGTGGCCGGATATATAAAAATCGAACTCGGGTCTCTTTTTTTTGGCTTTCGGTTATGAAAATCTTGAAAATTAATTGGGGGCGGGCGTTGGAGAGGCGTTCAGGGATATCATATCATAGATCTGTATAGTCGTTCGGTTGACTCGGAAAGGAGGGGTAGGGGTGAGAGTGAGATAAGCAGAGCTCAAGTGAATTCCTGAGCATTGAAGGATTCACAGCTATCGTGTCGAGTTGGAAAAACTTGAAACTGGAGCAAGTCAGCTTTTGAGCGTTGCATTTTATATATATATGTCATAGACGGGACTGGATGAGATAGCATGGAGTAATGTGGGATTATAGAATTTAGAAATTAGAACTTGTTTTGAGAATGAAGTGTTTTGTTTTGTTTAGATTGGGTTTTCTTTTGTGTGTTTAGTTTGGTTTGGTGTTTGGGTGGTTTAGATTTGGTGATATTGATATTTGTTGACTGGTAGGTAGGTAGGTGGGTATGGTATGATATGATTAGTTGAATAGATGAGTATACCTATTTATCCATATAGAGTACAAGTAGATGTATATAAGATCTTACTAAATCAGATAGATGTATGTATCTACATGATAGAAAATACATATACTAGGTATGTATATCTAGATGATTGTGCTATAATATAGATAGATGGATGGATGTATATGATAGGTGTGTGATATGATTATTTAGAGGTAGCTGGAGAGTATATAATGTATACAGAGAGTAGAGAGAGTAGAGAGAGTAGAGAGAGTAGAGAGAGTAGAGAGATTTAGAGGTAGAGATAGTAGAGAGTAGAGAGATTAGAGAGAGTAGAGAGAGTAGAGAGAGTAGAGAGAGTAGAGAGAGTAGAGAGAGTAGAGAGAGTAGAGAGAGTAGAGAGAGTAGAGAGAGTAGAGAGAGTAGAGAGAGTAGAGAGAGTATAGAGATACTCAAATAGGCAGCGGAAGGGCGTGAGATAACGTCCCTGATTAAGAGGTTACCTCCCTAGCGCTTTTTGTATTCTTTACTAGACGAGGTGAAGTTTGATGTTATGAGATGAGATGAATGAGATGTGCATTGGTATATTCGTTTATATGTATTCAGAAGCCTGGAGTATATAGTATGGTAGATATACCAGTATTGCAGTAGAAAATAAGTAATTCATTCATGATTAAAAGCTATGGTATATTATCTGAAGACAAGACAAGACAATGAATTCAACGCCGTGCGAAAATCTGCGTGGAATAATGGACTCGGGATGTGTGGTTCGTGAGATAGATGATCGATCCATCCTTCGGAAGATGAAGGATTTGGGATTTGCACACACCGTATGGATTTTTAGCGCGTGCTTCGTGCGTGTATTTTCATTCTCCGCTTGCTTGTATCCCCTACTCTTCCTTCTCGTCAACGTACTTTGTTCCCTTGCCCTTGGGACTCTTCTCGACTTCCTTGTCGCTGATGTTCCAGTCGTTGAGATAGCCCACGCCGGCGCTGAGGTAGGTGGCGAAGCCGAGCCAGCCGACGTAGGGAGCGAGGGCCCAGGCGGCGACGGAGTCGACTTGTCCCCAGATGTAGGTCAGGTAGGAGACGGTTCCGGTGAGGGCGACGATGTCGATGGTAGCGAGGATGGGGCGTTTGAGGGAGAAGAAGAGGGGCATCCAGATTAGGTTGAGGCCGAGTCTGTGGGAGGGGAGTTAGTGGGAAACTTGTGTAGATAATGGGAAGTGAGAATTGTGAGGTGGAACTTACTGAATGGTATAGAGTGTAGCACCTTGTTTGAAAAGGAGATGGTTTTCGGTAGAAGCGAGAGGAGATAATCCGGTAGAGTATGCGCGGTAGGCAGAGTATCCCATCAGACCGTAGAGGAGAGTCCAGGCTGGACCGAAGACATATGGAGGGTGGAAGGTAAGGGGGTTGTTGTTTAAGTGCCATGTAGGTCCTTTTGAGTTTCTTTTGCTGGGAGGGGTGTTAGTGATTTGTTTGAGGGGGTCACTTGCTTCACGTTGTATATTATCGAGTCGGGGATATTGCCGGAAGAGGGGTTTCATGATGTACGATCTCGTCGTAGATGAATAAACAATGAAGTGGCAGAAGATCCATACTTACGTCTAACTGCGAACCAATAGCAGATCCAAGAGTAATTGGCAAGAGAACCGAAGCCGTTGGATTGGCAAATATGGCTGCGGGCAGCGTTAAGCTGGGAACGAAGGTCGTCATGATGGATGGATGAATTGATTGAATTTCGGATTGATGATGGAGCTGTGGATGGCGGCGTGAAAGGAAGTTTTGAGTCGAAAGTTGAGTGTACGTTGTCTTTATATCGGTTTCTGGTGGAGAAATCAGTTCATCCCCTCAATGACGTACTCCTCTTGTTATGCGAACGCAGTGAAAGTATGTGGAGTGAGAAAGTTGAGAAACCTCGGTTTGTGTGGGAGTGGGAGGGGATTGAGAAGGGGAATTGATTTGATTGTATGGAGGATTGCTAGTTATTTACTGCTTCTTTTGTAAGGTAACAAGATCTCTTATGAATGCTTTGTATTTATCTATTTATGATGGTCTCTACTCATATATGCTTCAATATCGAAGATTTGAAAAAGACGATATTAATTACATCCGAAGTACTTGTATGATGATCCAGAGATCTCCCCACCTACCTAACACCTACTGGTAGCTGTAAGATCTCAATGTGAGAAACTGCATTTGGCTGATTTCGGGAATTGGATGATTTTGATTGGCTCTTTAATATACCTTACTTTGAATCCTTGCTGCTCTCGGGAACCCATTTTGATGATTGGTTGGAATATGAAGGATTGTTGATGTGGAATGGGAGAAGTCGTATCATTGGTTATAATATTAGTCATCAAACTTCGGCTACCTTTGACGAGCTAACCAATAACAAGCATTCACTGTCGTATCATGTGCTTAGCCGAGACGCACTAAGCTACATCAGTCACACTCATCGATCCACTTTCCGCAAGTGCGATGCTCACTAGTCTATTTCCGAGTTGGACTGTGCTAACCCACCCTAATCACTCTTTGGGTAAAGTTTCTGATCAACACCACTCCTCGTCCGGCTAGTACTACAGATACCTACTAGGTAAGCATGTCAAGAAGAAGCGCGAGAGCTCCCTTTGACCAGCCGCCCGAATCCAATCCTCCTCCGACGTTGCCCTTTATTAATCAACAACATCATCATCTATCCAATATTGATTTGGTAGAGGAGCTTTCTTCAAAACAACCGTTGATCATATCTGAATCTTGTTCGTCAGTCCTATTCTTCTATTCTTCTTACACACTTTGGTCTCCCTCAAAAAGAAAATGAAAAAACACAACACCACCGTCGCACCTATCATCCTTTTTCTGCCCCCATTATTATCATTGCGATAAATCTATAGCAATTGCTTTTCTTCCTTCTTCTTGATCGATTAATTCAAAGTCCATCTTGAAATCAAATCAAGTTGATAATATCAAATCATATCACATCACATCAAATTCAATTCAGAGATCGCATATCCATCAACAACAACAAGTTGTCGTCGTTTTTTTTTTACCTTGCCATCTATAGGCACTGAACTTTTTTAATCCTCTTTTCTCTACTCTGCCTATTCTGCCTCTTGTCTCCCTGTTGCTATCGCATTTTTACTTCCCCAATTCAAACATACACTTGTTGATTCTATAACATTTTTGAACAATCCTCTAACGGGCAATCATGTTATCAAACAGCAGTAGCTTCGTTGTCAACACCTCCTCCCGACAATCACCAGGTGTCACTTGACAATCGCAATCGACAAGAACCGATTACCTACATCGATTTCGTCAAAAGGGTCTCTAATAACGAAACTGTCTTACCAGAACGTCCGACTGGTCCATTACCTGAATATCGAAAGAAAGGCAAAGGCGGAGTCATTTTGGACGGTAGCAATTACATCATGGACGGCTACGGAAGTTACAGCAGAGAGCCACCACTCGCTCGCTCACCAACTGAAAGAACAAATTGGGCTGGACGTGATGATGGCTTCAGAAGTGTTAAGATTGAACGCGACGATGGCTTTAGAGGTACCAGACCCGACCGCGACCGTGAATCATTTCACCGTGGTAGATCTCCTGGTATGTCGCATTTTTTCTTCTTATCTCTATGATTTCACCTTTCAATGCTTCGTTATTACGATGTATCTGTTCCAGAACGATACCTTCATAAGTTGATATCCGTATTGTATTTGCTCTCATGCTTACATAGTTGTTCTTTTAGTCGGAGGTGATAGGCAACGTCGAAACACACGCGACCGCGACCGTTCCAGATCGCCTGTAGATCGTTATGAACCTGTTGGTAGAGCCAGAGAGAGAGAACACGATTACAGATCATCGAGGGACCGCGAGGACCGAAGACGAGTTGCGTCACCGGCCCCAGCCAATATTGATCGATGGGTACCTGGTCAAGATTCAGGCCCCCCTCCTCCAATTACTGTCAATCCACTTGCGGATCCAGTCATCCTACCTTTTCAGGTTGGGTTTTCATACTATGGAGAATGGTGGCGTACAAACGAAAAGATCAAGGAAGAAAAGGAGCGTGTTAGGTGTCACAAGCGCGGTGAAATTTTCAGACCTCGCGAAGAAGACCGCGATACTGAAAAGGCTCGCATCCAAGTTGCTTATGACGCGTACAAAGAAGAGCTCCAAGCCAGGATGGCACGTACATTTGTGCAGGAGCACAAAGGTGAACAATGGTTCATGGAAAGATATGTACCTGAGATGCGAGACGCTTTACGCCTACAAGTCAACGAGTTCCGCCGCGGCAACTACAGCCAATGGGAACAAGACCTCGAATCCGGAACTTTTGATGAGTACTCGTTAGAAGGCATTCCAAAGAGCGAAAGTAACGGAACGGGTGGAGTTATCGAGAAAGAAGAGGGAGAAACAACCGCGGCCAACGAAGTTCTTGGTGTTGGTGACCTGGTTCCCTCTAGAGGCGGTGATATCCGAGACGAAAACGCTTTCCAGCCTACGTTGCTCATCAAGACGATTGCGCCACATGTTAGTCGTTCAAATCTCGAATCTTTTTGCAAGGAGCATTTGGGCGAGGATGAAGGCGGTTTCAAGTGGCTCAGTTTGAGCGATCCCAACCCAAGCAAACGTTACCATAGGATTGGCTGGGTTATGCTTCACCCTGCACCTGACTCGGTTCCGGTTCTCGATCGACCTGAAATCAAAGATGATGAGGAGGGTGATGTCCCTGCTGAACCAGCAGTTCCACTCACTACTGCCCAAAAGGCACTCGAGGCTATCAATGGAAAGACTGTCAAGGATGAAGTCAGGGGAGATTTCACATGCCATGTTGGTGTCCATGTACCACCCAACCTCCCACGCAAGAAAGCACTTTGGGATCTGTTCTCGGCCCCCGAACGTATCGAAAAAGATCTTGATTTAGCCACCCGCCTCGTCAGCAAATTCGAAGAAGATTTCGGTTCAGACTTCAATGCTGTCTTGAAGATTGAGGAGAAAGTAGACGATTTAAAGAATCAAGGCCGTCTTCAACCACCAGTTACAGCCCCCACTCCAAAGAAAAACAAGACATCTAAGAATGGTCTTGGTCTTGACGAAGCAATGGATGAAGGTGAAGATTTCGAGGAGATGGAAGAAGGAGAGGAAGAAGAGGAAGGCGCTTTCGATTTCGAGGATGTTGACGACGATGAACTTCTCGTCAAGAAGAAGCAGCTTGATCTCATGGTTGAGTATCTAAGACGTGTCTTCAACTTTTGTTTCTTCTGCGTATTCGAGAGTGACTCAATTCATGAACTTACGCGAAAGTGCCCTGGAGGACATCTTAGACGACCACGTAATACTCTTACCACATCGGCTAAAGCAGCTGCTCGCGCTAGTGCATTGGGAGATGTATTTCCTGGAAAGGTTAAGGTTGAGGACAAGATGGATATGGACCCCTCCTCTCCGGATGGTGAACGCAAAATCAATCCACGAAACAATATTTCCAAAGCAGAACAACAACTTCAGCGCGCTTTCAATTGGGTCAGAACGTTTGAGGATAAGATTATGCAAATTCTGGATCCAGATAACGTGGATGTGCGAAAATTGGGTGGAAAGCCAACTGAAGATGCTCTGAAGGAAGAGTTGGTCAAATTCGTGAAGCAAGAAGATGACCACAAATTCAGATGCAGAGTTCCAGAATGTACCAAATTGTTCAAGGAAGAGCACTTTTGGAAGAAGCATGTCGAAAAGAGACATCCTGAGTGGCTAGAAAGCATTAAGTCTGATGTAAGTTATTATTTCTACCCTTTCCCAACAACCTAAGCTAATCTATGTGTAGTTTGATCTTGTCAACACCTATGTTCTCGATCCTGCACACATTGCTCCATCGAGATCAGATGCCAACAGCAACGGGCATTTCCCTCCAGCCAATGGCCATATGCCAGCGGGTACTCCACGAGGTTTCAATCTTCAAAACTTTGGAATTAATGGAATCAATCCTATAACAGGTTTCACACCTTCTACCGGTTTCCCACCATTCCTTGCCGGACATGCTGTTCAATCACCTATGGGTTGGGTTAGTGGCTCTGATAACCGTGGTCCTGGTCCCATCAGAAGAGGTGCTGGTCGATATCAAACAAATAATCGAACTGGCCCTTATGATCGTCGACCCAATCAGAATCATCAGAACCGTGGGGATCCCAATGCTGGTAGATTAAGCCCTCTCACTGGTGGCGGTCGTGGAGGAGCACACCGTTTCGCAGGAACCAATGCCAATAACCGATGGGGTGACGGAGTAGCGCCGGGTGGTACAACTACCGGACCTCGTGAAGCAACAGCCGGTAGAAGCTTAAAATCTTATGAAGATCTCGACGCTGTTGCTGGAGCTGGATCCGGAGAGTTGAATTATTAAATTCGAGGAATGGAATTGGGGTGGTTTAAAGTGATTGAAAGAAAATTGATATCTAGTGCTCATGGTAAATGATTGCCATGAAGAATCTGATTGGGGACAACGGAGAAAATATGGTAATGGAAAGTAACAGTGTGCGTTTGCCTTTTCAAACTTTCCTTTTGGCGTTAAAACACATCTTGTGCAGGAAATAGCTGCTTTGCATTTTTCAAAGCTTTCATTCTTCAATTGAGAGTCTTTTTTGCTGGTTACCTTCTTTGATGTATACTAAATTACGGACATGGACTCTTTCGTATGCTTGTATTTTTCAAAATTAATAAGATGAATTTGCGACAGTATAGATGATGACTACTTGTTGACGTGTTTTCGGAAATCGCATTAATCATTCTTTTCAATTGAGATGAATCAGGAAGACTTTTGATTGATATATAGATCTGAGCTTTAGGAGTGAAGATCATTTGGAAGTTGATATTGATTTACCCCAACTCACAAGATGAGTAGGGTGATCAAAGCCATATGAGGTTACTGTACATCCGCACGATCTTAATATTGAAATTGACTGATTAGGATTGGACTGGACTGGACTGGATAATGCAATTTGCGGCACAGCACAGTACCTAGTAGATACCAATCAACGGCTTTGAGTGATGGGTGTAGGGAGGGAGGTAGGGAAGGAGGAAGGAGGAAGGAGAGAGGATAGGTAGTGTTTCATATATGTACTTAGATGTATATATATTATATATAGAGAGAGAATAGGAAGTCTTTGGTATATATATGTGTATACATAGAGATACATAGAGAGTAGAGTCTTTGATGATTCTCTTCCCTTTGAATTGAAGCTGTGTAGAATCTCTGTATTCTTCGTGATTGTATATGTATTTGTTTGCATTTGTGTTGTACTGAACTGTATTTGTATTGTGTTGTATGATCACAATTGTATTGTATCATGTTGCATTGTTCCATCGAGAACGCATAACATGCAATATCGATAACATTACCTTCACACACAACACGTGATATCAACCAACTGTCAACAACCCAATCGGCTCTAGCGTGTGTCAAAATGGCCAAATTCTAAGGTTCTTGATCGTTTTCCCCCCTGAAACTCTACTTATATACACCGCCGCGTTATCTCCCTATACAGACGCCCCACATTCAAATCAACCAAGAGGACTTTGCGAAATTCGAATTTGAACACTTGCCAGCAAATCCACTCTTTCACCCAAATAATACCAATACCAGCATTGCTGAGACCGCGCAAAGGGAACATCTTTTGCCATAGCTCAACGACGTCGACGACTGCAACTTATTCTCTTCCCTCATTCTCTGCCATTGCCATTCCCATTTACTTCGAGAAAAGGATAATTCAAGATGACTCGCGGAGAGGTAATAAACAAATCAATTCTTATTTGAACAACGCACTACACTACCTCCCTCACCAATTACTTGACTACTTCCCTGGAGTCGTGTATCTCTTCTCTCTTTCTTGATTCAATGTATTCGCGTCGCAGTATTATGATTGGTAATTGACAAGTCATTGATTATAGATTCTTCACCTTCATATCGGTCAAGCTGGTACTCAGCTTGGTAACAGTGCTTGGGAGTTGTAAGTCGATTGGATACCTCGAGTATACTCGATTGTATGCTAATTCCCTGCTTTCCCAGATATCTTCTTGAGCATGGTCTCTTACAAGATGGTCGTCCTGATCCCGAGGCAAAGGCCGTCCACGAATCTGGTGAACTCGATACAGTCTTCACTGAAACTGGCAATGGTAAATACGTACCTCGATCCATCTTCGTCGATCTCGACCCATCTCCAATCGACGAAAATCCGAACTGGGTGATTACAGATCCCTCTTCCATCCCGAACTTTTGATCAGTGGAAAGGAGGATGCTGCCAACAACTACGCTCGTGGTCACTACACAATTGGAAAGGAGATCTTGGATGGTACTTTGGACAAGATTCGTCGCGTTCTGGTAAGGAAATGTTTCATGTATTTTTTGACGGGCGTTACTAATTTTTCTACCCCCAGGATAACTGCTCTTCCCTCCAAGGTTTCTTGATCTTCCACTCTTTCGGTGGTGGAACCGGTTCTGGTTTCGGATCTCTCTTGCTTGAGCGTCTCTCCACCGATTACGGCAAGAAATCCAAGCTCGAATTCGCAGTTTACCCAGCTCCAAGAGTTTCTACCGCTGTTGTTGAGCCATATAACGCTGTTCTCAGCACTCACAGCACTATCGAAAACTCCGACTGTACCTTCTTGGTCGATAACGAGGCTGTCTACGATATCTGCCGTCGCAACTTGGACATTCCTCGTCCAGGTTTCGAGCATCTCAACAGATTGATTGCTCAAGTTGTCAGCTCCATCACCTCGTCACTCCGTTTCGATGGTGCTTTGAACGTCGATCTCAATGAGTTCCAAACTAACTTGGTTCCTTACCCAAGAATTCATTACCCATTGATCAGTTACGCTCCAGTCATTTCTGCTGCTAGAAGTTCCCACGAGAGCTTCAAGACTCAAGAATTGACCCTCCAGTAAGTTTCCCCACTTTGGTATTGATATCTCATACTAACTTCATGTAGATGTTTCGAGCCAAACAACCAAATGGTTGTCTGCGATCCCCGCAACGGAAAATACATGGCTGTTGCCCTTCTCTACCGTGGTGATGTCGTTCCCCGTGACTGCAACGCCGCTGTCGCTTCCCTCAAGGCTAAAACATCCTTCAACCTCGTCGAATGGTGTCCAACTGGTTTCAAGCTCGGCATCAACTACCAAAAACCAATGTCCGTCCCATCTTCCGCACCAAACGATGGTGCCCTCGCCTCAGTCGATCGTTCCGTCAGTATGTTGTCCAACACCACCGCTATTGCCGAGGCCTGGTCAAGATTGGACCACAAGTTCGATCTTATGTACAGCAAGCGTGCTTTCGTGCATTGGTACGTTGGTGAGGGTATGGAGGAAGGAGAGTTCAGTGAAGCAAGAGAAGATTTGGCAGCATTGGAGAAGGATTACGAAGAGGTTGCTGCTGACAGCTTCGAGGCTGAAGAGGGTGAGGCTGAGTATTAAGTTATTCAGTCCGTATATGACATTTTGAGCCTTGCGTCATTTTGATCCATATGGGGTGGTTTGTGTTCTGCGAATATCCGAAAATGAGCGTCTGATTATTCGGTGAGGTTGGGAAATGAGAGAGATGAGATGGGATGAGATATTTTAGTTTGCTAGATGATATTATGAATAGTCAGTATGCAATATAAATATAAATCTCGATGACAGAAGTGATTTTAAAAGTCGTGCAGTGTACTGTGCGGGAACGTCAGATCGCTCTTGATTAAACAATGCTTGGGCTCGAAATACTACTAGGTATGTGTTTTTGTGGTATTAAGTATTGCCCTGTCTATCGTTTATCGATACATCTAGGTACATAGGTATCCTATTCAAGACATCAATCACTCGCTTATTATAGAGACTAGACGAGAGTAGATCATCGTTTCTAAAAAAAATTCTTTTTGTTTTTATGTCTTAGTTCGAACTTTGAACCTTAGAACTTTGAATGGATGATGGTTGATTTGTGTTCAGACTGTGGAGGTGGGAGAGTTGGATTTGCTCAATTTCGCTTGTGTCCCGTTTTCAGTTGATGATACCTACCTAGGCAAAATCGATTGTAAAATATGTTCTGATAGGATGGGATGATAAATGCATCGGGACTAATCGCTCTAATTGGATTTTGTTATGCAGGAGGGAATGAGAGATGATGTAAGTATCATTTTGAGCTCTTGCACTAGTGTATCTACTTCTGATGAACTCATTGGATTGGTTTGGGCTTGAGGTGTTTGCTCAATGTAACTTACTCTCTATTGTATTTCTCTCTTTCTAGTATAATTATCTTACGGAAGTAGCTTGTACTATTCAAGTTTATACTTATACTTCACAGAGCACTTCGAACCCACCACAAATTGTACCTTCGCTTTCGCTTTCGCGTTTTCCTTCATCAGTAAGTATTGATATCTGCAAAAAGCAAAAGTTTTACTCGCTTAGCTATAGTCCAATTGACGAGCAAGCTGTTGCATCATGGCTGCACGGTTATGTTTATTGTTCTTTTTGTTCCCGTTGCTGACAACGGTATTGTTGGTGGGTTTCATCATGTGCTAAGATCGATGTTGTCAAGTACATTGTGATTTTCTATTTTCGCTTTATTCAAGTTGTAGTGTTTTTGGAAATGATGATGTATCTGGATATGTCAATATCTACAGATATGATTATGGAGGTTATGACTAGTGATGAGCGCTACGCGAAAAATATACCATGGTTACAAATAGTGGGATGCTGAATCAAAGAGAACTGGGCTGCCGATGCATATAGCACCAAGAAGCAAGCTGGATGTTTTAGCACACAAGCAGTTGTGGGGGCTTCGAATCCAACTTTTCAAGATAGTCTACCTACTCTCGTTCCGATATGAACTAATTATTGGAGGATACGATATGGACAAATGTCACTAGTTTGGTGAATCAGAAGATGTATCATTCATGCAACTTACGGTCCTGAGAATTGAGAAAGAGTTCGCGAGATGGGAATGTATTCGCACGAGATCTAGATACTCGCGTGTTTTTTGCTCTTTACTTGCATTAATTCATACCTCTTTGGAGATTGTATACTTACCAATTTAGCTAGAATACTTCTCTATCTCACAATTATAGGCATCTGCTTCGGAACTGGGATTATGGTATAGAATAGAAGTATCTTTCCTAGATTTTGGAAATAAATTAATAGCTCGGCCCCGGGACAAACTTCATTAATATATATTCTATACTGTGCTACTCGGCTCTCAATGACTTATCCCTTTACTTGGGAATGTTGGTTATGTAGAAGCAGAGTACTCAGTATTTTTATTGGCATCTACAGCGCTATGTACGTGATTTCTCTTCCGTTTTGTTTTGTTTTTCTCTTTTTCGCATAATACTTTTTTCGCATCCCCCAATTAGAACTTTGTGATTGAGGGGAAATCGAATGGATATACTGGATTTAATTAATACAAATATTTCTATTATGTTCGCAGATAGAAATAACATTTCGATTGCTTTGACGGGATGGTTGGTTTTATTCAAGAATATAGTAATAGGAATTTGAGGAATGGTAGAGAAGGAAACGAGAGTATGGAAAGATCGAAGAGGGGGATTATGAGGAAGGCGAAACGATTTATACTCGTTTGATCTACGAAAGATGGTGCTTATTAAGTTTGTGAAGGAGAATTTTCTGGTGAGTGATGTTAATGGGGTTTTGGAGGATGTGGAAGTTCGCTTTGGTGTATGGGTTCTAGGCGGCGTGGGGGTCAATTGATATGCAGGGAGATTTGGAGGATTTCGAGGTGGAATATATGGGAAATTTAGATGGGAAAATGGATAGTAATTGTGATGGAAGATGCTGTAGAGAAGCAATGCAGATAGCTGTGCTGGTATGTGGACCCGAAGGTATGCGGATGGACGAGGAGGGAAGTTGTGGGGTGTGTGGAGAGGGGGTTTGGGGTTCATTTGTTGGAGGAGAAATTTGCTTGGTAGGGGCATTGTTGCTGTGTTTTCTTTTGTTTAGAAGGATATGGGGTTACATTATGGAGCGTTTTTGTAAATTCTTCAGAGTACTTTCATGTTTGGGGAGAAACGATGCGTTTATATTGAGGTTAGGAGGGTTTGGGGATGGGATGATGACTTGGATTATGTTATGTTGAAATGGACAGCTTATAATCAGATTTTTTGTGGAACTTGACGATTTTCAAGTGCCATCTAGTATGTATGATGAGAGCGGCCCGAATCACCCAAATTGCGCAGACTAATTTTTCATCATCGAGTCCTCCCATTTTCCAAAGCTCTTCTCGTTCTTTTCCCGTCTTATTTCAGAAGCGAAGTCGTGCTGCAGACCCTTGAAGCCCCTTCTTGGCTTTTCACCACATTCGGTAATCTTGCTATAACGTGCTCAAAAAGCTCGTAATAGCTCATGCTCAATTTTGGCTTTTGCTTTTTATTGTAGTGCTCATATGCTAGTTGGGTACCATATACGAAATAGAGGTATAGGACTTTAAAACGAATATATAATCTCGTAGATGATACATAAAGATTCCAAAGAACCAATGTAAAGATACACAAAAAACTCAACATAGCCAACCATGAGCGACACCTCCGAGTTAGCAAAAGGCTACACTCTCGTCAACGATACACAATACAAAGCCGGACAGTATCTCCTCGAAAAACTCGCTCTCGTCCATACCCCCAACATCCAAATCCTCGACATCGGCTGCGGACCCGGCAATCTCACCGCGTACATTTCCTCGCTTCTCCCAGACGGAAAAGTAATCGGTATCGATCCCAGTTCTTCTCGTATCGCGCTCGCACTCTCGAGTTATGTAGATCATACCAATCTTGAATTTTATGAAGGCATCGCGGAGGATCTTGCACGATTTGGGGATGAGAGATTTGATGTGGTGTTTATGAATAGTACGTTTCATTGGGTTGGGGATCAGGAAGGGGCGTTGAGGGAATGTTTCAGGGTGATAAAAAAAGGAGGAAAACTTGGGATTTCGGGGGGATCCGGGGATTTCGAGGCGCTGCATGAGAGGATTAAGAGGGAGGTTTTGGGGAGAGAACCGTATGGGAGGTTTGTGGAGGAGGAGAGTGGACCGAGGTTTTTGGGAAAGAGGGAGGGATAGGAGATGCTAGGGAAGCGGGGTTTGAGAACTGGGAAATAGGGACGAATAGGATTGTGAAGGAGGCGAGGGATGGGGTGGAGATGGTGAGGTGTTGAATGTTAGTTCGTCGGGGAAGACTTATGGGGGAATTCGGAGAGGTTGAGGGAGAGTGCGAGGAGGGAGATGGTGAGGGAGTGTGAGGGGTACAGGGGAGAGGAGGGGATTAGGATGGAGATGGAGTTTGTTGGTTACGGTTGCTATTAAGGGGGGGAGTGGGAACTGATGTGTTGATGATGGATTATGGGGACATTTTGTCGCTTCTATGATTATGATATTATAGGATTTTCAGATTTATATTGGTTATATTCTAGAACTTAAATATGATGTGATAATTACTAGGGTAGCGATTACACGAGTATAGGTCTTCTATACTTCATTTCAGTATCAGAGACAATGAAATATACTCGCGGATCCAACACAGACCATAAAGATCACCCCATCAAGTAATTTCTACTATCTAAACAGAATAAAACTCGTAACCCTCCACTTCGCAGAAAAGAACAGCCCTCAAACTTGAAAACTCTCTGCATACTTCCTCGCAAGCAGGTCCTTTTTCGCACCATACAAAACACCCCGCATACCAACCAACATGCATGGATCTACAGGGAATAGAGGGATTTGGAGCATATAATCTTCGGACTCCGCAGATGAGTTTAATCATACTATACTATGGTAGGTACTTTTGCAAAATAGTGATAGCCAAGTCTTCAGCAATATAGATGCTATTAACGGAGAAGCTGAGCTGCAGGTGAGCACGCCCAGATGTTGGTAATTAGATCAAATGTGCTCATATGGAAGAGGGAATTTTAGTACCGGGGGATAGTGCGGAGATGGATGATGCATAGGAAGAAATGTTGATATAAATGGGGTTTGTGAATGCGGTTTCTTGGTGCTAGGTGTTATATCGTTGAGTTGAATATTTGGAATAGATATCCTACATAACTCTATATTTCAGTGTACTATAAAGGCAAGCTTAGCATCACATCATACCATGCAACAAAGAGTTTCCATTCTCGGCGCTGGACCCGCCGGCCTCGCACTCGCAGCCGATCTCTCGCGCCACGGCACAAATGTCCTAGTTTATTCACACCCCTCGCATACCTCCCACTCTTCTTCTATCCTCTGCAATGGACATCTCGAACTCTATTCTCCCACTTCCATTGATTCTGCAAATCCAAAACTCACCTACGATATCCACGATGCGGTTTCCTTTTCAAAATTCCTGATTCTGACTGTTCCGTCTACAGGACAGGAAACCATCATGCGTGAATTGCGAATTTTTGATTTGGAGACTCATACTATTATAGCTATACCGGGAAATTTGTTTTCGCTTGTTTTTCGGGAGATGCTAGGGGATATGAAGGTGAATTGTGTGCTGGAGACGAATTTATCGCCGTATTCGTGTAGGATGAGTGGGGGGAAGTTGTCTGTGTCGGGGAGGAAGAGTCGATTTTCTATTGCAGCGTTGGGGAGGATTGATGGGGGGCTGAGGGAGGAGGTTAGAGGGATTTTTCCAATGGAGTTGTGTTGGTGTGAGAATGTGATGGAGGTTTGCTTGGGGAATATTAATGGGGTGTTTCATCCGGTTATGATGTTGATGAATGCTGGTCGGTGAGTTTTGCTGTTCCAATTTAATGTACTTGTGAATAGTAGGGATGAGCACTGAAAATATACAGCATCGAAAGTCCAGGATCTTTTTTCCTTTATAAAGAAGGACTTACTCGCTCGGTATCAAATGTTGTTCAAGCAATCGATGCTGTGCGTCTTCAAATCGGGAGCGAGTTGGGATTTAAACTCGATTCTGTCCTGGATGTTTCGAATAAATGTTATGATCAACATTTCTTAGATTTAGTTGAGCTAGCGAGAAAATCGGGGCCGCATAATGGATTGCAAGCGCCGAATGAGATGGAGAATAGGTTCATTGCGGAGGATGTGCCGGATTTGCTGGTGCCGTGGTTGGTATTGGCGGAGGGGCTGGGGGTTAGGGCGGAGAAGGTTAGAGCGGTGGTGGAGTTGGCGGGGATGGCGGTAGGGAGGGATTATTTTGAGGATGGGAGAGGGTTGAGGAAGTTGGGGTTGTTGGGTTTGGGGAGGGGCGAGTTGGTGAAGAGGTTTGGGAGGGTTGGATGATGGGGTTTATGATATGCATATGGTAATTGTGATATATATACACTTGTATGTTGATGGATTCACGAGATGGCAGCAACTTGACTGTTATGGATTTCCTGATACAAAAAGAAAATAAGAGATGGATATACTATTGCGCGATTGTGAGATGTATTGATCCCTATCAATACTGTGAATAATTTAATTTCTGGATGTCACTTGACTGTTGTCTTTTCAGAAGGTATATTTTGGGTATTTCACATACTCTCAATTTTGATAAAATCAGAGAAAAAAGTTCCATGCGATATCAGAGTAATTATATAAATATTCCGTAGGGAAACCAAAAGAAAAATAGAAAGAGCGTCGAAATATAGAAAGAAAATGTTTCGGAGCGTAGCGAAAGAAACTTATACGCCGGATAATATGAAATATTAGAAAATATTAGGCGCTCTGAAATATTCGCGAGCTAGCTCGCCCCGAATTTCCTAGGTGTATTGAAAGGGGGTTGTCACTTCAGCATTATGAGTATGCGTAAATGAGTATATATTGCCAGATTGTACTCAACTTCAACAATCACTAAATCATTCATGGTTCAGTGGTACCCTGACCTGATCGAGTTAACTCGATTATCACTCTCGGTCGTCTAGTTGGTTTATGACGTCAGACTGTAATTTCTCATGTGATCTGGATGTCGCGTGTTCGACTCACGCCTGAGAGACTTTCTTTTTGGAATTTTTTTGGATTGATCTTTGATGAGGATGTTTGGAGACTTTTCGTTTTGGAGGAGATGGGATGGCTCGGGCGGTTGGTGGTGGGGGTGTTTTTGGCTTCACGTGTTGATAAGATAATGGATGTTGCAGATTGGTAACCTTATGTAATATACATACATAGGTATCTATAGCACAAGTAGGTAATCTAAGAAATCTGTTTCGATTTAATTGTATATCAACTATCATATCAACTATATCAATATCATGCCTTTCAAGCTAGCTCTATATCCTCTAACGCTAGCAATATCTTCAAACGCTAGTAATATCTTGCTGTCTATGTTGAAGAGCTAAATAAATTAAGAGGTTGACTCTGCTAGCGCATTATGACATTAAAATGATTCCACATTCTCCAAAAGAGGTGGGCCATTGTAGATCATCCGACCTTCACCCGTGTATGAGTCGCACTCGCACTCATTTCACCGGCGCGGGGAAATTTAAATAATTTTTTTGTTTCCTCTTTCATCTCTAACCCCGCCATTCCCTCAAAATTATATATCGAAAATTCGAACAATTCTCGAGTTGTGCTTCATCGCACAACAGGCAGAGACAGGATGGAATACCTTAAATTGCCTGGAGATTCTTGCTTCACTCCAGCTGAGGCTACAAAGCTCGCGGCGAGAATCAATGATGTTCATCAAGTGAAGGTAGAACTTACGGGTGTTTGGATTCATTATACACATTTGAGACACTCGGATCCAGAAACTGAAGCCAAGATCAAGCAACTACTTCCAGTCTCAGGAGTGGATTTGGAGGCTAAATTGGGAAGCAAGATCTATTGTAAGTCGTCACTTATTCATTGTCCGAGATAATTCTGGGCATTGAAAAGTGGTTATTGAGGGTTTCAATGCGCGCACGCCATGGCCTCTCGTCACTTTCTACATACTGCAGTGCAGTGCAAGCAAACACTAACCCTCCAATCTACTAGATGTTACTCCAAGAAACCTTTCCCCATGGAGTTCCAAAGCTACAAACATCGCACATGTCTGCGGTCTCGAATCCCAAGTTCACAGAATTGAAAGAGGTCGGGCTATTTTGATAAAATATGCGGAGCCATCTGAGGCAGAGGTGAGCATCAGTGATTTCATCTCAGTACATGTTCCCTTGTGTGGAGAATTATTTGGAGGTTCAATTCTATCTGGATGCTCAAACCAATTACTGACTTCCTAATTCTCAAGAGGGAGGATTTGCCATTCAAAGATATCCTTTACGATCGCATGACCGAGAACATCAGTGCTGAGGAGCCAGATGTGCACAAAATTTTCGAAGAAGGGGAGCCAATTCCCTTGGAGGTTGTTGATCTTTGGGTAGAGGGTTCAACACCTATCGAAGTCTTGAAAGCGTACAACGTGAAGCGTGGTCTCGCTCTAGATACCCCAGAAATGGAATACCTTGTTGAAAAATACACCCAACACGGCAGATCACCTACCGATGTCGAATTGTTTATGTTTGCGCAAGTCAACTCTGAGCATTGTAGACATAAGCAATTCAATGCGAACTGGACAATCGATGGCATGGGTATGGATATGAGTTTATTTGGAATGATTCGAAACACCCACAAGAAAAATCCAGATTTCACCGTATCAGCTTATAGCGACAATGCTGCCGTTTTACAAGGACAGATGGCCAGTCACTGGGCCCCCGAATACTCAACTGGTAGTTGGAAGCAAACCCCTGAGGTTGTGCATATCCTAGCGAAGGTGGAGACTCATAACCATCCCACAGCAATCTCACCTTTCCCAGGAGCAGCGACCGGTTCAGGAGGAGAAATTAGAGATGAAGGTGCAGTGGGTAGAGGATCCAGCCCCAAAGCTGGTCTTTGTGGATTCTGGGTTTCAGACCTTTTGATTCCAGGACATAAGCAACCATGGGAAATGGATGTTGGCAAGCCAGCACATTATGCCAGTAGTTTGGAAATTATGTTGGAGGCACCAATTGGTAGTGCCAGATTCAACAACGAGTTTGGTAGACCATGTCTTGCTGGAACCTTTCGTACCCTCCTTACAGATGCAGATGCCTCAACGGACGAGTTTCGCGGATACCATAAGCCTATCATGATCGCTGGTGGACTAGGTACTGTTAGACCAGAACACGCCATCAAGAATGGCAATGACGTCAAACCCGAAGCTCATGTAATTGTTCTTGGTGGCCCAGCAATGTTGATTGGTCTTGGTGGGGGTGCAGCTTCAAGTAACACATCTGCTGGAGAAAGCTCAGTTGAGCTTGACTTTGACAGTGTTCAGCGAGGAAATCCAGAAATGGAAAGAAGAGCTCAGATGGTTATTGATCATTGCAGAGCCTTGAAGGATGAGAATCCTATTGCATTCATCCATGATGTAGGAGCAGGTGGATTATCCAATGCTTTGCCGGAGCTTGTTAAGGATGCCGGATATGGTGGCAAATTCGAGCTTAGAGATGTCGAGAGTGCGGATGGCAGTATGAGTCCTTTACAAATCTGGTGCTGCGAAGCTCAAGAACGTTACGTCTTGATTGTCAACAAGGAAGACCTTGGTAGATTTACAAGCATCGCCAGTAAGTTACGTCTTCAAACGTGGTAAATCTTATACTAATCATTTACAGAACGTGAACGATGTGGCTTCTCTCCATGTCGGGACCGTCGTTCCCAAGGATCAAGATGGAGTTGCCAAACTTGTGGTAACTGATCGAGATTCTACAGAGCACCCTACACCCATCGATCTCCCTATGTCTACTTTGTTCCCCAAGGACAGGAAATTGGACAGAATCGTGCAGTCTAGGAAACCACAGCTTCTCCCATTCAACGCAGAGAAATCCCTCAAAGAAGCGTACCCCCACATTCCCGATCATGATCTCTTAAGAATGGCTATCGAGCGTGTATTTTCCCTTCCATCTGTTGGCTCTAAATCTTTCCTCATCACTATCGGTGATCGTTCCGTTGGAGGTTTGACCGTTCGCGACCAAATGGTCGGACCATGGCAAACTCCTGTCGCAGACGTAGCTGTCACAGCTAGTGCTCTTAACATTGGTGGCAAACTGAAGACTGGTGAGGCTATGGCTATGGGTGAAAAGCCTACGTTGGCTTTGATCTCGGGTGCAGCTTCGGCTAGAATGGCTGTTGCCGAAAGTTTAATGAACATTGGTGCAGCACATCTTCTGGGCAACTTGCCTCGTATCCGTTTATCTGCAAACTGGATGGCCGCAGTCAACCAACCTGGTGAAGGTGCAGCTTTGTATGAGGCAGTTCAAGCCATTGGAATGGATCTCTGCCCTAAGTTGGGAGTCAGTATCCCTGTTGGCAAAGACTCAACATCAATGAAAGCCTCGTGGAAGGATCAAAAGAGTGGAGATTCTAAAACAGTCACAGCTCCTATGACTGTGGTTATTTCTGCCTTTGCGCCAGTCGCAAATGTTCGTAACACATGGACGCCTGCACTCCGAAGACTTGAAGATGTCGGAGAGACTACATTGATGTATGTTGATCTTGCTCAAGGTCACAAGGCTATGGGTGGATCAGCCCTCGCGCAATCTTTCGGTCAAGTTGGAGATGAAGCACCGGATGTTAGAGATACTGATCTCATCATTGACTACTTTGATGCTTTACAACAATTACACGAGTCAGGAGTTGTGTTAGCCTACCATGATATTTCAGATGGTGGTTTGTTGACTACCATCGCCGAAATGATGTTTGCTGGACGATGTGGCGCTGAGATCATGCTTGATGGAGTTTCTAAGAGCGCATCCCCATCTCACGTCATCGAAGCTTTGTTCAACGAAGAACTTGGTGCTGTTTTCCAAGTTCGTAAATCGGACGAGGTCAACTTTATGAGATGTTTTGCTACCTGTGGTCCTCCACCAGGACTCATCAGAAAGATTGGACGAGTACCAGCTGCATCGAAACAACAACTCGCCATTCGCTACGGACAGAAGCCAATCTTACACATGTCAAGATCTGAGCTTCAACAACAATGGACCAAGACATCTTACCAAATGCAACGTCTGAGAGACAATGTTGATTGTGCTGACGGTCGAATTTGAAATATTAAGGATGATCGCGATCCTGGTCTCCACTATACCCTTACCTATGAGCCTAAGGAGAACATTCTTCCATTGACGGCATCAATCACATCCACTTTCTCTAAGGCACCTCGCGTAGCTATTCTCCGTGAACAAGGAGTTAACGGTCATGCCGAAATGGCATTTGCTTTCAAGGCTGCAGGATTTGACCCTATCGATGTCCACATGACTGACATCATTTCTGGACACTATTCTCTGGCTAATTTTGTCGGTATTGCTGCCTGTGGTGGTTTCTCTTACGGTGACGTCATGGGTGCTGGTCGTGGATGGGCAAATTCCATTCTTATGCATGAACAAAAAGCTCGACCAGAGTTTGAGAATTTCTTCAAACGCCCTGATACATTTGCATTGGGTGTCTGCAATGGTTGTCAAATGCTTAGTCGCATATCTGAACTTATTCCTGGTACTTCTCATTGGCCTGTCTTTACCGACAACCAATCTCAACAATTCGAAGGCAGAGTCAGCATGGTGAAGATCCAAGACAATGCCAAGAAACCATCTGTATTCCTCCACGGTATGAATGGTAGTTCCTTGCCTATCGTCGTTTCACACGGTGAAGGTCGAGCTTCGTTCAAAAATGATACAGACTTGGGAGCCTTGAACTCTGATAATCTCATCCCAATCAGATACACAGATAACTTCGACAAACCCACAATGAGATACCCATACAATCCAAACGGCAGTCCTGAGGGTATTGCAGCAGTGAGAAGCTTGGATGGAAGAGTCTTAGCTATGATGCCTCATCCAGAGAGAACTATCATGGCAGATGTCGGTAGTTACGTACCAAAGGAGAGTGCAGAGGAGTGGGGAGAATTTGGTCCTTGGGTCAGAATGTTTAAGAGTGCTAGAAGATGGGTCGGCTGATTGGATCGTTGCGAAGTGAGATGATATGAATGGGATATATGGAGAAAAAATGGCTAGAATTGGGTTAAGATATCATTGCATGCATGCTTGCATTATTAGTGTCGATGGAGTTTAGGGGTGGATATTGAAATAGATAGATGGTTATCACGCGAATATTGAAAAAATTGGGTTCTTTTGCATGTTTTTGATGTACTTGAATTAGCTGTGAAAATTGAAGTATTTTGCAGCTAATTACAACTATTTGTGGAGAACACCTTGATCCGGGACTTTCTGGATAAGAGAAACGTCATTCTACGCCCTTCGCCCTTGTTTGACTGCATCGCACTATCATCTCTTTCCTTGGGATACCCTCAACTGGAGTGAGAATTCAATCCCATGCCTGGTATTCGAATCATTCGTGGGTACGTACTGTGGTGTGTCGTTGGGGCGAAGATGGCTATACTACGGCATTGCGTCTTCTTGCCAACGATATCTGGGGTTCAAGCAACCGCCATGCTCATTCTGTTTGAGGCTCGACATTCAGTGTCTTAAGTTTCGCCCATAGTAACAATCAGCAGGGTTATTTGCTAATCTTGAAGCTGAGAGCTCTGAAGGATTTATATATGAGATGGTACGATGTGTGTATTAGAGGGATTGAATCAGTGAGACGCATCTATGAGAGGGTTTGGACTTTCCATTCGTGGGGTTTGTCCTTGACGGTGATTGGGAGGCTCTGTCGCTAAGATCTTGAGATCTAGAGTCGTATATAAAGGTGCCGGGTGGGATGTTAGACGTGTTAGTGAGGCTCTTGTGGGGAGCTAATGCTGACTCTTGAGGCGAATAATAGTCTCATCGAAGATAGGAAGGGAGGAAAAAGGGATTGATTTGCTCGATAAATCCTGGAGTACACTTCTCCCCTCATGCCCAAGTCAACAAATTCCTAGCCAGCATTCTGAGCCCTGAGACGCTTGATGATTGCTTCATCCATATCGTGCTTATATTCAAGTTGGGTAATCTTTTGTTGAAGCTCTGCAATCTTTGTATCTTTGGTTTTAAGAGCTACGCGTGTGATGTCACGACCTTTCACGATACCCGATATTTTTAGTGCATGTCTGGCTAGCATTTGACGCAGTCGAGCGGAGACTTCATCGTCGATATGTTGATCCTTGAGAAGATTCATAATGTCTTCCGTCATGTCGTAATTTTGCGGCGAATCCCCTGTGCTGCCGTTTGAAGGGGAAGCCATGAACTTGGGAGGTGGACCTTTCGTAGCATCTTTGAATCTCATAGGAGAAGGTGTCTCTGCAGGACTAAATAATACAGATCGTTCATTCCCACCCCACATCCCACCATTTATTCTTTTGCGGCTTGTAGAAGGAGTACCAAAAATGTCTTCGTCCCGTGTACCTTTTGTCGTAGGCGTAGGATACATATTAGCACCATTACTTTCTCCTTCGCCCCGCTTTCTTTTACTTCCGGGTGTTGTTGTCTTGCCATCCATCTTCCCCTTTCTTGGAGTCTCTGGAAAGCTTCCAGGGTCTGTTCTCTCAACAGTCTTGACCACTTTCTCCTCATCCTCTCGAGTTAAAGGCCATGCCCCAAACTCATCGTGTTCCTTCTTCCCAATATCTTCCAGCCATTTATTACTCGCAATCGCATGCCCTTCCAACGTTCTTTTATCTCTCGATGGAGTCACTGGTGAGCGCGATTCGGGTGTATGAGGCTCCGTTCTTGTGCTATTCAGAACTGCGCCCATCTCCCTTACTTTAGCTTTATCGTCCCATAAGAAGAATCCACAGCTGGAATCTTTTGGTTCTTGACATGTGTAGAACCATCGACCTTTATTTGCTCCTTCTTTCTTGACTTGGAACCTTACGGCGGGTAGTCTGGGGTTGCAATTGCCTGTCGCTATGTTAACTAAATGATAAAAAGATATCTAGTTTCGAGGCAACTTACAACTGCCAGTTGCCATCAGAAAAGAGTCCATTCAGAGCAACCTTTGTTGGTGTTGCTTTGAATGATGGTGCTTTGGATGGTGTCGCTCTGGATGGGGTTGCTTTGGATGATGTTGCGCCATTGCGCTTTTGAGGTGTGTTAAATACACTATACATTGTTTATTAGTATGAGATAGAATTAGGTGTAGCAAGTCTTTCAAAGTATCATCGTCATTTCAAGAAGTGGTGGGAGTGAAACATCTCCCCTCTTGTTGACATCGTCACCATCGCAACCATTGGAGGGATGATTAACTTTATCCGTTATCTTATCGGAGACGTCGATCTACAAACTGCATCGATGAATATCGGATTCGGATAAAGTCAAGGACCGATCAGCAAAATAAGGTTATTATGTCATCAATTATGGGATTCATTATCTCCAAATTAATTATTGTTGAATCTGTTGATTTGACACAACATCTAATTCAATTCTTCCCAATTGTCATTGCCAAACATTTTTTCGTGTCTATGGACTTTGTATTATAAAACTTATCACGTCTGCCATTGCTGGCTTTGAACTGCCAAAACTACCACAGTCAAAATGGGTCTCGTTTCATTCATCACTGGCTATATAGCCCCTATGTTTATCATAATATCTCCCATAACGTCGTATGCGGATCAGACATACTCGATACATAGGAACAAGTCCAGTGCGGGATTTTCTTTGGATATCCCTTTGATCATGCTTGTAGCATCATTTCTGAGGTACGACGTCCTGTAATGTGCGTTGGAAGACTGATGCTAATCCTCATCGTAGAGTTTTTTATTATCCTGGAGCCCATTTTGATACCTCCTTACTGATACAGTCATTCATTATGATTGCGATGCAAACCATGTTATTGAAGGTTGCGCTTGATCATCGACCATCGCCATCGTCGAAAGGAGGAGACGCGGCTATACCATTTGCTGGACACAGAGAAGGGGATGGAGCGTCAAGACCATATAACTTCTGGCAATGGCGTTCCCCAAAACCGTACGCATTGAATCACTGTGTTGCTTACCAAAGGGTTACATGATGCTAACGAAAAAATTCACAGTTACTGGCAATTCCTCCTTTACCTATTCATAGCTCTCATCGCATGCGAGCTCATTCTCTCTCCAGCTCCATGGTTTTATTCTGTCTACTCTGATGCAACCGGCTACATTGGACTCGGCGTAGAAGCTACCCTCCCAATTCCTCAAATAATTGCAAACTACAAATCTCGATCCTGCAAAGGTTTCCGTTTCTCAGTCATGGCCAGCTGGATTGCCGGTGATGTAATGAAGATGTTCTGGTTTTTTACGGCCACAAGTGCTATACCATGGGCTTTCAAACTTTGCGGAATGTTCCAGATGTGCTGCGATTTATTTTTGGGTTTGCAATTTTGGATGTATGGAGATGGTGATGCAAAGAAGAAGGATGACGACTTTAGAGCACCAATTGGGGAGAAAGATGCCCGGTTATCATGAGATGAATGGGTTAAGAATTGGAAGTAGGGGGAGAGCCGAACAAAATTTATAGAAATCTGTTGATGAACAAGCGAGACGAACGAACGAACGAAACTAGCGATGAAAATGACGGGAAATGTTAGTTAGAATACATGATGAAAGTCGGAAGATTTTCAAACTTATTAGAAAAGTGTTAATGGTACATATATATTTAATCAAATCCATTTGTTGATGGGCATTTTCTCCTGAAATTAATGCGACCCCTCATACTCTTGAAATCACAATTGCTTCATCTTGGACTTGTCATGAGCGGTAGATTCCATGTTTGTGACATGATTGACTCTCGAGAGCCTGCCAGTGTGTATTTAAAGAACTCTGTCAAGTGAGAAGAATCACATCCTAGTGGCCGCTATTCAGCTTGGCACAACTGCTTCGGTTCACTTCTTGGAAGCTAGTCATCGCGTATTTAGCTAGTGCTTGAATGATTTCGTTTAATATACGTTCTAGTTCTATCTCACTCACTGAACTTCTTTCTTTTCTTGCAAGTAGATGAAAATGTATGGTGAAATTCTTGTCGTCAGATTCATATTCGAGATTATCCATTGTTCACTAAGATGCTGGTTATTGTGATTTTGAAACATCGGACGAGTATTCTACCATGTAAGTTCATCAAATGTTTCTTTTCGATGTAGTTTGATGATGATTTCCATATATCAGACGAATGCTTCGAAATGCCCATACTCAAACAAAGCAATGAGAAATCTACATTGGTCAATACTCTTGATTCCATTACAGAATGGCATCTCCCTTGGCAGTTTGATAACCAAGCCTGGAAGAAGCTGGCTTCAGTCCAAGTAGATATTCATCACTAGATTTTGTCCAAACATGTTTTTATTTTATATCCACCTTGACTCTTTTATTTATAGAGATAAAGGGTACCGTATTGCTATATTAATGGCTCAAAGCAAGGGACTCGGCACTTGAAGATGATTGGAATTGAACTGTCTTGCTTATAACTTCTCGCAAACCATATAGCCACTAGATCCTGCACTCTCAATTCTGTCAACTATCCATCCACCCATAGCTCTCCCTCATATGACTGATTTGCTATCACTACCGCCTTCATTTATATCCTAATGTTCCGTCTCATGGGTTCAGTTACACTGCATTTATATTGCACATACAAAAACACTTAACAGCGACTCTTAAGCCCGCTCGTATAGCTCGAGTCTTCATACCGCCCCGCATTCATCTTTTAGAATCATTTATGCCACTGGCCACGCTCTCTATTTTTACATCTACATGAACGTCGGACTTTTCTACAAATTATCCATCGGATGTACGTCAAATTTACCTTCTACTAGCTAGCGTTCACGAATATCCTTAACCGTAATATGAATAGCAAAAAAGTCTCTTTCATAGTCCGTAACTAAGTGATATACAAGATGATAGGCTATTTTCTCGTTAAACATTTTAGTGGATGTATATTTACCATTTATATTCTCCCAAGCGATGAAATGGGTCTCCTCATTCCATGTCGCGTGGGCACCTATGATCTAGGTATGGAAAGATCCAAGATAGAGAAAGACATGAAAAAGAAAACTTCAAGAGCTACAAACGACATTTAAAATTTCGAAGCATCGAATGACTCCCAACAAGTAAATGCACGAACCCCTCAGAATATACATCAAGGTTAAACAATCCTCAGCCATCCAATTGGCTGTCTCAATTTCCCAAAGTATAAACGCGTTCATACCCCTCAAAATCTAACCAATCTCACAACATCAATATTCTCTCAATGTAACACATTCAATTCTCTACAGCCTGAAATTCTCACATTCCATTGGCCACAAAGCTTCCGCCAATAGACCCCCAAGCCTCGTCTGTGCGAGCTCAAATGAGGGGTAAATTTAGCGGGAGTGTAACAAAGGAGGGGTAAGCAACATCGAACCATAAAATTCAATTATATTGCTGAAGCTCTTTACACAATCGAAATTACTTTTGCTTTTATTTATCGCAACTCCAGTCTCTTAAATATTCTCCATCGTGAAAGAAGAATCAATTGATCCATTGCGAAAAAATGAGAGGCGTAGTAATCAAGGACCGTAATTCCCCCTGGGAAGTCTCCAATGATCTGGAGAGACCTGTTCCCGGAAAACATCAGGTTTTGGTGAAATCGCTGGTTACAGGAATTAATCCTTTGTGAGTCCTCTATTTCTCAGATTTCACACACACACATTATCTCTCGCACTCTCTCACTCCCTCTTCTTCGTAAACGACCCATCTTACCAATTTCCCCCACGAGCATACCACTAACTCAAAAATAAAGGGACAACATAATGCGACAAACCGGTTCCCTCATCCCTTCCTACCCAATAGTACTCGGCTGTGACGCTTCAGGAGTGGTTGTTGAATTAGGCCCTGGCGTTCAGAAATTCAGAGTTGGAGATGGCATTTTTGGATGTGCGACGAGAGTTGGAGAGGAGGGTTATGGTACTTTTCAGGAGTTTGTATGTTTGAGGTTCCTTTTCCATTCGGACAGGATACTTTGAATGGTGGGTGAGGCGGGTAGTCTGAGTAATGAGGTTGGGTGGGAATGAGGGATGGAGAATGGTGGGATGGAACAAGAGAGACGCTAACTATTAACTCTCTTCAATAGCATTTAATGGATGAGAAACTGGCGTTCAAGAGACCAGAGAGAGTTTCGGTTGAAGAAGCTGCGACGATTGGAGTGGGACTTTTGGTGAGCAAATCTTTCCCTCTTGCTAGTTGTCATGTTATGGTGTTTGTGAATGAGCAATACTGACTGCAATAATGATAGACAGCAGCAATATGTCTAAATGAGGGAAATAATATCATGTATCCTGCCACTCGCGAGAATCAACCAGAATGGTTTATTGTTTTAGGAGGCACGTCGAACGTCGGACAATACGGAATTAAGGTTCGTGTATCCATCTACAATTTGCAAATGTTGACATTGACAAATATCTAGCTTGCAAAATTGTGCGGATACCAAGTCCTTGCTTCATGCTCTCAATCTAATGCTGAGGTGAGCTTCGCGGAAGAGAATGAAGTTGAAATGATATTATGAACTAACTAACCTATCCCACTACAGTTTGTCACATCTGTCGGTGCAGATGCAACATTTGACTACAAACAATCTACCGAAACACAATTGTCTGAGATCGAAAAAATTACATCGGGAGAGTTTGCGGGTATATTTGATGCATCAGCTGCCAGTTCCGCAGTAGGCTTAGCTGCTTTGAATACCAAATCCACAGCAAAAACACAAAAAACATTCTCGACTACGAATGATTGGTATGTAAAAGCTTCCAATCTCTTCACGCTCCGGAAAAAAAAACTACAACTAAATAATAAATAGGGACGAAATCGACGAACAAAAGGACATCAAAATTTATCACGTCCACCTTGGACAAATGGGCAATTTTGGAGAGCCATTAGGCGACGCAACCAACAGCATTGTAGAGAAACTGATTCCAAGACTTGAAAGCTTGCTTTGGAAAGGATTATTAGAGCCAAATGAAGGAGAAGTAGTTGCAACTGGATTTGGAGGCGTAAGTTTTGGTGTTGATCTTTCGACGAAAAATGAGATTGGAGGAAAGAAGATATTGGTTAAGCTGCAGGATTCTTAATGCGGAGGTGCATTCATCAATATGGTAATCATATGATGCCACTTGTTGGTCTTTAGTTAGAACCCTCTCGGTAGTGGAGAGTTAGTTTATCTGATACGAGTTCTTGAATAAATCAGAGTGCAGCCATATGACGGGAATAGGAAGCTTGAGTGTAACGGGATATATTTCAAAATACATTCTGAGAATTTCTGGTTCAGCTATTTGCTGAATGATATGTGTTTTAACTCGAACAACTCTTTGCACGCGGTTTTCGGTTTGATCAAAAGACCAAAAAGAGGGAAGAGGAGCATGTGATCTGATTTAAAAGCCAAAAAGAGGGGTATATCTGATTTCGATTATCTTCTCTTTGACAAGTCTGGCCTTCCAATCAGAATTAGATATTAAGCTTACTGCTGTCCAGATCAGGTCACAGCAAGGGACGTCATGTATGTAGGCCTGACTTGGCAATGTAACTCTCGGGTGAAGATCTCTTGCAGCGCTTCAGCATTTAAGCAAGGCAATTGCCTACCCGCTCGTTGCTTGGTACAAGTGGTGAGAGTTCGCACTGTCTTCGCCTTTATACTGCTTCATCATGCGGTCGCTTTCAATTCTCTCAATAATGTCTTCGCTCACAATTGCGTCTCGTGGAGCTTCTCTTTGTGGGAAGATAGTCGGTCGTGATACCGCACTTCTGTCTAGTTATGATTTTATTGTTGTGGGTGGTGGAACAAGTGGTCCTGTCGTAGGAAATAGATTATCAGAGAATCCAGGCTAAAATTCACTCATTTTGATGCTTTGGATACCTAAGAAGCTTACCATCACTAGCGACAACTGTTCTCATTATTGAGGCCGGTGAACTGTAAGTGCACGAGTAGTCTGATGTAACCGTCTAATAGTATATAGTGATCAGGGAGAAGATTTCATACACATTCCACTTTTCGCAGGAATTGGGAATGGTGCGATAAGAACATAGTATGATTGGAATCTAACCTATGCTCCCCAGCCAGCTACAAATAATAGATCGATTGCCATACCACTAGGTAAAGTTCTAGGAGGTGGTTCTTGCTTGAATAAGATGGCTTTCGATCTTGCTGGAAAAGAAGACTATGATCGTTGGATCGAAGTAGGAGCAGTTGGTTGGAATGAACTCTTTCCATATTTCAAGAAAGTAAGCATATTATGTGCAACACATCGAGTAATCCATCAACTAAATCTTCTGTCCATCAGTTGACTAAATTTACACCACCTGCATCTGAAATTGCAAAAGAATGGGATATTCAAACGGATCATTCAGCACACGGATATAAAGCCAATTTAATGAAATCTGTGTTGAGAATCGACGTACTTGCTGACCGTGTCTATAGGTCCATTCAAGTTATTCAACATTTAATTGGCCATCATTCAGTTGAGTAAATTGTCCTAATCAAACTACTTCTGCTGACATGTTGGTAAAGTACATTTATGCGTCCATGAAATACCTCGGAATACGCAAGGTGTTTGACTCTTTAAATGGAGATGTAAATGGTGCTCTGTGGAATCCACAATCACTAGATCCAGACACTGAGACCCGCTCAAATTCTAGAACTGCTTATTGAATAGTGCAAATAGTCGAACCAATTGCACCTCTTAGAGGGACAACAGGTGACAAAACTGATCACTAAACTAAGTAATGAAGGAGTTGCAATCATTTGGTGGAGAGGTAAATATTTGTCGACCGCATTCTTTGGGTAACATTCTGACAACGAGAATAGTATGCAGCTGGCTCCAATTTTTCAAGATCAACCGTACTTGCGGCGAAGGAGGTAGTTCTCGCAGCTGGTGCTATTCATTCACCTCAGCTGCTCCAACTCTCTGGAATTGGAAGCTCTTCTTTACCTAAACAATTTGGTATCGAAACTGTGGTGAGCTTGCCAGGAGTTGGGGCGAATTTCCAAGATCACCCATCGCTCAGAGCTAGTACCACTTGTAGGTTGTTATAGCAAAAGTCTTTAAAACCATCCACTAACTGGATCAATAGTGGATATTTACCTTTCCGCGAACAATTTGACCAGTAATGCGACTTTCAATGCTGAGGTGCTAGCATTGTATAGGCATAACAGAATTGGTTCGTAAAGTATTAAACTTTCCAAATCGTTCTAATCGGGCAAAATAGGTCATACTCCACAGAAGGGGGAGGCGAATATGCATTTATTGGAAACCGTTCTTTCACCAATACAACTTCACAGATTGTATCCTCCGCTTCATCTATCACACCGGCATCATATTTACTATCCGATGTCGACTCGCCTATCTTAGCAGGATATGAAGCTCAATACAAAATCCTCACTCGAGATCTCGCATCCAACAAAATGCCAATTATGGAATTCGATCCTTTCACTTCCCCATCAGCAACCCCAGGATTCCTTACTCATCAGACAGATCTTCTTCTATTAAGCGCCGCAGCTAAGTTTGCTCGTAAAATAATCAACACACCAATATTCGCAACACTATCGCCAGTTGATACAGTACAAGGCCCAAGTATACAAACAGATGCGGATTTTGAGGCATGGGTTCGTTCGACTATTGGAACGACATTTCATCCAAGTGGCACTACCTCTATGATGAAGAGACAATATGGAGGAGTTGTGGATTCCAGTTAAAGGTATACGGGGTCAATAACTTGAGAGTAGTTGGTGCGGGTACGTTTCCAATGATACGGAGTGCGCATTTGCAAGTGACTGTGTATGCCATGGCTGAGAGAACTTCCGATGCGATTAAGAAGTCATGGAGACTTTGAGGCAGATGCTATGATAGGATGATGTGCTGAATAACATATGAGCAGATAGAAGGGGTAACTATTTTCATTCCAATCTTGTTGCTCTTCTTGCCGCTGGAGTGTTAAAAAAGCAAAGTATGATGGTGTATATTGCCACCCCGTAAATTGGTGTCGTGATACCCAGTAGAAACCTTGAGGATATAGATCGTTGTCTACAGATTTAGAGAAACTTGAGAGTCTCTTCCAATTGTACCGGTGAGAATTTATCGAACAAATCTTCGCTTTTACGTAGTGTTCTTGAGTTTGGCAATTGTTAATTCTGAGGTGTGGTTGCAAAAAAACACACACGCTAGCATACTCTCCGACACAGGCAGGTACGTGCCTACGGAGTATAAGCGAACTAAAGCCGGGCTGTCCTTTCCTTCCATCCAACTCTCCAATTACATTTCACATCGATTTCGGCATTTTGTATTTCTCCGTTGTTGATCTACATCCAGGGCACGTTTGAGCATGATGTGTTTGCTACTGTTTACTTGATAATGGCATTAACATTACTTTTTCTTCGTTGAAGGCTAATGGACCCCCGGGGTTGAGAATATGATACCTATCCAGACAATCCAAACCCTGGTAACGACAATCTTGTATTCAGCATTCTACTAACCGTCAGTTCTACAAACGAGAACTCTTCAAACACAAATCCAAGTGCATTGGTATATACTAGAATCCCGCGGCGCGGGTTGGTTCCTCGGGTAAACGTAGTATTGACGTTGCTCGTACGCATGTCTATGGGGGCTGGATTCATCCGGACTTTGCTAGACTTGTCATATCTACCAGGCAAGAACCGTTTGGTCAATGACAGATCGACTGCCTCTTGATAGATTGTAACGGGAGTTTGAGAAATTCCATCCAACGATTCTTTAGCTGAGCTGTCATGCAGTAGCCAAGAATATACTTTGCCTGGGTAACGTTCCACTGGAACCAATCATACGGATAAGCCGAAAAGCTTCTTGAGCCCTACCTATATCATGCCATGCCACGCCAATGAATGCACAGCTATGGACATATCCCAGCTGCAGTGTCTACACCGTAACGTCTCACATCAGCCGAAAGTTACACATGAAACAGAGAGAGTACCCGTCAAAACGCAGATTATATCCACTGAGTCTCCATGCTCTCTTAACAACTATATAACACACAACTCCACAATTTGATAAACATTAATAAAGACTTATTACGATCAAACTCACTCACAGCATTGTCGCCGATATTAACGGTGAACATTCACCAATCCCATGAGTTACAGCCTCAGAGGCACCCCACCAAAATCACTCCACCCGCCCCAAACCACCCCACTATAGCTACGACTACCCTCGTATCTATCGTAGATACATAAACAAAGCTCTTCCTCAAAGATCTTTCAAATCAACATTTCTTCCAAAATATCTCTCAACATGTCTCATTTTTTCCATGACGCCAAAGCAGCCATCGGCGACTTCGTACATGAAGTCGAGTCAGAGGTTTCGAAGGCTGCAGGAATCTCAGACGGCGAGAAACACAGCCACACTCATATCGGAGAGGCATGTCATGCACTTCATATAAATGGAAAGGAGAACAGATATGGCAGTTTCGCTCCTCCAAGAACTGGCCATGATATTAAATGGCATATTGACGGGTGTGCGTACATGTGGGCTGTATCTGTCGCCTTGGAAGAGGCACAGGAAAGTATCTGGATTCTGGATTGGTGGCTTACCCCTGAGCTTTATTTGAGAAGACCCCCATCGGCAAACGAGGAATATAGAATCGACCGCATGCTTTTGGCTGCTGCTGAGAGAGGTGTCAAAGTGAACATTATCATTTACAAAGAGGTTACTAAGGTCTTGACATGTACGTTTTATCCTCATTTCTGGCCACATGTCACGTGGACTAACCCCGATGTCAGTATGCTCCGAGCACACCAAGAAAGCTCTAGAGGTTCATCCTAACATTTCTGTATTCCGACATCCGGATCATGTTCCAAGTGGTATTCATCTCGAATCGGAACTTATTACCGACTTGAAGAATTTCAGTTTAAGAGACTTTGATCTTGCACAACTTCCTAAAGAGGGCATTGAAGCTTTATATGGAGCCCGAAATGATGTTATTCTATACTGGGCGCATCACGAAAAGCTTTGTCTGGTTGATAGCAAGGTCGCTTTCATGGGTGGTCTAGACTTGTGCTTTGGTAGATGGGATGTGAATCAGCATCCAATTGCTGATGCACACCCAAGTGACCTAGACAATATTGTTTTCCCAGGTCAAGATTTCAATAACGCAAGAGTGTATGACTTCCAGGACGTTGAAAATTGGCAAGAGAATAAGCTTGATCGCACGAAGTACTCTAGAATGGGATGGTCGGTATGTATTTTGGAAACACTCAAGTAGTTGTTGGACGATGAAATCTAATTGTTGTTGTAGGATCTATCAATGTCGTTGACAGGACCAGTTGGTAAGTTAATTAGAGACACTCCCACTATTACACTCCCACTATTACACTCCCAAATTTCAATGACTAACACTTCAAAGTCGAGGATCTCAGAGCTCATTTTGTTCAAAGATGGAATTTTATTTTCCGAGAGAAATACGACACTCAAGATACAAGATACACAGCATTGTCCTTGATTCCTAATGATATCCCTGATGGATATTATAACGAAGATGGTACAAATGTCGGTTCATCTACCGAGGGTGCAATCTCCGATACATTCCGTCGAGCGGGTACATTTTTTGGCAGATCGGGAGGTAATTCAGGGTATGGGGATGATCAAAACGGCGTTTCTATTCAGCTTGTAAGAAGTTGTACTGAGTGGAGCAATGGTGTAGCCACTGAGGTAATTCTGTCGTTCCAAAAATCATGCCGCAGGATACTAATTTGGATAGCACTCAATTGCCAATGCCTACATTGAGGTGATTCAACGAAGCCAACATTTCATCTACATCGAAAACCAGTTCTTCATCACCGCCTGTTCCGATGAGCAAAATCCTGTTGAAAACAAAATCGGAGCGGCGATCGCAGACAGAATCATTCGTGCTTATCAAAATGGCGAGCAATACAAAGTTATTGTTTGTATGCCAGCAGTCCCAGCTTTTGCAGGCGATCTCCATGCAGATGATGCTTTGGGAACTCGTGCAATTATGGAGTATCAATATAATTCAATCTGTCGTGGCGGTAACTCAATTATGGAAACAGTTGCTAAAGCCGGAGTACCCGATCCAAAGGATTATATCCGATTCTACAATTTAAGAAACTATGATAGACTTAACGATAACGGTACGATGGCTCGAACTGAAGAAGAAAGTGGCGTCAGTTATGAAAGTGCTAGAAAAGAGCACGATGATATCGTTGGCGCTGGATATGGCGGTTACGGTGAAGAAACTGGTGCTCGTAGGGGTCAAGAAAATTACGATTATGATCAATACCAAAGAGCCGCCCCTCGTTCCCAAGAACAAGACACAGTAGCAGCATGCTATTTGGAAGATGGTCCATCCATTACATCCATTCCTTGGAATGGTACCCCAGAAGCCGAGCTCGATGCCTTCGTCAGCGAGGAACTTTATATCCATACCAAACTTCTCATCGCCGATGATCGTGTTGTAATCTGTGGTTCAGCTAACCTCAACGATCGCTCTCAACTCGGCACCCATGATTCCGAAATCGCAATCGTAATCGAAGACACCGAAACCGTTGATTCATATATGGACGGTCGCGAGTTCCGAGCCGCAAAATACGCCACTTCGCTCCGCAGACAACTCTTCCGAAAGCACCTCGGCATGATCGCACCACAAGATTGGACCAGACCAGATGCAAACTATATGCCCATCAACAAAGACCCCAACGATTACGACTGGGGCTCCGACTACGATATCGCCGTTCAAGATGTGTTTTCCCCCGAATTCACAGATTTATGGAATGGTCGTGCGAGAACTAACACAGAAGTTTATTCGAAAGTTTTCCATGCCATTCCGGCGGATAATGTGAGGAACTGGGATGATTATCATGAGTTTTATGAACAGTATTTTGTATCACCTAGTGATAAAGATACAAATGAAGAAGATAAGGAGCCCGCAAGATATCTCTATGGGCATGTGGTGAAAGAAGAATTCCCAGGGGGCGTGGAGGAGGTTAAAGAGGAGTTGAGCAGGGTTAAGGGTATGCTTGTTGAGATGCCGCTATTGTTCATGGATGGGGTAGATTTCGCGAAGGAGGGGTTGAGTTTCAATGCTCTGACCGAGACGATTTATACTTAGAAGGAAAGTTTGGATAGATATCGGGATTGAAAACTTGAGTCCCACTTCGTGGATGATTGGCAATGGTTTGGAAAGCTTTTGAAATTTTTCTAAATTTAAATTTGTCTTGAATATTACAATTAGATACAACAATTAGAGAAGCCTACTTGATTACTAGCTACATAGATGACCTCAAAGATGAGAAGTTGGGGAATACGCATGGGTCAATCAGGGGCTTTACCGATCATCTGGCTTTGAAGACATCTCCAAACGTGAGAATACGGCGCTGTGACTGGTTTACATAAAAACTTCGAAATGCGATGGCTCGGCATGGAATATCTGTATTATGAGACATGAAACATTGTATTTGTTATACAGTATTTCCTAGCAAATCTAAGCAAATCCTGCAGGCACTTTAGCAAATTTACATCGGATTTGTGACATGCAGATATATAAGTTATAGAATGCGAATGTCATACAGAATGAGGGATAGTTATTATAAGTACTTGAATTTGATTCATGGAAGATCCAATCCAACACCGACGATGCGGAACGTATTCTTTTCTATCCTGGTATAGATACCTATTTCTATTCGCCACATTGAACAAACATTTAGAGCTACATGAACTTGAAAACACAAGGAGAAGCTGATTGTAGATGGCGATCCATCCTTCCCATTTCTCAATATGAGATTTTCCCTACTACATCAATACATGCATATCTAGATAGTCACACACAAACGTGCTGGATAGTCGACTTGTCATATATTTCATTTCCCACCCTTTGACATCCAATCTCTCCATCCAATCTCTCCATCAACCACCCCAACACCTCCCTATCCAAGTCTCCCCATCCCCCCAGATCAATTTCCAGAACATCGTTCTGTATCCCGTGATTATCTCCCGTCATTAATACTTCCCTTCTCCGGATTCGCATGTTCGCCCGTCCAAACATGTAAAGCTGGGAATTTTACACGTGGAGAATATGACGCGAATTTGAAATGTGCGGTATGTAACTTACATGTGCGATGGATCCACGAATCGATTGCTGGTTCGACAAGGAAGGGGGGAGAAGGAAGAAGGAAGAAAGATTTGATATTATGCATGGGAATTCATCACATTGGATATTTAGGGAATGGGATTGCGGAGGTAGGCGATTTGGTGGGGTTTGTCGAGAGGAGCGAGATCTTTAGGGGATTCGGGATGGGGTTGCACGTTGTGTTTACTTTATCTGATTTTAATATTATACCTGGACGGGAATTCGAAGATGGGAGGTTGAGATATGTGCTGGATTTCTGGTTTAGATATTTACATTGGGGTCTGAGGAAGATGGGAGGAATGATCATTGAGGTGAGATTGGGATAGGGTATCCGATTAGTCTCCCTGTGCTGCTAATACGCTTTCTTGTTTGAACGCTGCTGTATGAAACTCGGCATACGCGGCGGAAATTGTGGAATCTGGTTGGTATCGATTTCCTTTCGCTTTTGGGATCATTAGTACTTTGTAAATTTTCTAGTAAAAGGTACAAATCATGAGAAGTCGTAGTGGAGGAGTCTTATCAGAATAGATATTAGATAGACAGAAAGCTTGGTAAAGAGAACTGCGTGAGATTTGGATCCTGATTAGAAAGTACATACTAGGAATAACTGAGGGAATGCACCCATGTACTAGGTATGTGACTTTGATTCAGGAATTGAGAAATGTAATGTGAAGACTATTTTGTTCATTTACGCCATTGTTTACAAATCTTGAAAAGGACACCACCCTAAGCACCAGTGCACCTGCTATCTGAATCTAAACCTTTTCATAAATCCCATTCTTATCCATACGCAACGAGTTAAGCCTTCTTGAATTTCTCCCCCGAAATCAATGATCCGACAAGCTCTATCAAGTAAGATTTTCCCTTACCAACCTTCACCATCACACTAGGAATTCTCCAACCAAAAATCTGTCCGACACCACCTCCATTTCCGATAGGTACGAAGATTGTTTCTTTCATTGGTTTGAATTCCTGTTGTACGGGATATCCAGTTCCAGAACCCCCCGCAATCATTTTCCATACTGAGCCCAACAATCCAGGAGCGGGCTCCGCAGGCTTCTTGACGCCGAGATCGGTGGCAATATCTACTGCGAGAGAAGAACATAGTGTTGCGAGCATAGGGTCCATTTCCAAGGCGGAATTGGAACTTCCGGCTACCATATCTCCTAATACGTAGATACCCTTCACATCATCCGAACCATTTCCCTTGACGCGGAAATAGACATCACGTGTGATGACGCGTCCTGATTCATCGAGCCATGATTTCGATAGGAATTCACTGTTGGGTGTTCCTCCAGTAGCGTCGATGTAGATGTCGACATCGCGTTTACTACCATCGCTGAGGGTTAAGGTAGTGGGGGAAACACCTGGCTCGGCGGGGTTGGTACTTTCAACGCGTACATCATTGATAACCTCGACGTGAACAATATTTTCGAGATAATCTTGGGCTCGTGCACTGGTTGCCGGTTTGACTCTCGAAAGAACTCTGTTGGCACCAGAGAGAAGTGTGACTTTACAATTTGGAAAATTTGTTGCGATTTCTCCTGCGGTTTCAACACCAGCTGCGCCGCCTCCGGCTACGAGGACAGTCTTTGCGTTGGGGAGAGCAGTGTGTAATGCACTCAAGGCGCTCTTAGTGTGGGATTCTGAACCGTGGAGTGTCCAGAGTGGGGATTTGGAGGTTGTACCTGTGGAGATAATGAGAGAGTCGTAGTGAATTTGTCGCGTGGCATCTGTAGTCTCATCGCCTGTTGATATGGTAACTGTTCGCGTTGCAGGATCTAGAGCTGAAGCCACGCCCTGGATTAATTCGAACTGCGAGGCGTCATATCTTGAAAAGGCCTCGGACAATGGGACGAATAATTTTTCATGGGGAATTAAAGTTCCATTGATGAGGGCTCGTGGACTGGCGATCTTGAAGAAAAATGATGTGTTGGGAGTGATGAGTGTGATGTGATAGGATTTTGTTTGATCGAGACGATGGAGCTGAGGTAAAGTTTGACGAAGCAATTGGTGAACGGCGTTGACTCCACCAAAGTTTCCGCCTAGAATGACTACTTCGTGGACAGTGGAGTTGGAGGACATTTTGAAGGTATTCGGAAATGGATTGACAATGGGATGGGTAAGGTTGAGGTTGAGCTTTGAATGTCTGAAGGTCTGTTAGCTATGGAGATCTGGGGTCTGTGGGTCAATGTGGACTGATCATTGATTGAGTACTAGGTAGATAACCTCCATTTGATATTCAATAAGAGTGTAGAGGTAAAGGAGAGTAGTACCTGATATATTCTAGAAGTTATTGAACGTCCACGGGTCCTTTGGATGATTCTCTAGATGAATTCTTTAAAGACTTTGACCTCGAGAAATTATATTTACATTTACCAGAATGAATTGAGGATTGACGTGTACCTCTTATAGTAAATCGTTACTGCTCTCAGACTGGTGAAAGAACTTCGCGGGGCACGGATTGATCATTTATCAATTGCTCGAGCGTGAAGCTATTTATATATTCCCCCTTGCTTCACAGTGAATGTTACCTACCTACCTAGGTCATTTATCAATGATTGTCATCGCCATATCGAGATCACCAATTTTGAACAATATAACACATCAGAAAGTCCTTTGCACGACTATCTAAATGTTGCCGCGACGTTCAGCCAATCAGAAGCATTTCCGCTGAGAATCATGGTCCCCGGCTAACGCATCCTACTGCACTCATTCTACAACACCTTGCTCTTATCATTTCTTTTTCGCAGGTGTTTGAACACGATAGGATAATATAAATCGGCCAATTCAGCCGCCACAAAAAGAAATGTTGTTAAAGGTGTGCCTACCACCGTGTAGTCCTTCGGATAGTGGAGATATCTCCAGCAATACGTCAAAATTGCAGATGCTGAGCCAATGAAACGACAAAACCTATCTGTCCTGATTAGCGCAGAGAGCATGCCAGATCATCAATCATACAAGTTACAACTCACCAAATCTCAATAGAATGACCACTTGTATGACCTCTCTCCATCAACTGTGCAACTGAGGAAATCCCAAGGAACATCTGGAGAACAAACGCCGACCAGAACATTGCATCCATATCGTCGCCGTAAGTTTCCGCAAATGCCCAATGCAGAACTACCATCATTCCAATCCCTCCCCCAAGAATCGTCTTCAGATTTTGAGATATCATGGGAGCATGATTCCACTGGGTTGGCCCAAATTTCATGGTAGTATACACAAGAAAGGCATCGATGATAAGCCTGGGAACAAAAACTAGGATTTGCGTCAGGGTGAATGGAAGGCGGAAGCCGTAGACTATCTCCCACCCTATGTTTGCACAGCTATTGTATGTTGTTAGTCGGAGCGATATGTGGAGTGATGATATTTACAGTGCAATAATAGGCATTCCATAAGATTCATCTCGATACGCTTGTCGAATGTATAGAAGATATGTAAAGGTCCAAAAGAGCCCCGTCGAAAGTATGAGAGTATCTTGGACTTGGAGGTAATAGAGAGGAGGTTGATTGATGGTATCAATGGCATTGAGAGGAAGATGGATCTTGAAAGTCATCTTGAAGATCACGATGTAACCAGGAAATGATAGTGTCACAAATATCTATCAGTTCGTATTTGATTTCCCACTTTTGAGAAGCCTCAAAACATACGTTGCATCCGTCCGACGCATCGACCAATCATTCACTGTCAGGAATCTACCATTAATTTTGCTGTCTGGACTTGGTTATCTCTATAGCAGTATATTGTTAACCACCAGATTAGTACCGCCGAGAATACAAGCAAATGTTACCTTCAAAAGAGGCACTCGCATCTGGCGCATTAAACAAATTGGAGACCTCATCTACAGTGTACAATCTAATTGGTATAAAATTCACGTGATCTGCCACGTATTTTTGTTTCTCGTGACTTCCATGCACCCCATTTATATTTCTTTCAACATATCATATCTTTGAAACATCAATAACCTCATCACATATTTGACTTCTCACTGTTCATCAATACGCATCTTGCTATTCACGATGACCTCCTCCGAAATACCACTCTTTTCAAACGATTTAATCTCCGAAGAATGTCAAAATACCCTCCCGGAAGGCTATAAATTCCGTGCACTCCAACGCTCGGATTTCCATCGTGGATATCTAGGTGTTCTTCGTGACTTAGCATATGTAGGGCCCATCACCGAAGAACAATGGGAAGAAAGGTTCGATGCGATGAAGAAGTGTGAGGATACTTATTATGTGTTGGTGATTGTGAAGGAGAAGGGGGGTGCGGGTGATGGAGAGTTTATCATGGGGACTGGGACACTGGTTGTGGAAATGAAGTTGTGAGTGCTTTTATTTTGAGAAAGTAATGAAAGGAGCGGAATGGCTAATGTATTATTGGTAAGCCTTGGAAATTTGGGACTACAAGGCCATGTGGAAGATGTGTGTATCTCGGCGGATCATCAAGGACAGCAGTTTGGAACAAAGCTTATTAAGGCCTTGGATCATATTGCTTCAGAAAGAGGTTGTTATAAGGTGAGTTTATTTTATTCCATGTCCAGTTTTTAAAACACATGAGTAGCTAATCATATCACAGAGTATACTTGACTGTGGTGCCAAAAAGGTACCCTTCTACGAAAAATGCGGTTATGAAGGGAGAGGGTTTGAAATGCATCACTACCATGATCCTGAATCGGAGGCTGCATTAAATGGAGTTTGATTCCAATAAATCCTGCAAGAGGCTTTAGGAATGGTGTTTTAATGTTCGCGGGTCCAGTGACAGCGAGTAAAGTATCAAATACTGTAAATAATGGTTTTTAGAACTCATTTGTCAACCTCGCCATCTCCAACAATGTCTCTTTTAATGAATTTTTGGGTTTTCGAATCGTTTCCAATTTTCCCTCAACAATGACTCAGACAACTGATTCAACATATCGATTATATCTGTCCGGCACACACGTATTTCGTCGCAATGGACGAGAGTTCTTTAATATTATGCGGTCTGGAATCAAATGATGTTTATGGATATCTATTAACAGCTCTATTCTAAGATCATTCGCCCAGATCTTACCTCTGATATCTCAATGGAAAAAGCACATAGATGCATTTTTCTGCACTTCCCAGACTCTCAAAATCTTAGCTTCATGAGGCATTACCTCCACAGTATATGGAACATCATAAAGACCCTCTTTATGTTTCCACAAATCACGAATTCGATAACGATCCCAAGTCATAAGAATATCCCGACGAGGACTAAAACTCATTTCCGCCGTGGAAGTTCCACGATTGAGTAATGCGATAGCATAACTCCCATCCGTCAGCTCTTTAGCATAAACTTGAAGATCTCCATCAGATTCGTAGCCCACACCCACTGTCTGAGCTGATATTCCAAGCGCATCTTGATTGATCTCAATAATCTCTTGATTGGTGAGAGTTTGAAGTTCATAAGTATCCAAAGTCCTCACGTCGGATCCAATGAGTAGAGGAGAAGCTACCATCGCCCACATACTGAAATGCGTTCGATATTCAATATTCGACGCCCCCGTCCCTACAAGTTGGGTCGAATTCCCATTGAGTCCAATGATTAACATATCATAATCATTCCAATGACCCGGGCCTGAATATTGCACCAAGTCATTTCCTCGATCAATCATGTCCAAGACGTCGAAATAGTACTTTTCCCGATTTCCAGGATAGTTGAACTCATCAGAAATATCTTGACCAATGCGCCACTGATTTGCTCCTTCATCAGCGGCCCATTCCCAGATATCGGCCCAACCGCAATGACATGCGTGGTAGACGATGGGACGACCACTTGCTAGGAGCGCTTTGGACATTTTCAATACAATTTCTTGGACCACGGATTTAGGAGCATCTCCATGGGAACAACAACTGTGGTCATTAGAAAGTCTTCAAAGGTATATTCGGACAGAAAAGAAGCCCACCTATCATATTTCAAATGATCAATCCCCCAACTAGCAAACATATCTGCATCTTCTTCCTCATGTCCAAGACTCCCCGTATACCCAGCACAAGTCTCATCACCGGGTCCGGAATAAATGCCTAATTTGAATCCTCGTTCATGGGCATAGTCGGCTACAGCTTTAATTCCATTTGGAAATTTGACAGGATCGGCTTCGAGGGGGTGAGCGGATCGAGGTCCTTTGTATCGCTGCCAACCATCATCCAAATTCACATAGATAAATCCGGCATCTTTTAGACCGTTAGATATCATGGCATCAATAGTTGACTTGATGAGGTTTTCGTCGATCAAATCACCAAACTGATTCCAGGAGCTCCAGCCCATGGGAGGGGTGAGGGCGAGACTATTGTTCAGGGGTGGGGAAACTGGGGGATCAGGACCTGGTGAGCATTCTTGCGCGGTTGGGGAGGTTGTTGTTGAGGTTTGAGAGGATGAAGATGTGCTTAGAGCGAGAACGTGGATGAGAGATGCCGTTTGTAGAAACCATGGGATGGCGAGTTTCGCGAGAAAATGCATTGCAATTATTTTGTCTTCTCACTCTGAATGATGTTCAAGTACGATTATCTCACGACTATTATGAAGAACTCTATTTCTCTCTTTCAATTCATTCTATTAATGTATCTCTCTCGATACAAGACTACTCATATACAAAGCAGAGGCAGAAGAATACAGCTCGTACCGATCATACCTAAGAAAAACACGAATGCTTTTTACAAATTAAAACATCTACCCCGCAATCCTTCTCGTGTCGTACAGCATGTCAAAGTAACAGCCAAGAGCATTCTCTACATAATGGCTAGCTGTCCCTTCCCCAAACATCCAACTTTAGTACTCCGCACTTGCGGCTGAACATCCCCATGCATTTTGGCTGCAGAAAAATCGATACCAAGAATATCACCGACTGTAAGTCGTTGCATCAAGCAATAGGAAAAATAAATTGTAACGTCAAGGTTCCATACCGTGCGGACCGCTCGTAACGTATCATTGAATAGATATACGAGAGAATTGAGTTTAGCTTCTGATGTATACATACAAGTTCAATGTGAACCAAGCTCCGCTCTTAGATATACTACCTATATATGCAGAAGCGGTGATGATGATAAGTAAACGTCCTGAAGACATACCCGCCTTATTCTATTCGTCAAGATATACTGCTGACTCAGACCGAATGCAAGCATGTACCCCGACTTCGGTACATGACTTCAAACACGCCCAATTCAATACTGAACTACCATTCCAACGTCGTCAACTTACCTACTTATCTACCTTCCTAATTTAGTTGTCCGGTCCGTGATATCTATCTAGAGTTGTCGGTTTGCTGGGAGTGCCAAGACCGCGGGGATTGATTGGGTTTTCCCCACATGCACTCACTCCCATCTATGGCTCTTTGGGAACGGTGCACCCACCCCCATTTTGGTAATCTGATATCATATCATAACGTCGCATCCCGTATCTGCAGAAGCATGAGTTGCAGCTTATCATCGATAAGTATCTATGGATGGATTGATCTCTTCTGCTTTCGCAAGCGCGATAAGGATTAAGATTTAATGAAGGGTTTCCTTAGGATTTTCATACAATATAGCATGATTCCAACGGGTGTGTTTGAGGATACACAGTGGGTGACGATTTACGAATATTGAATATTGGATGTTGGATATTGCGCATTAGACGACTATATCTTTCGAGATCGATTTCACATTCTAAGGATACTGGTTTTATTTTGAATTCTCTCATCTCCTCATCATCATCCATCCAGGAATCAAGATGCGGAAATCAGAAGACATGACCACAAAACCACACCTCCAAGATTTATCTCTCCCCATCGACCCCCCGCATCTCCCTAATAAACAAACGCACCTCGATGCGCAAACTGCGACGGAAATCGAGCATTCCATGTCTTTTCGCGATGCGCTTCGTCTCTACCCCGCGGCGATAGCTTGGTCTGCATTTTTCTCTCTCGGAATTATCATGACGGCTTTTGATCCCCAATTACTGGGAAGTTTATATGCGACACCTGCTTTCCAAAAGGATTTTGGATATAAATACAAGGGAGATTATATCGTGAGCGCGCAATGGCAGACGGCATTGGGAATGGGGAATCCGATTGGACAGGTGGTGGGAGCGTTACTTATTGGGTTTCCGATGGAGTGGTATGGAAGGAAATGGGTGGGTTTTCGAAATCTTTATAACCACGAAGGATTTGACGTGCGCTCGAAGCTAACTTGGTATTGGTAGACATATATGGCATGTGTATCCGGTACTGCAGCACTTATCTTCGTGCAGTTCTTCGCGCGCTCTCTCCCTGTTCTTCTCGTCGGGGAACTTATCGGCGGTCTCATCCTAGGCACATATACTACCATTGCCCCAACCTACGCATCGGAAGTATGTCCTATAGCGCTTCGCGGTCATCTAACTTCGTATGTCAATCTTTGTTTCGTGATGGGTCAACTCATCGCAAATGGGGTTATTGCTGGGACGTCTCGTCTCGATAATCATTGGGCATATAGTGCTCCATTTGCAATTCAATGGCTCTGGCCTCTCATCATTTTGATTGGTATCCCTTTCGCGCCTGAATCGCCTTGGTGGTTGGTCAGGAATGACAGACTTGAAGAAGCAGAGAAATCGCTGGATAGACTGTCGTCGAAGGAAATTAATAACAAATTGGTTCTGGCGATGATGATTGAGACGGATAGGTTGGAGTTGGAGATGGAGACGGGGACAACTTATTGGGATGTTTTTAATAAGACTAATATTAGGAGAACGGAGATCGCAATTGCGGTTTTTGTGACGCAGGTTTTCAGTGGGATTTATTTGGTGGGCTATGCGGCCTATTTCTTTCAACGTAAGTCTTCTTTCCTCTGGTGTTGTATCTGATTGTGTTGTATTTGATTCTTCCTTGAGAAGATTCAAGATCTTTTTCTAAAAAGTACATCCGTTCTCGCTACTTGGGTACTGTGTGAAGAACTAAATGATAATCTACTGACTCACTGTTCCAGTTGCCGGTCTTGCTGGATCCAAAGCATTTGATATGAGCGTCGGATTTCTAGCCGTTGGCTTCGTAGGAACCCTTTTGTCATGGATTTTGATATCAAAATTCGGTCGACGACGCATCTACAACATCGGCCTTGCGTTACTCACCACTATTATGTTTCTTATTGGGATTCTGGATTGTGTACCAAATTATGTGAATCGTCCAGGTGTCATCTGGGCACAATCGACGCTCATGATTGTTTGGAATGGTATCTTTGATCTTAGTGTTGGCCCCGTTTGCTACACGATTTTCTGTGAGGTATCAGCGACCAAAGTTCGTTCGAAAACTATTGCTGTGGCTACGGCAATGCAAGCACTTGTTGGAATAGTTATGACGGTTGCCATTCCTTATATGATTAACCCGGATCAAGCGAATTGGAGAGGAAAGATTGGATTTTTCTATGGTGAGTAAAATCTTTTGCATTATCAATTTTCACAACAGAGGAATACACCGATTGGTGGAGTTATTGGTTACAATCATTCACGACGATAATAAATATCGAAAAGAGTATAGTGACTGATGATTAGATAGGTGGTTGTTCGGTATTTTGTCTTATCTGGTGTTGGCTCAGAGTCCCAGAAACCAAAGGAAGGACGTACGAAGAATTGGATCTGATGTTCGCAAGAGGTGTCAAGACGAGAGATTTCAAACATTACAAAATCGTGTAATGTATTGTATATCCACACCAATTTGACTCGTTAATGAAATTAAAAATAGCACTTTCACTTGCAGATATACTGGTTTCGTCTTATGTTTCGTTCTCATTCTCACCACTGTACATTTTGATGGATCATCTTGTGCATGGTTGATGATGATGAACTTATTTCAATTGTGTTTATCTTCAGTGAGTGCATTGAAGGACTCCTTGCATTAACCCTACAACTTATGAATCGTTCCAATTTCTGGAGACCCCTAGTTTTGTGATCTTCACAATCCCAAGACACAATGATTGAATTTTGCAATGAAAGTTGAAACCCCAGAAATCGGCAAAGAAAGGTTGAGCGATTTAATGCCAAATCAATCCAATTAGCTCGTCGACACGACACGACACAACATGCATGACACAGCACGATAAATCAAATTGACATCATTTGTGTCGGCCAATCCGTCTGTCGGTGTTTTGGGTCAAATCCTGTCAATTTTGTCATTCCTGTCAATCCTGTCATCCATACTCGTGAGTCGTCGTCATATGTTCCGGGAGTCCGGAGTATTGATGGGCGATGATGTTCCAAGTTTTTTAGGATTGATCGATACCCAGGTCCAATTAGCTACGTAGATGGAAAGGTAGAGGGAAGAAAAGTAAGGTTATTCCGAGTTTCGTCCACCAATCTTCGTGTAAATGTGAAGATTTACTACCTCGAACTATGAGTTGTAATCTTATCTAGGCGTAGGTAATACTAAAGTAAGTTTCAACGGCAGATGAAAGAAAAAGGAAAAGATGTCCAAGGCCGTTGCAACCCGAGATCTGAAAAGGCTAAGGGCCTCAGGTATATATACATTGTTAGTCATCAGCGACGACCATATCGGTGCTAGAACAAGCCTTTTCCGAGCACCGAGACTATGTCACGTTCTTATCAAGGACAACGATTGGTCATGAATTTTCCTAAGTTTTTCGTCGTGTTTTCTAGCGTGTCGTATCATTTCTAATCTAACGTCGTCAAATGAATATCTTATGATGCTAATAAGAAGCTAACAATGCCTTAGTAAGCCTTACCCATGGCCAAGGCATTACCACGATGAAATTTTATACTGCGGAATTAAGCACAAAGCATAATCTATACGAAGCTTTCTTTCACACTATGATCCCAGAAGGAAACTCCCACGCTTTGCCTCAATGGTTCTCTTCCCCCCCTCATCACGCATCGACTGCGATTCCGATGATACCCCAAAATGAGGGGGGGGATGACAATCACTCAAACCACTCGAGCCACTGCGGATATCGCGTCAAGGCAGCGAGGGGTTGGGAAAATATGAGACCATTTTCATCTACTCTACCCCATAGATAGATGTGCATATGTCTCAAAGATAGATGATCACATCTGTTTACCAATTCCGGATTCCGTCTCGGTTTTCTTATCTACGGAGTACGAATACAGTGCGTGCTTGGTATCTTTTTTATACTTTCGCCGCAATGAACTGAAAGGAAAGGAGTGGATACAAGACGTTGAATGGATGCAAAATACACCTCCAACCATTTAAAGCTACTTTCGTCTAAAGGCGGCCCGACGAGGCTGCGGGAGTTGTCGAATAAAGCTACTGACTCGCATGATCTGCAACGTAAGGCGAAATCAGCCAGGTACAAGCTTGAAAAAATTAATTCATTCGAATTTTTAGCATCAATTTACTCCAGATTTTGATGTTGGAGAAGAGAGAAGTCAAACGTGGTGACTTTGGGACATCGTGTCGATTACTTGCATCAGTGATCAAGTCCAATCCAACTCATGTTGTTGGCAAGATTCATATCCTCAAGGTTTGGCATGCAATACCACGCACTACCCCAGATTCAATACCCTGAATTAGTCAAAACGTACATGGTCAATACCGAGATCACACTGAATTATTATCAGATTATGGCGATTTCATGGAGACCGTTGTTCACGTCGCCTCGGCAAAACATAATAGTTACTTTTTAGTGGAGTCACAAAGGAACAAATGGTCCACTGTCACTGATGAAACTCCATAGAAAAGAATTTTACTTACGTCTTAGGAACCACCTTCCAACATGGTCTTACCATTCGCACTGACGTTCCCCTCATTGAACTTACTTGAATTCAATAGAAATTGATTGTCAATCTTTGGCTTATCTCGGTGTCGAGCGTGTCTAGCCCCGTCCAGAAACCCTACATATTTTCGTCTCGTGTCCACATCTTGATGTTATCTTGCTATCTTTCAACTCTCTTTCAACACTCAGCTACTCCTTCTTCAACTGATAGCTTCAATCCTTTATTCTTGTTCCAACGACCGTCATTAGCATCCGAAATCGACAGCAACATCTCTCGACTGTTGAGAAAAGGCTCAAGACAAAAATTTGCAAACGAATCATAAAAATCTGCAAATATGGACCCCGAAAAGGCAACTTCGAATAAAGCCACCAAAGATGATATCACAGCCGCCAACAATGTTCGTGGTAACATCAGGGCGGACGATCAGTCCTCCGATATGAAGGTAGCAGAGGTACTCGATGCTTTTGGTAATGAGGAAGGCGCAGAGGTTCAATGTAAGCTTTTTAACTCCTTGATTAGCGAAAGAATTGGCTGACAGTATCATCAGACAAAACCATGACTTGGTGGCAAGGAGCAATCGTTATGATTGCTGAAAATATCTCCCTTGGTATCCTTTCTCTACCAGCTGTTTTGGCCAAGGTTGGTCTCATTGGTGGTCTCATCTCGATTCTTGCTCTCGGTGTTTTCACTACATATTCTGGTTACATCTTGTGGCAATTCAAAATGCGATATCCTCAGGTATGTTAGGTTCTAGGAATAGTCTTTGAATATTTACAGTTTCTAACAAATTTCTTAGGTTACAACTTATGTAGACATTGGTGGTATCTTGATGGGAACCTGGGGAAGAGAGATCTTCGGTGCTGCTTACGTCATTTATTGCATTTTCTGCATGGCATCGCATCTTTTGACTTTTACCATTGCCATGAATGTTCTCACGAACCATGCAACTTGTACTATCATCTGGGGTGTCGTTGGATTGGTTGTCTTCAGTTTCCTCTCTTTGAACAGAACCCTCAAGAATGTCTCGTTCTTGTCCATTGTTTGTAAGTTTCGCCAAGTCCTCTATTACCGAATTTCGCTAACCGCTGCAATAGCATTCACCAGTATTCTTTCCGCCGTCGTCCTCACCATGGTCGCCTTGGGTGTATCGCCAAAAGCCGACGCCACAGACATGAAGGGAACTTACAGCCCATCATTCCCAACCGCTTTCAACAGTATTTCCAACGTTGTTTTCGCATACGGTGGTCACGTTGCCTGGGTCAGCTTCATTGCTGAACTCCGCGATCCAAAGGACTTTCCAAAGTCTCTCGTCCTTCTTCAAACTGTCGATATCAGTCTTTACTTCGTCGCTGCTCTCGTCATTTACAGATATGCTGGTGAAGATGTCGCAAGTCCAGCTCTTAACAGCAACAGTCCTATTGTTCGCAAGGTTGCATGGGGAATCGCTTTACCAACCATTATTATCGCAGGAGTTATCTTTGCTCACGTCACTGTTAAATATATTTACATTCGACTTTTCTCCGGAACCAAACACTTGAACAGTCGAGGATTGATCGCCACCGGAACTTGGATCGCTCTCGCTTTCGGAACATGGACTGTCGCGTGGATTATTGCCGAATCCATTCCCGTCTTTTCCGATCTCCTCGGTTTCATTTCTGCTCTTTTCGCGTCTTGGTTTTCTTACGGTCTCCCTGGTATCTGCTGGTTTTATATCAACTGGGGATCATGCATGCAAGGCTCCAAGCAAATCTTCTTGAGTTTCGTTAATATTGTCTTGATTATTTTAGCGTGCATTATGTGTTTTGCGGGTTTATACGCTAGCGGTTATTCTATGAACTTGGATACTGCTACTTCTCACGGTGCTTGGTCTTGTGCGGATAACCAACATTAATTGGTTATCTTGGGATTATATTATAGCAGTTGCATTGCATTGCGTTGCGAGGTCTTCTTTATTTTCTTGGGAAAAGCAATCGAAAAGCGAAAGGCAAAAAGCAAAAAGCAAAAAAGCATGATACCCAATAGGGAATTTCATATCGGTGGAGGCTTCTTTTATGATATCGAATTCCGGTTTATAGGATTTGGGCAATTAGGTGTCTTAGGCGCGTATGTACTTTGGGAGTACGAATTTTGGGATGGGGGGCATTCTCACTTGATTGAATGAATGGATGGGGTCGAGCTGGATATGAATGACTGGCCTTTTTTGTATATTATCGGGTAATGTTGTGATGAGAATTATGGTGTGATGATTAAATTATCTAAATGAATGGAGATTGATTCATTGGAATAGATGGTTTTTTGAATGGTTTCGATGACGTGAATACATAGTGAATTTGTGATGTTGAGATGAGATTGATGTGAGGATATATTAATGAAGTTCATGGTATCAAAAGCGGGAGATATAAACTCTCCTCGATGAGATACGATGAGATGCGATGAGATGATATGAGATGAGAACTACAATCTTCTAGCTGGCGGGAATGGAACTCATCGCATACGGCAACTGCTACATCTTTTCCCTCTCTACAAACCTGAAGAGAGATAGAGAAAGAAAGCAGAAAGTACATCACCAAGCGAATGAATGACAAGACAAAATAGCACGGAAACAAGTTGTTTGAAGATCTGATTGATTTTGAGGAATGTCATCTATACGTAGGTAGGTAGGTAGGTAGGTAGTAGGTAGGTAGGAGGTAGGTAGGTAGGTAGGTAGTAGGTAGGTAGGTAGGTAGGAGGTAGGTAGGTAGGTAGGTAGTAGGTAGGTAGGTAGGTAGGTACATGCATGTGTGCACGATGGAGTAAGGAGTACGGAATACGGAGATGAGAACTTGTGATCTCTTTACTGTATTGTATCATACTGGATTGTAATTTGTGAGTACCTGGATATCTATCTGAATTATTTTTCTCCCCCCCTCCCTCTCTGCAGCACTATACATACCATACCCCATACACAACACACCCACCCATTAGATACATCATCCACACCATACCACATGATCACTCTCTCCATCTCCATCTCCATCTCCCGATGCTCCCATCCCTGCGCCCGGATATGTATTTACTACGGAGTACTCGTGCTGCCAGAAAGTATGCAACTCCGGCACTAAATACACTATATCGGCTTTAATGGGCCAATAGAATCCACTGCTTCCTTCAATCCCACTATATTAAATAGAGATTTGGAAAAATGAATCAATTGAATAGCTCGCTTATATTGAAGCCCTACTACTTTCAGCACAAATTTCAATAACGTATGCCCCTTTTGAGCACTAGAAAGCTTCCCCACAGTGGCTTAATCCTATTGAAGCAAGAGTTGCATACTTTCTGACCGCACAAGTACATCATCGAATATTCCTAGCGTCTTCTCCCCATCTCGTCTCGCGATTCTCATCATCCCACTCTATGCCGCTGTCATATGTACGAAGTACAGGTACTTTTCTCCGAGTACCGGGAGGTATCCATTCTGTACTTGGGTGTCTAATGTACCTAGGTACGCTAATGAATAATGAATAATAAAATACCCGAATACCTTCGTAGGTATCCCTGTTTTTATTTATGTGGGGTTGCTCCACTTGTGCGGATTCTTGTGGAGGATGATGTGAGTATGTGGGTATTTATATGTTGTGATAAAGTTGCAGATGGTATATAAATCAACTAGGTCGCTTAGCTCAGTTGGTTAGAGCGTGGTGCTAATATCTTCCCTGATTCATCAGTAAGACAAAAACGCCAAGGTCGGCGGTTCGACCCCGCCAGTGATCACTTTTTGGTTTTACTTCTTTTGCATTTTCAAGTTGGGGTTGTTGGATGCATGTGAAGAAATATATATGTAGGGATGAAATAGATGAGAGACAAAGGATTTGTATAGAGAGACTACATGTATGTCTATGTTGTGTGCGTTGCTTTTTGGTGATAGGAAAGCTTGAGGAAGAAGAATATATCAAAACGAGCTGAAATATCAGAGTTCCGTATGCGTATGTACTATATCTACCTAGGTATTCATGATATTTCGATGTTTGGAAAGTCGCTAGTATGAGGGCAAAGTAAATTTTCTCTATTTCAGACCCTCGAATTTGAGCGATCAGAGTTGTCTTGAGAAAGAACCCCTCTTTACAACGACTAACCTATAATTAGTCGTACCATCTCTGATCAACAAATGATGCTAGCTGTTGAGCTCTTATCTTTCGTACATGGTGGTTGTGGCCGCGTGATAATCATTTGAGATTAGATGTTTTCAAATAGTGAGGTCAGACTAAGTTCATCCATTGCCGCGCTTCAGTTTGAAACAGCTTTTTGGAGTCCTCAGAAGTCTTCAGTCTGTAGAATCCTACTCGGCGATAATGGTTGCTATCTGACTCCATAGCAGGCTGTAGAATTAAGCCGGAGATTGGTTTGGCCTGGGCACTGAGTTTACAAAAGTTCAAAAGCCAGAGGTCTTCTCTGTCGGTAGCACATTTGTTTGTTATGTCGGTATGTTCTAGATCATATTCTTGGTCCATAACCGAAAATTTTACGCCCATGGGGTATGAATTCTTCCAGATGAGCTTACCGGGGCCTTTTGAGAATGCATTCAGGCGAAGTATTGGGGGTTGAGAGTCAGTTGCTGGTATATACTCGTGATTAGATTGGTGGGAGAGTTGTTGGTCTGTATTCAGCACTTCGGAGTCTTCCATGTGGAAAATCCCTTGGTAGAAGGAGAGGTGTTGGTGAGAACACCATGACCAAGAGGGCCAGCTTGAGTCTAGGGATGAGTTTCCGAGAGGGATCCACATCAAGCTATACTTCATATTAGTCTTGAAAGTGATAGAAGGAGTTATAGAGTCAGAAGTCGGCCTATATAATCTGGAACAAAGATGAGAAAGAAAAAGTATATTTTTGACACTGATTCGGATTTCGAGCACAGATTTGTATAGGATACTTCAGTGCAAATTTCACTTACCATCTAGGAAGGTCCTCGAGAAACGTGCCAAAAATGTTTGTATGAAATCCAAGGCGTTTCTGAAACAAAGCAGAGCAAGCTGCAAAAGCAGCTGCTTTGTCTGAAGAGTATGATAAGTTGCGTTGACAATACTGGTCTACAAGATTGTAGTAAAGCCTTACAAGTGCGTCAAAACTAAGATCATTAAAATTGAGTACAGTCGGATGCCCAAGCCGTCGGGCTTTTATGAAGCCAGCTTCTACTCGTAAGCCTGCGAGATCATTCTCTGTGAGCTCTTGTTCAGGGCTTGTCTCCATAAAAAAATCCCTTTGCACATTCAAAATATATCCTACCACAGGTAAAGTGTAGAATACGGGGAGAGAGAACGCGTTCTTGTAAAGTCCACGCCCTGGTATTCCAGATACTCCTTTGATGGATGTCCCACGTCCAATCAATGGGAAATTCGTTCTGCAAACCGTACAGATCTTGACTGAACATAATGTAGGATCCAGGCTCGCTATTCATCGGGTAGAAAGGCAGTTTGACTGATGGCTCTAACGACGAATAAGGGGGTAGGAAGCCGGATTTACTATTGATACCAGATGTGGCGCAGATGCATAACGCTGCGTTCCCGTAAACATCGCCCATACGTGCGATTTCTACGGACTTGTCGGGAATGGAATCTTGAAGAATGCAAATAGAATCGATCCACAGATACTGAAATCCCAGGTCACGAGTAGCAATGACGGCATCCCTAAACGTGGCGGGCAAATCTTCCAAAGGCATTCCTTCCATCCGAGACGACAGAGTTGATGTTTGACTTGTATATTGAGCTTCGAATGGGTGTTCTTTGGATATTCCCAGCAGTGGCTCAGGGTCACATATTTATCGATAATTCCATTACCCATGACAATCTTAGGAGGCGAGCTTTTGACATCTATAACCCTTGTGGGTAGGATACTAGGCGTCGTGTCTCGACAAGTATCATGCTTGTCGCACATTCTCAACCACATCTGCGCAATGCTGATGGCTTCATAATTCCATGTTCGTGATCCAGGACGAACCAGGAAGTACTTCGAAGAAGTGTTTCCACCGTCGCCTAGTCGAATCAGCAATACAGTCCGTCCACAGGATTGGATCTTACCATATTCTGCGTACAGGACAAAACTAGCTTCAGATTCCCAAGCACCATCCACTTTAAATATCAGATTGTTGTAAATTGGCAGTTTCAACTGACATCCATAACTTGCGGAAATATTTACTTCTAAGAAGAATCAACATGGTAAGCAATTGTTACACAAGTAAGATTGATGGACATATCTACCTCCGTTCTTGAAGAACGGCTTTCAGCAAACGTGCGCAAGAGGACATCCCTCAAAGCCCCGCAGAGGTTGCAACCATCGTTAAACGAGACCAAAAGACCTGGGAAGTCAGGCGTTGTATCTTTTCGATGATATGGCACTTCAACGTGATACACCCAATTTTCCTCAGCACGTCCGGGTAAGCCACGGTCAACAGTGAATTCCTGGCACTGTCTGCAAGGAGAATTTACCAAAGCCATCCTGCTATCGGATTGCTTTTAAAACTTTGCACTCGTCGTTGAGAGAGAGAGAATCGGAGATTTTGAAGAGGGGGAGGTAAGGAATGTAATGGTGTGGTAAGCTCGTTTGGACAGCCATGATGTCAAACCCCTGCTGTTTCCATGTGTGGGTGTAGAGAGAATATAGATATATGAGTAGTACGGTGACGAGTTTCCTCGAGAATGATATATCTCTCTATGATCGAGACTCCTGCCTTCCTGTTGGGTGATCTGTCTCAGAGAAATGTTTTAAACCTGCAGATTGCCCACGCGAAATTCCGCGTAAGTGATTTGACTTCGAGTGACTCCACAGAATTCTATTTCTGCTCAGTTATACAAGAGCTTGATGTTCAATAAACTCCATTTCTGCTTCAAACGTCTCTGCTCGCTTATCTCCCCCTATATTCGCATATAGGTTGATTTCATTTCGAAGCTGATGTACCTGTCGTAAAAGACTTGTTGATACAACTCATACCTTAAGTTTACTATGTCAAAGAAATCGGCACATTAGTCTTGCCCAAAGAGTAGTGGGACTGAAAATTGCACGATCGGAATCCGACCAAATATGTTCCTTGTGCGATCCCACTCGCTGCTGTGCTTCGGCCATGATGCAGTACATCGCTCAGTCTTAACGTTTGAGTATAGTGTAATACTGACAAATCTCTTTCACATACGACCATAGACTAAGAGAATTGGGCATCCCGTCCGCTCTGCCATACACAAGCTTCAGATCGGTGGATTAGTAGTTGGGTGGGTGACCACCAGCGATCCCCACTGTTGTATGTTTTGACTTTTTTTGCTTTCCTCAATTTTTTATACGTTGTTGTTGCGTCGTTTCGTGTGGAGGGTTGGATTTTGCGAGGATGTTGAAGGGAGGCAAAAGGGCGAAGATTTGGAGAAACTGTCTTTGTCATCAGATCGGGTAGTATCTGGTGTATCAACTAATCTCGATTTCGTGTCTGTATGAAGGTTTCAACTGGTACCAATTTTTGATCCTTAGCACGAAATACTCTACGATAGATAGATTACTTCGCAGTACATAATTTCGCAATGGGAAAGGTTCTTGAATCCCGTCTCGTGTAAACTAGTACCTTCCTTCTTGAACAGTAATTGAGCCATCTAATCTCTTCATATCGAAGCGTTGCCGAATCTTCATTACCACGTATCATGGCGTCTATATACCATCAGGCATTGGTGCAGGTTGAATTCGTCAGATATTTACTGTAAATAGTTGATTTTGGAAGGATATCCTCAGCATCTTTGAGATCGATGTAATATATACAGGATCACATCCTGAATCTGCCATGGGCTCTTTCTGAAGTTCGCACAGAGTCAGAGGCTGAAGTAATTGATAGCTGAGAGACTGGGTGGGTTTTCTACTTGACTTATTTCACAATTGGACATCAGATCCAGGCTTAGATTGGATAGGAAAATGTATTGCGAAGGGAAAAAAATGATTTTTCGTAACTGAAGAGCTAGGAGAAAGTTCAACGCAACAATTTTATGATGCAGATGATAGGTCTGGAGTATGTGGCGGGTGGAAATAATTATGGTCAGAAGAAATGGTGTTATTTTCTCAGAACCATCATAATACTAGTCACCATCGATATTCCTAATCTGGTTCTTGACATATTATATATGTTTCATTGCATATTGCTATGATCTCCAGGTACTGTCGGCTCTCCTTGTAGAGCCAACCTATCCTAAAAGCTCTGCAGGAGCCTCAACCCACTTATCCCTCACGTAGTCCGCAAATCCCTTTCCCAGACAATCCAATCGACTACTGCTACTAACACCTCTCCCCAGATACCCATAGATCACGAAATGTACCGCCATGATTGCTGAAAACTCAACTCTTTCAATTACATATCCTTCTTTCCATTCTTCGCCTAATAATTCTTGCATTTTCGAACGACTGAAATAGTTCTGAAGCCAGCTGTATAATTTAGGGTTTGAGGATGATGGGATAAATATTCCGCAGTCGAGATTGGCGCCTTTATCGCCGGAGCGAGCGAGTACTATATCGCCTAGTCGAACACTTTTTGTAGGTCCAAATGTGGAGAGAGATTGTGGAGAGACAGTGTCGTATGTAGCGCGGCAAGTGAATGGTTGATATTTTGGTGGGTGTCCGCATTTGAATGTCTGTACTTGATTGTCGGAATTGATGATATGCACTTGTTCATCAAGTTGATCTTGAGGAAAAAGCGCTGGATAATATGCCAGGAAGGGTTTGGGGATCGCAGTACGCATATCGAGGGATGCGTGGAAACCTGAGAAGTGTTGAAGAGATATTTCGGTGAGGGCTTTGACTAGGCCTTGAAGAGTTGCAGCTTCGACGGCTTCGGCGAATACACGGCAATAAGTTGTGCTGCTGAGTTGTGTCGAAGGATTCATTTCGGATACACCGATGCTGTATAATCAGTAACTCGTTTATTCAAAATTGCACGTAAAAAGGGACTCTTACGTTTGAAATTCCAAGAGTTCAAAAGATTTATCGATTCCAGCAATTTGTAATTTTCTTCTCATCTGCGTTTCAAATAGAGCCCATTTTTGTTTGGTACCATAACCTGTTGCGTTTACCAGAATCTGGCATTGATATCCGGCATGATAAAATATTGCTGCTTTGGTTGTTGGAGGTGGCGGAAGATCAGTAACACCGGTAACTTTGACACTTTTACCATTACATTAGTGACCAAATCTCGACATGTAGGTAAATTTTTGACACTCACCGGTTCTCAGATAATTGAGAGACAGATATATTATCAAGGACGGCAGTCACATCACTATTCAGGTAATGATTACCTTGAATCTCATACAGAAATTGGGCCACAACAGTATCAGAAGTAATCATCCCACCAGTAGCTTCATGTTTAGTGATTGTGCAAGAACCATCTGCTTCGATTTCCGCAATAGGGAATCCTGGATCAACGAAAATGTCCTGATCATATTCAGTGAAGCCAGAAAAATTGGCTCCAGTTACATAGGCTGAACATTCTATTAGATGACCGGCGTTCAAAGATCCAGCAAGAGAGTCATAATCAGTTTCTGACCACGAGTGCCAATACTAAAATGTCCGACAGTCAGTAAATACCTATATGAAAACATTTTCACGGGACCAAAAAAAGTTGTTCAATAGGAAACCGCGGAAGAAAGAATGTTAATGAAATTGGTATTATCATTAGACTTACCCATGCAGCGGCAATCACAGGAGATGCGTCAGAAACTCGCCCGCAAATTATAATATCGGCACCTTCACGCAAACCCTTAACAATAGCATGAACTCCAAGATAAGCACTACTTAAAACAATAGGAATCGATCTACCTTCCAAAAACGAGAAGGTATTGGCCGGTAATTCTAGGTCTTGGTTCCATGAATCAAAGTGTTTCGGTAACTTTCCACGTAAGGATGCCATATCCGGTCCAATATGTGAAATCAGGTCATCTCCAGAGACCCAGCCAACCTTAAGAGCAATGCCGCGTTGTTTGGCAAGTTCGTCAACTTTTCTTGCTAAGCCTTCGGGATTCAAAGCTCCTCCGTTAATAACAACCTTGGTCTTTTTCTCGGCTAGCAATTCAAGAGATTGAGACAATCGCTCTAAAGCAGTTGAGATATATCCTGGATGATTTCCAGCTCTATATGCCTCTACATTCTCCGCCATATTCATCTCTTCCGAGGGTTTATTAGTTTCGTTCATGTTTCTCACACATCAATGACATACCTGCAAGGTAGTCACCGGTAACGAAATCGACATTTCCTAATGAAATCTGTTTGTACATCCTATAAGCGGGATCACCTCAGGGGAGAGTCAGTGTCTTTCTCAGGGACTCATATCAGAAATCACGAACATAAGTAACGCGAACAATTGGCAACTCTGACGGGTCTTTTGGGCTGAAAAGCCCCATGGATTGGCGTTTCATTTGTCGCCGCCATAGCATCGAAGCTGGGCTCCGATTGACAAGATATTGATATGTAAAGGTAATGACGAAGAAGAGGAATGAAGAAAGGCGAATCTGAAGAGATTAATTTCACATGAAGCCGATATATGAGTTTGGCTACATCATTTTTCATCAACCTCGGTGGCTTGTAGTTACCCTTGGGGTTTGAGACTACTGTAGGTGATGCTGCGTTGGGTAATTTTTATGCTAGCGGATGAAGAGGATCTGCCGTCAAGATTTGCAGCCATGACCACAACTAAGTTATGTATAGTGTTTGATATACAACACATACTTCTAGCGACCACCGTGAAACAAGCAATGATAAGTCACTGCGGTAATGACGGAAATGGCGAATCTCCTTTCACTGTGCTTGATACCAGATTGTGGGGTAACAGCATGCGGCCGATCTGCGGCTCATACTGAAAACGCAGAGTCTATTCCATCCCAATTCCCTAATAGGAAATTTCTCGTGAAACCATCATCGGCCTAAAAGACTCAGACAACAACACGACAGCCCAGAGCTTCTTTTGTGTCAATTAACTCACTGTCTGAATGTTTTCCTATAGTAAAAATATGGATAATGCGTGTCACTTAAGCCGAGGCCCGTTGATGGGTTCCCGGAAAGTTAAAAAGCTTGATAGTGTGGCTACCACTCTGTCAGTATGAGTACTCCTATAAAGAGCTTCCGGTGGAAGGTACCTTTTCAAGTATCATTTGTCACTCAATCGATATAACAAGACGATCATGTATTCTGTACCAGAAGAGAGCAGGAAGGTTTTCCAACAAGGGATATTGGAAAATCCCACCATCATCCCCAACCTGCCAAAGGACTTTCAAGATCATGCCAAGAAGATCAAATTCGAAGGAGAGGATGCTCCAACTATACCAATAAACTGGCGATTCGCTGAGAGTATATCTTCAATCAAAGCTTTGGAAGCGACGGTGCTTTTATCGCTGTTGAAAAAGAAATATGATGTGGAGCCGAAAGAAGTTATCATCAACACGTGAGTAACCTTGATCATACTACAGCGACGCCGTCTCGTCTCCTAAATTCACACCCTTGCCCCTTCCCTCATATCACATCCGCTTTCGCTTTCGCAACGACAGTTAACAAATTGCAATAAATACAGCGATCATGCACAACTCTTTATCATGTCTACTCTATTGTGGGAGATTAATCACGAAGGAACCAAGGTGACACTATTCAATGCCTCTGATCCGAATTCTGAAAATGGAAAACTTCTTGCAAAATGGTTCCCTTCAACCGATATTCACAGATTACAAGGAACATATCATCGTGCCTCTTGTACAAACATCTACAAGACAAAAGATGGAAAGTACTTTCATATACATGGTAAGAGTGCTTCTGAATGATTTTGGAGATGTCATATTTGCTTACTTCGTTCAGGAAGCATGAATCCAGATCCTAGCTTGGATAGTATTGGACTACCTCATGAAATGGACCAGCCAAGCGTTGAAGCGTCTTGGAATCCATTCATAGAAAAATTAGGACAAATAGATTCGGATGACATGCAAAGAATAGCATCAGATGAGTACAAACAGGCAGGAACGATTTGTTGGACAAAGGAAGAATATAAAAATAGCGAGCATGGCAAAGCCAATGCTAACGCTGGATTATTTGAAATCAGACATTATCCAAATACCACCCAAGGTGCAAGTTGGTGGCCCGAAACAGAGCAAACAAGTCCAAAGCGACCTTTGGCTGGCTTGAAAATCGTTGACATCACCCGAGTCATCGCAGCTCCAGCAATTGCAAGGGGTTTAGCAGAATTGGGTGCAAGTGTCATGAGGATCACTCCTCCGCATCTCCAGGACTATTCTCAACTGCACTGCGATCTGAATTGGGGAAAATGGAACACCCATTTGGACTTCAGGAACAAGGATGATCTTGAGAAAGCCAAGGAATTGATACGAGACGCAGATGTTGTTGTTACTGGTTACAGACCGGGAGTCCTTGATAAATATGGGCTCGGGAATGATGGCATTCGCGAGCTAGTCAAAGGCAGAAGTCGAGGTATTATCATCGCAAGAGAAAATTGTTACGGATGGCATGGTCCTTGGTCATATCGAAGTGGATGGCAACAGATTAGCGACGCAAACTGTGGTGTCTCTATGGAATTTGGTCGAGCTATGGGCAACGATGAGCCTGTCACACCTATCTTACCAAATTCGGACTACTGCGCTGGAGTTTCAGGTATTGTTGGAATCCTTCAAGCACTGATACAGCGCTCAGAAACTGGCGGCTCCTACGAAATGAATGTGGCTCTAAACTACTATTCTCAGTGGCTTGTCAACTCATGTGGCATGTATCCACAAGAAGTTTGGGAGGATCTATGGTCAAGGAATTGCAAACCTGTATTCCGACACTACCACAATATGAACTACACAATGTCCAGGCTATTCCAGACCCTAATAAAGTCAGGCACTGGCAAAAGTATTTTACGCGATGAATTCTTCGAGAATAGAGAAACTAAGGCTGTCGGGGTAAATATCAAAACTGTAAAACCTATTTTAAGGTTCCCGAACAAAGAGGTGGAATTGAGGTACAACGTTGGTACCAGAACAAACGGTGTTGATGCTGCGCATTGGCCGACTGATCTGATGACAGAAATAGTAGTATAAATGCCTATCAATTTTGACTATTATTCACTTGTGAGTAACAAAGCTACTGTTTTGCAACCGTAGAGACTGTATCGAAAGGCGATATACCGCACAACTACTGTCTCAGTCGTTAATATGAAATGTCGCTGCGCCGCAATACCTTGCGTGCTTTTCCACAATGAGCTGAGTTATCACCGCCACCAACTATTGGTATCTGCTAGTTCAATACTTTATCTGCTAGTTCTTTGTTAATGTTGCACATCTCTACTCCCCTACTACCTTTACTAGTTGCATAACTTTTACCACTTCACAAATACCAGTTGGTAATCTATCATCATGATGCCTCTCCCTGACTCAGTTTACAGCTCTCAACTTCCACAACCAGAGCTTGCACCCGAGATAATTAAGGCTCTGGTCTTCGAGCGCTCTAAGCGGGCCATCGGTTCTGTTCATATCGATCCTTTCTATACCCTCGCTCTGAAAACAACTTCAGATTCCTCACTCCCAGGAACCTTCCTAAAAGTCCAAGAAAGTATCGATTCTACATTGTACTCTACTCCTTCTTCCGTCTCAATCTCGCGTCTCATCTACCAGTCTCTTACTCTTACCGGAGACCCTATTCCTGTTTCCGCGTACATAATTTGGCCTCTTCTCCCACGAAGGAACTCAGATGGCAGCTCCCAAATTGTCGCCTGGGCCAATGGAACCTCTGGTATTTTCTCCGAATGCGCTCCTTCTCACCTCCGGAATCTACACCAGCACTTCCTCGCGCCCTATGCTCTAGTTTTGTTCGGCTATGTCATCGTTGCCACTGATTATGCCGATCTAGGCGTCTCCCATTGCTCTCAGCCACAGAACCAATTGATTATTCATCACTATCTCGCCAATCCTGCCGCTGCGAATGATGTGATATATTCGATTGTTGCGGCTCGTTCTGCGTTTCCATCCTTAGGATCAAAGTCTGTATCAATTGGTCATTCTCAAGGTGGAGGTGCATTTTGGGCCATTGCACAACATAATTCTAAAGAAAACATGGAAGGGTACCTTGGAGGCGTTGCAATCATTCTTACAACAGATATTAGAAGTAATTTTGATCCAATTGGAGCTGTCGTCTGGGCGGGAATGATGGTAGGTCTGAAGAATGTGTTTCCCAAATTCCAGTATCCAGCTGTTTTTACAGAGGAGGGGCTCGCTGCAGTGAACACTTATAGAGAAGTTGAGGGAGGCGGCGCAGTAGGAATGGGTCTATTCTTACCATTGGCACTGGAGGGGATTTTGCTGAGACATGGGTGGAGAGAAAATGAATGGGTTATCAAATATAATGATTTGATAATGAGCGGAGGCAAGGGAATTGGCGGAACGCTGTTGGTTATCCATGGAGAGAAAGACCCGCTCATCGATTTTACTCTTACCGAGAAGGCTGTACATGATATAGCTATGAAGTATCCTGATTCTGAGTTGGAATTCATAAGACTACCCACTACGCACGACTCGGCCATCACAGAAAGTCAGTGGTATGGATGGAGCGGATTAGAGAGAGATTCGAGGGCAAAGCGATAGAGAGGTGTGGGGATATGCACTTAGAAAAAGGGAAATTCAACCGGGAGAGAAGTATCATTTCGGAAAGACCGAAGGAGAGTTATGGATTTGAGACTAACTTGTTCATGGCAAGCGCAACCGAGAATTATCACAAATTTTGACCGACATACTTGCGGGACTATGGGATAAAGTTTTCAATAGTCTAGTCTAGAATATGGAAATGAAAACCTTTGAAATTATGAGCCCAGTTAAGCATCCTGAACCCTCTCATTCACTTCAGGGATTGGAGAGTTTCTTGAAGTAGAAAGTTTATATCTAATTTAGATTTTTGAATTTCCTGTACAGATAAAATGATCGCTTATGTTTTGAGAATCATAACTGAACTTGATCAAGTATCTGAATCTTCCTAGTATTGGCTAATAATACTGGAAAAGACGTGATACTAGAGCGGGTATCAGGATGACTTGCTGACGGCGGTAGGAGATAAATTTAAGACGCCCAAAACCCAAGACCATGGCATTGCCATCGGCTTCAAGAGACATACCATGTTACATGTTTTAGAGAGTGGAAGATAACAGATAGATTACAGAGATTGGTCAAAGTGAGTTGAGGGGTGAGACCCCTGGTCAATACCAAGTATCACACAACTTCAACTATTGGTAAGATAACGAGAGATTCATCTCAATGCAGATATACAATCTAAAGCGGGACGTCATTTCTCTCCAACAATCTATTCTAGGAAATCTGATGTTGCATCAAAAGTTTTCTGGGGGTAATATGTATTGTGGTCGTTGATAACGAAATGAATGTAACCTATGACGAGCTTACAGGATTAGATCCACATCAACCACACAACTATGCTATCAACCCTAGCATCTAATACTTTCTTCACTGCCGATTGCGACCCCAGTAATGGCGCAATGAAACGGCAGAGTGTAGGATTTTATGCTCTTAGACGATTGGTCGCTCCGAACGTCGTACATTATCACGGCTGTGGTGCAATATCTCGCCAATTGTGCGAGCTGAGACAGGGAGTTGTTACGGCTTTTGGCAAGCTGCTTGGTTTTGGTACTTATCTATGAGGCTCGCCGTGAGTAATGAAGATTCAACTACGGGAGGCTTGTAATCAAGATGTCGGAGACCAAGGATTCAGAAATTGTGGTAAACCGCCATACTGGAGAAGCGGAAGTCAGGGAGCTTGGAGCGCTAGAGTTCATTCATGAATACGGAAATAATGGATCGAAACCATCGTATCAAGAAGCTTCAGGAGCACCAGTCGAAAATGAATCGCCTCTTGGTTTGCAAGTTACGTGGTTCACTACAATCTTTTTGAACATTGGTATTGTTCACCCCATTCACAATTCAGAGAAGACTACTAATTACCTACAGGTCAAATGATTGGCACAGGTGTCTTCTCAACTCGTACGTTCTAAAAAATATCACATAAAACTCAGGCTAATGGTTTCCAGCCGCAAGCATCTTGTCAGCAGTGGGTTCAGTCGGTCTAGCTATGATCTATTGGACACTCGGTCTACTCATCTCCGGTTGTCAATTTTCAATCTATACTGAACTCGCCAGTTTCTTTCCGAATAGATCTGGAGCTGAAGTAGTGTATCTGGAACAAGCGTATCCGAGACCAAGATATCTTCTTCCGACCACGTTCGCTGTGCAATCGGTTTTACTTTCTTTCAGTAGTAGTAATGCTATTGGTAAGTGGCTTCTCAAAGTTGCAATTAGTATCAATAAAAACTAATGATATGATTAGTCATGGGTAATTATCTGTTTGCTATGGCTGGTTACACACCCTCATCTTGGGAGCAGAAGGGATTGGCAGTTGCTTGCATAACTTTCATTACCCTTCGTTAGTATTAATTCCCTCTCATGAAATTAAAAGCGGCTGACGTAGTATCATAGTGGTGATATTTAGCACTAAACATTCTCTACGAATATCAAACGTGATCGGAGTGATCAAGCTCATAACGCTCATATTGTAAGTCGAGACATTCATTTTGCTTTTTTCATTTTAACTGACACATTCCTTTAGCATCTCAATCGCGGGTCTTGTGGTACTAGGTGGCCACACTAATCTTGCAAATCCCACAGAGAACTTCAAAAATGCCTTTTCCGGTACGACAAATAGTGGTTATGGACTGGCAAATGCACTAGTCAAAATAAACTTTGCCTACTCTGGATATGCAAATGCATTCAATGTGATTGCAGAAGTGAAAGTAAGATTTGAATATCCCGCAACAGGTTTAAGAAAATATTGATATTGTCAAGGACCCAATAAGAACCATAAAACGTACCGGACCCGCTTCGCTTCTCGTTGTGGCTATTCTCTACATTCTTTGCAATATCGCTTATTTTGCAGCTAGTATATAACCCCTCTAACCACCTCTAGGACCCGACTAACACACCCTCTAGTCCCTAAAGAAACTCTCAAAGAATCAAATCAACTCGCCGCCTCTCTTTTCTTCACCGCAGTATTTGGTGCCGGTAAATCTGTTCGCGCGCTCAATTTCCTCATCGCTCTGTCGGCATTTGGAAACATTGTCTCAGTCACCATAGGGTCATCTCGCATCATCAGAGAATGCGGTCGTCAAGGTGTACTTCCATATCCTCGTATGTGGGCTTCTACTCGACCTTTCGGAACTCCTCTTGCTGCTTACATTCTAAAATGGGGTTTGACTATTCTCATGATTTTGGCCCCACCTTCAGGTGATGCTTTCAATTTTATCGTGGATTTGTATAGTTATCCAAGTAATCTGTTTTTTATTCGCATTGACTGCGGGATTACTCATTATTAGGAGGAACAGAAAGACACTAGGTATCGTGGACGATGACTTTAAAACGTGGGATGTAGCGATCTATTTCTCATTGGCGATTAATATTTTCTTACTGGTTATGCCATGGTATCCTCCTCCCGGAGGAGCTAATGGTGGCGATGTGAGCTTTTGGTATGGTACTTATTGTGCCGTTGGCTTGGGTATAATGGGTGCCTGTATCCTCTACTACGCTTTCTGGATTTACATTCTGCCGTACTTTGGTAAATACCAGATCCGGCAAGAATTGATAGTTATGGATGGTGAAAGTTCAAAAGCTCATCGGCTGATCAAAGTCCCAAATGCTGAGCTGGAAGCTTGGGACAGAGAGCATGATGCGTTGGGGAGAAAAATCGATTCAAGTTCGCCATCGGAGGATGGTGGGGCTGAGAACGTTTTGGAAAAAGAGTGAAACATTGAAGGCAACTGGAAGAGTTTGGAATGCGGGGATACAGTCACGACATGGAACGTCATGGAACTTGAACAGTAGATGTCATTAAGGCTTCGGCAATTAACCGAGCCTTAGGAAAGAACAGGCCGCGCCTAGTTCGGTCTCCTAGCCAGGTTATTTGAAGCCTCTCTCAGAGTATAAGGCTGATGATTAGGGGTTTCCACCCTTATTTATATGTAGATTTTGTTGATCATTGAATGTACTGGATTCAAGCCAACAGCCTACATATAGTAATTTGACCAATTGGGGGAAGTAATGGAGTTATCAGCCTTATAAAACGATCTTGACTTTGGAACAAGACATCATATCCCGAAATGCCGATCTCTCTAAGTTCAAACCCAGAATCAATGGCAAAAAGCTGACACTGGTGATAAATAATGTCATTTCTTTCCCTTCAAGAATTATCCGTTGAAAAATTACTTTCTACAACAAATAATAGCGCGGCCTGTTGATGGTTTGCGAAGACACTTCATCATCTCCCTTGGATTCGTGATTTCATATTCTCACACCATTCTTGATGATGCATAAAACTTCATGAGATCCATATGGCGCCAATGGTAAGCACTCTTTACGATTCAAAGATTTTCAACGAAAGGTGATAGATATTAGACCCGATCACTAAATCCAAAACAATTCAGCCTCGACTAGAGCTAACATCACGGCTATCATAAATCACGATTGCATCGAGGTCAAAGATGAAAATCAAAATCTACGAAATGATCGAAATATAGAGACGAAGAAAAATTGTCTGACTTGCTCCTCATATAGTAGGTTTCATTGAGGTTGTATAAAATAGATTGAGAAAGAATGAGAATAAGAAGCGCAAGTTATTCGGACGTCAGACACCGAGCCCGAAATAGCTCGAGTAAAAAAAAAGGAACAATGATAATCAGCGGATAATGATTGTAGCAAGAGATGGATAATTTAAAATTCGATGATAGATGAAATGTACCATGGATTGGAAATATGAAGGTTATCGAATTGTAGAGATAACATGGCTACCTCACCTTTTACCTGTCACATGGAAGGCGCATAAACATGCGCGTGCACTATATTGTTTTATGTTGGCTATGCATCGTCGTGTTGTTGTATTTTTGGCGACTTGAAGGAATCCCCCAAGTAGCGAAATGGGTATTTATTTGCATAGCTCTTCTCCGACCATGAGCATTAATGGCTCAGCGATGATGTCCAAAGTGTCCCTCCTAGTGGTTTGGTTTCGGTTGTGAAAATTTTGAGGCGCCTGAATATGTGAGATAACAGGCTCAGTCGGCTTGGAACCATGTTTTGCAACTGCGGAAATACAAATTATTGCCTTCTCAATCGGTCCTTGGACGTTTGCTAGCCTCATCGCCCTCATCGTGACCATTTACTTCAGCCTCTCCGTCGACCTCATCGTGACCCCTAACCCTTCCAGCGCCTTCACCAAGTACTTCAACAAATTCTTCACCTCCAATCCAATTTCCATCTGCGTCAAAATATTCCGAAACATTCTCCGCAGTGATCCAGCCGCCACTACCTGGAAATGGAGGGGGCAATCCACCATCCGTAGCTCCTTGTTGTACTCCTGGAAGTCCAGTAACACCTTCATATCCGACATTACCTTCGAATTGAAATTCAGGACCTCCTTCTTCCATATCCTCGTCTTCGTCTGGTACAAGATTTGAGCAATTCGTCAAAGCTTCGTATAATGTTTGTGTAGAATCCGATTCGGCGGGAATAAGAACCAATTCGATAATCGATGGCATATCATCTCCAGCTGGAGGAGGTGTCTCTAACTGCATGAATAACCCAGTTACCTCTCCTTTCGATGCATCTGTAGGATCAGGTAGACGTTGAATGGCATGTAAGGATATAGAAGTATAGGGAATTGCGAGTCCAGCTGAGGTAGTTTTATTGAATATAGTGACATTCCTAGATGAAATAAACAAGTCAGCCTTTGCGCAATGTGTACAATGGTGAGAGATGAACAATTACTCAGTAGAAATGTAGGCGTCCACTGTCTCTACAACAGCTGCCTCCGAATTCTGTGCTGGACCCTCTGCAAAAAATGGCAATTCTTTTATATATTCTCCATAGGCAGCTGCACGCGCAGCTTTAGCATGATAATGTAGCACAGGTCTAGCATCGTAGAATGTGCTTGGTGTTTGTGTTTGATGTTCTACTAAAGGTGTGAATGAGTCCAAAGCTGGCGCCGAGTGTATCGTTGATAGAGGCATTTTGGTTTTCGAATGGAGAACGCAAAGTAAGGGTATCTAAAGCTTCGAGGTTCCTGAATCGTTTTAATTCGACTCCGAGTTTTACAAGTTTCGTGAATAAATGACAATCGACTGCTGTCCAACAAATCCAACAGACCCCTCTAGAATTGTTTCTATAAGGCTGAATTGAGGGAAAGTGTTCGGAGAAAGCGGCCGCTCGGATCAATATTTATCCGCAGAAATTCCCACTATCAGGACTTGTCTTGTGCAAGTCTCAGTTGCGTCTGCTCTACCTATCTATTATCGAGTCTACCTAAGATTACCTACCTAGGTACTGGTAGTAAGTACAGATGAATATCTTTGTTCGTGATATTTGTTCGTGCTTCAACCACCATGACTCTTTCAAGTGCATATGCGTACCGGATGTCAAAGCGAGCAAACATGAGCGACCTATCATATTGCACTCCTTCTATTCAAGACATTAAACTCTCAATCAGGGAAGGATCCATCAAAAAGTAAGAAAGTGAAGCTAACTAGTCCAACAAACGAGCATCTGACAGAAGTCTGTGGTATATATGCGGAACTCCAACGAGTCCTATACGATTCCAAGCAAC